CAACGACAACCAGACAATATAGTGATTGACAAAATGAGCCTGGATCCAGGCACCTGGGATACAATGACGTGTGTTAACCTAATCATCAAGCACGACCCGATCCGACACCGACCTGTCATGACTAGTATGGTGTTGCATACTGTTGAACTACCCGACACGCACACATTCTCTGTCAACACTATTCCAGTTATCTTGGCGGCTAGGTCGCCGTTTCACAAAGTAGTCCTATGACACTCGTAACTACCAGTCTTTAACATATATATAGACTTAAGAGTGCCGTAGAACATGGATCATGTGCCTAGATCTTGTGGAGTAAGTGAGTGAGTACGGCGTAGTATCGGGTTGATTAGGCAAACCTATGGCAGGGTGCATGAGCTACAATCAACGCCGCCATTCGCCTTATTTACTCAATCACTCACTACATAATGTATAATTTGAACAGCACGCTTTTGAATTTGGTTTCCTACTGGTTTGCTTTCATTGTAACATGACAGGTGACGAAACTGTTTGAAACTTCTACACTGAAAACGCATTAAGTTTATCTCACTCACTCACTCACTACTGACAATGCACCTCTTCTTTGTCTCCGGTATAGTGTTCAAACCAAGACAACCAAACCACTGACCTTTCTGGTGCCAACACCGATCCTTGTGAATAAGGAAAACGGTAGTACCCAAGATCATAGATGGAGATAACACATGCTTAGTTTTGAACCCGTTACGATACTATCTATACTCCACAGGGAAATGGCTTTCACGGTCGCCATATGCGATATACATAATGTATTGTAGGCTACTTTGAAGAATATTTTCACTTTTTACATGGTGTTTCAACAAATTCCACGGGGATGCCACCTTATTTGTGCTTAACCAAGGATATAGGTTTTCGAACAAACGATCGGGTGGATCATTGTACTACCAAGGGGCGCAACTCTGTAGCGTGCACTGCAGCTTCATAGATAACTGTCCCTACCGGAACAACAGCCATGAAGTATTATAATAAGCCAGTAATTCAGCAAGCCTGACCACCCGATCCCGTTAGTCGCCTCTTACGAGAAGCACGGGTTAGTGAAGACCGATTCTAACCCGGATCTTCACGGCTCTAGTAACTGAAGTGACATCATAAGCTATCTATGCATCTATATATTTCATATAATGACCGTGACATCTATGAAGATTTGATAAATATCGTAATTACAAAATGTAGGTAATTATTAGTCTAGAGGTCTGTAGATTCCCCAGGATACATAGTGCATTTAAAACGGAGGACAGATTGAAGGAAATGTGCGAAGCGGCCATACACTGCCCCAATCACATGCTGAGATTGAAACTAAGGACCATTTGAGCGAAACAAATAAAGATTACTCAGTGCTGAAAATAATGTCATGTTGACTGACCCTTAGTGTGTGTCTTATTCATGAACTTTAAACAGTGTAAAAATATGTTTAGACTGTAAATACACACAAGACATATTTACGTCTAAACATATTTACGAATGTGTATAAATCTTAAATGGAATACACATTTGGTGAGTTAAATCTCAACACGATAAAGATAAAAACACACAATCAACGCTATTTTCTCAAAGCATAAACACTACCTAAGCATAACATCCGCATAATCTAAACATGTTTAGAATGTGAAATTGGTTAGAATTTACGTCAATTTGACCCTAAAGACGTTTAGCTTCTGAACATAATCCTAAACATGTTTAGATCCTAAACGCGTCAAAGATATGGGACGAGGCTGCGTTTTCTTGTGTGTTTAGGGTCTAAACAACCTTTTACAGAGTAGGTATCTTGCAAAGCCAATCAGATGAGTGAAAAGGGAAATTTAAACTGGAACTCTAAACGTCCCTGTTGACCCCTGAGTTCACTGAGTTGTTTAGTGATATATGGGAGTCTGAATTCTGGCCTTTTCCAATGTTTGTCACAGTGGCCAGGCGCGTAGCAAGCCATATTTTGTGTAAGCCCGATAGGTTACAAAGCTTCACATTTAGAAAGTATTGAGGGCTGCCCCAGCCTTTTCAGCAACAACCAGGTGTAAGCCCGGGCATTTTTTTATTAAGAAGGTAGCTACGCCTTTGGCCGCGACTGGTTACGGCCCCAGTCCAACACGGTTTATTTCAAGTATTGAATCATGCTGGATAGAAAACATCCAGACCTTGATTTATTTCTTATGCGCCTCCACTTGTGGATCACCATGCATGGAATGAAAATTGAACTCATGTTTAACTGCTAAGCGCTTTATAAGACCCCTTTTGTGACTGGACCCATATTTACCATATGGCCCATTACACAAGGGGCACATAATATAGAGTATTCCACATACCTTGTTCCGATAAAGTCTAACACAGATACGGAGATAACACCGTAACATCTATCGACCGAAGAAAGACACTTTTATACATGGCTCGACATACATGAGTGAGTATTGGGATCGATGAGGAATCGCGTAGCTTGGATACGGCAGCAATACAGTCAACTATGTCACTGAATACTACAGTCAAATATTTGTCAGTCCACGATGTATCAATAATCCAATAAAATAGAATAAGAAAAGCTCATAACTAAACATCGCTTGAGAAATTGATTTTGTGACCCACACGGATATACGAAATGAAATTTCGCTTTTTATCTTTAGGGGTTTTAAACTCTGAGATGTTTGAATACTGTTCATCATGAAATAAAAACGAAATAAACTTGAATTTAGAATTGTAAATACGTACACTCTTGGTGCAGAAAACGATTTTTACATAAGTAAAACTTTTAAAAAAACAACAAACAAAAAAACAAATCATGTCACAAGTGATGAAGATGTATCTCCCGAAACTGAACGTGAGTATACCTACGATTTGCCATTAGATGTCAGGTTGAAGGAATCGCCCTATCACTGCGTGTAGGGAGACTATTGACACAAAAGTACAATCAACAATCCAAATATATATCTGAACACACCTACCTTCTACCTGTTCCGTTCTGTTAATGAACTGACACTACTTGGGCGAAGATGCGTCTATGACGTCACAATTGCGGAACGTCCCACCCTGCCATTGGTCGCGTGACTCCGCGCTCTGTTGGGGGTCTTCCGGATACTAAACGTTGTCATGGCAGTCGCTCAGCTTTGACTCGGAGCAAATAGAGCTAACTAACCGTTATCTACATTGTTAATTATTGATTGCCAGATCTTGTAAGGGTCTATTGTCAGGCTCGGAAATCATTGCGTTGTCCAAAGGCTTGTCTCTCAAAGAAAGGAAATCGAAAGACCACATAATGGTTAGCACCCGCGGGGAGGCTTGGTGACTGGTGCCCGTCAAATACAATGCTAAAGACACTCATCTGTTGTCAATAACTCCAAAAGATTATTGTATCGAGGGTCGATGCCATAATGAACATGCTCATTTTCATACGGTGAGGTGATGTGAAAATGGGTTTGACTCGGTGTTGAAGATTATTTCCCCTACGTACAAACGTGCGCGCGTGTGCGTTCAGCCGGATACTGCTCGCAGATACTGTATACTTACTACGATTGTAAATCTATTATTTTCATACAGGTATAACTGAAATGGACAATATTCAAAGAAATATTGAATAACAATAATATATATATTGCCAAGGGTAATATACTGTAATGGGAGGCAATCTTTCCTTTGCAAAGTATGGGTGGTGGGGTTGCCTTGTGGTTAAAGCGTTCGCTCGTCACGCTGAAGACCCGGGTTCGATTCCCCACATGGGTACAATGCGTGAAGCCCATTTCTGGTATCCCCCGCCGCGATATCGCTGGAATATTGCTACAAGCGGCGTAAAACCATACTCACTCACTGTATCATCGGTGTCATGTGACACTTGCTCGCACTCTATTGCAAATTGCCTGTCTTTCCATTACTCGCCATACACTCGACACAGGGGTTGACCGCTTAGCTTAGGCTTGTATTACGTATATTGCCGAGGTGTGAAATAACGGATTAGAATGACGAGTGTGATGGCAACCATTATATCCAACGTTTCGGGGGGTTGTGAAACAGTAAGAAAACACGTATTAGAAACAAAATATCAAATGCAGTCAGACATTTAGCTGTTACTTTTATTGTACTGTGGCACTTTTACAAACTGTTAAGAGCGGTTATATGCAATTCTATACAGTTGTCGGCATTACAGATATCTTATTACAGTATTTAAAAACATAGATTGTCGTAAAATTGTCATTGTATTTTGGGTTTCTACAATATGTACACGTTGATTTGAGTTGCTGGTCACTAGGTGTAGGGTATTAGTTAAATCATTTCTCGCTTTTGCCTGGTTTCTCTGTCAGTGTTCTTCACACAGTGCAGCAATAATCGGTGGGATTAGTGGTCAAACAGCAGCCAAAATGTATCCCTGTGTATAATACGTTGTAATACTGACTGACTGAGTTTGGCTTTACGCCGCTTTTAGCAATATTCGAGCAACATCACGGCGGGGGGACACCAGAAATGGGTTTCACACATTGTGCCCATGTGGGGATTCGAACCCGGGTCTTCGGCGTGACGAGCCAACGCTTTAACCATTAGGCTACCCCACCGCCCCATACGTTGTAATATAATTGCCATGTGGTTGTGTAGCCATCCTCTACATTCATGTATACAATAGGGATAAGGTTCAAGAAGCAGTGCGAGATACGATTCTTCCGTACATACCAATATTTACTCATGGTGCTGTTTCTGAATTTCTATTCAGCTTTCTCCAGTATCTCGAGGTTTAACTGAGTAAGTTATGTTTTACGCCGCACTCAGCAATAGTCCAGCTATATGGCGGCTCCAGGATTAACTGTGTGAGCGAGCGAGTATATGTGGTTTACGATTTAGCAATATTCCAGCATGATCATAGGATCTCACAGTAAAATAGGCATCACACATAGTAACCGGGAATAGAACCTGGGCCTTCCGTTTGTGGAGCAAACGCTTTAACAACTATGCTAGATTCTGCCACATTCCTGATTAAGTTGCATACAGAAAACCAAATGTTCTGTGAAGCAACATCTTTATTACTGAATGTCAATCAGTGTATAATGTTACATATTTTATGTCGTACATATAACCAATACCAAAACCATGTAAACTGGAATATTGCAGAGTGCGGCGTTAAGCAAACAAAGATCACTTACACCAGTCATGTTGACCACTGCTACAAGTATACTGCCACACAAATTACATAATCAACATACATAACCAAACTGTATCTTGGAAGGCCTAAACACAAACCAATGAAGCACATATTACAATCTTAACGAACAGGTGTTCATAATGACACCGCAGGACCCGATGACACAAAGTTGACACAAACATCGGAAAGCTTGGAGCCCGGCTTCATTTGTATCAAGATCAGAGGGATTGAAGTTTGGTGTTCCGTCACAACTGTGATGTCATATCTATTGCGACACAATATACATTGTGACATCTTAATGGTGACATGCAGTACAGAACTAAATCCTGAAAGACTCTTCATGGATTTGTACATTTATATTGCCATGCGAAGTTTGCCGTGTAACACATCTTAATTAGTACAATTAGTACAAAAATGTTAACATTATGCATGTTTTAAGTCACACGTTGTATAAAGGATATTGTCTGTATGCCCTTCAGTAATCCATGCTTGTCGTAAGAGGAACTAACGGGATCAGGTGGTGAGTCTCGCTGTCCTGGTTGACACATGTCATCGTGTCCAAATTGCGTAGGTTGATGCTCATGCTGTTGGTCACTGGATTGTCTGGTCCAGACTCAATTATTTACAGACCGCCGCCATATAGCTAGGATATTGCTTAGTGCGGTGTTAAACAACAAACCAACCAACCAGGTGTCCTTCACATAAAATACCAACTCAAAACATTAAACTCTTCTCTCAAAGAGTCTGCATTAAGTTTTGTTACGGTAGAATGGACATACACACAGAGTGTTTTCAATGTAGTACTGGATTACCTGGGGATTTAACTGTCCTCAATTTATCCTCACACTGCGCCTTTGGTTCAAAATCTCATACAAGGCAACTATATTGAGAATGTTTATGTCCCGAACTCTCACAACAACCTTATGGCCAAGGTACAAGCACTGAAGTATTAGAAATAGTTGTACAGGGTACTGTAGCTCACTTATTATTTTTTCAATGATGCTTCAACCTATCATGGTGAGGCCAGACCAATTTTATTTCTTGTTTTACAGACTTTTGTCCTCAGGAAACCTAAAGACAGGAGGAAATCACCAGTCAAAGTAATATTCCTTTGAAATACTAGAAGTATTTTACTTTTGGCAATTTATGAAGTGCATATGGGGCAAAAAAACAAAAACAAAAAATATATGTAAGTTTACATTTTTTATCAATAAAAACATTAGAATTTTATTGTTTGAGCGGGCAAAATTCATTTATATTTTTTTTCTTATTCTTGAACATTTATGACAGGCGGATCCGTAAAACAAGAAAATTAATTGGTCTGGCCTGACTAACATATAATCTGTGTTTCTGACAAATTGGCATGATATAAGAAAAGTGAATACAATATAATCAATGGCTGATTGATAATCATGAGGCCGTGAGGCAAACTTGAATTTTCTTTCTGTCAATACCATGAATGACAGTCAGCTAGGAAATTTCCATTCAACATTCACACATTTTGCTAGGAATAACATGATGTAAACAGCACCAGATTCATACACTTCCCATACATGTCATTATCAAATACCAAACAGTTCATATGTTTAAAACACATCCTTGAAATGACTGAACTGGAACATTTTCATGAAATTACAACCAACAACATAACTATTATGATAATATGTAAATAAACAGTTGTATTGAACAAGGTCCTATTTTGCTCGCCTCAGAATACAACAATGGAACATCAACAACCCAGTCTCTCTCTCTCTCTCTCTCTCTCTGTCTCTCAAACTCTCTCTCTCTCGAATGACTTAATGAATTGGTATCAAACAAACGAAAGCGAGTTTGATACAAAATATTTCATGAGTGTAATAAAAATGGTATTTCACGGAAGTAAGTTTAGTTTTCTGTTTATCACTCTCCAACATAAACTGATAGAAACTGCCTACAGTGTGATGACTCTCAGCTTTCCGCAAGTCAAGCAAGGTCTAATACCATTGTGACAGAGGTAGTAGCATTGTGACATCATAACTGGAAACCATTATGACGTCATACATCTAGCGGTATTACACTAGTGTAATATTGCCCTAAAAATATTATACTGCAGTATCTTGCATGGGCGAGTTATGCATTATGTGCTAATAACTAATAGAGAACTAGTGTAAAATCATCAGCTTGAAGATCCTCCAGACAAATGAGCATTACCTGTCTAAGACTCAGAAACTATTGATTTGTGTAAAATCATCAGCTAGGAGATACTGTCTACCAGACAACTATGCAGTAAGTCTAAGATTCACAAACTAGTGCTAGGTGTGAACTCATCACACTTTACTACTTCACTCAATGGTTCACAACACTGATTACTCGTAATGCATGTGTGTAAGCAGTAAAACCATCTCAAAATCCTCCTGTAAAGTGTATTTCATGGTGGGCCATACTTCAAGATGGGCTATACTTCAGGGTGGGACATTATTCAAGGTAGGAAATACTTGGGAGTACTCATGTGGAAACCATGTCCGTTGAAATACCCATGGCCAGCATGGTAAGAGCCAAACCTGGAACAGAAGAAATCATGATTGAAGTGAGGTGAGTGAGTTTAGTTTTATGCCGCACTCAGCAATATTCCAGCTATATGGCAGCAGTCTGTAAATAATCCAGTCTGGACCAGACAATCCAGTGATCAACAGCATGAGCATTGATCTACGCAATTGGCATACCAAGTCAGCGAGCCCCCGATCGCGTTAGTCGCCTCTGACGACAAGCATGGGTTACTGAAGATCAATTCTATCCCCCGGATCTTCACAGGTCGATTGAAGTGAGGGAGTGAACTGGCATTAAATATAATACATCAACAATATTGCAGCTTTAGGAGGCTGCCTGTTCAAAATCAAGCCTCAATCCATCACACTAATGGTTGATAGTGAGAGGATGAGATCGTAAAGAATTGGCTAAAGTCAGGCCCCATGAAGATCCTGGATAGATGTGAGGTGAAATTGGGTTTAACGTCGCGCTGGAGAATATTTCACTCATATGACGACGTGCATGCGTGTGTATGTGTATGTGCGGCTATTTGTACTAGCCCAGACTTAAGCTGGTTTTATAGTGCTAGCCCACTGAGATACCATGCTGCAGTGAAGCATGAATAGCCCACTCAGACACATTATACTGACTCCCGATCCGACCAGTCCTTGTTGTACCCATTAATGCCGAGTGCCAGGCACGGACTAACAAGTACCATATTTTAACGTCTTTTGGTATGAAGCGGTCGGGGATCGAACCCGCGACCTTCCGCTCTCCGGGCGGACGCTCTAACCACTACACCACGGAGGGGGTCAGATCCTGGATAGAACTGATCCAGTGAACTATGCCTGTTAGAAAAGATGACTCTAGGGATTCACTGGATTCAGGGGCCAGTGTCACTGTCCTGATTGGTGCATGTCACTGTATGCCAACTGTGTACCGGTAGATCAATAGTCAGTTACTGGACTGTCTGTCGGGACTTGATAATTGACAGACTGTCGTCACAATGCCGGGGGTGGCAATAAACAAACAAACAAACAAACAAACACTGACATTATGAGAGTTGAATAACTTTTAGCAATTGAATATCTTATAGTACATTAGCTTTACATGACATTTACAAAGTTGTTGTTTTTTTCACCTCCAACAATACGATATAGTTTTGACTGGGCACAAAATACGAAATAGCTGTTTTGTTATGTTCATGGAAAATACGATTTTAATTGGCCTTTGTTCCGCGTTATGTAATCGTTACTATAACGCGGGGTGTCTAATAACGTGGGGGGTCATCCATGGACCCCAAGACCCGCATTATGGCGAGGGATGCCTGTATAACCAAGAGAGTGGAATCCAAGAACAGTGCCAGTGATGGTTCCAGCCTTATATACTTCCTGTGTAGAAAACAATCACTGACTGTCTGACATTAACTTTACATAATCTTTTATATCAATGAAAGGGTCTGTCTTGATGAGGAATATTCCACTCAGAATGTTGAAACAATACAACATATGCTTGATTTATACTATCTTTCTATGAAATAGCAACACAGAGTCCTTACTTGGAATTGAACCGTATCCTCTTGTCCACCTTACTTCCATCATTGGATGTCTTGGAATGGTCGGAATATTTTTTAGGGTTGTCAGGGATACGGAACCTTGCTACCTGGACCTCGGTATCACTCAGGCCGCCATGTGTGATCCGAGCGTATCCCAGTCTGCAATCATCAAATTAGAAGTGATTCAGGTATTGAAATCCGCAGTCCTGATCAGCCACCTTATTAACCCTTTACATATAACATATTTACACCATTTCTGATCAGCCACCTTATTAACCCTTTGGGTGGTGGGGTAGCCTAGTGGTTAAAGCGTTCGCTCGTCATGCCGAAGACCCGGGTTCGATTCCCCCAAATGGGTACAATGTGTAAAGCCCATTTCTGGTGTCCCCCGCCCTGATATAGCTGGAATTTGGTTAAAAGCAGCGTAAAACTTAACTCATTCACTCACTATTAACCCTTTACATATAACATATTTACACCATTTCTGATCAGTCACCTTACTAGCAATTTATACATTTGTATTCACAATACCTGTCTGGTTCAGTTACCATATTAATACTTCAGATGTGATGCATTCACACCAACAGTCTGGATAAGTCATCTTATATAACCTGTCAGCCACTTCTAAATGCCTTATTAACCCTTAATACATGATGTATTCACACCAACAGTCTGGATAATTCATCTTATATAACCTGTCAACCACTTCTAAATGCCTTATTAACCCTTTATACATGATGTATTCACGCCAACAGTCTGGATAAGTCATCTTATATAACCTGTCAGCCACTTCTAAATGCCTTATTAACCCTTTATACATGATGTATTCACACCAACAGTCTGGATAAGTCATCTTATATAACCTGTCAACCACTTCTAAATGCCTTATTAACCCTTTATACATGATGTATTCACGCCAACAGTCTGGATAAGTCATCTTATATAACCTGTCAACCACTTCTAAATGCCTTATTAACCCTTTATACATGATGCATTCACACCAACAGTCTGGATAAGTCATCTTATATAACCTGTCAACCACTTCTAAATGCCTTATTAACCCTTTATACATGATGTATTCACGCCAACAGTCTGGATAAGTCATCTTATATAACCTGTCAACCACTTCTAAATGCCTTATTAACCCTTTATACATGATGTATTCACACCAACAGTCTGGATAGGTCATCTTATATATCCTGTCAACCACTTCTTAATGCCTTATTAACCCTTTATACATGATGTATTCACACCAACAGTCTGGATAAGTCATCTTCTATAACCTGTCAACCACTTCTAAATGCCTTATTAACCCTTTATACATGATGTATTCACACCAACAGTCTGGATAAGTCATCTTCTATAACCTGTCAACCACTTCTAAATGCCTTATTAACCCTTTATATGTGATGTATTCACACCAACAGTCTGGACAAGTCATCTTCTATAACCTGTCAACCACTTCTAAATGCCTTATTAACCCTTTATACATGATGTATTCACACCAACAGTCTGGATAAGTCATCTTCTATAACCTGTCAACCACTTCTAAATGCCTTATTAACCCTTTATACATGATGTATTCACACCAACAGTCTGGATAAGTCATCTTATATAACCTGTCAACCACTTCTAAATGCCTTATTAACCCTTTATATGTGATGTATTCACACCAACAGTCTGGATAAGTCATCTTCTATAACCTGTCAACCACTTCTAAATGCCTTATTAACCCTTTATACATGATGTATTCACACCAACAGTCTGGATAGGTCATCTTCTATAACCTGTCAACCACTTCTAAATGCCTTATTAACCCTTTATACATGATGTATTCACACCGACAGTCTGGATAAGTCATCTTATATAACCTGTCAACCACTTCTAAATGCCTTATTAACCCTTTATACGTGATATATTCACACTATCCGTCCTGATCAATCACCTTATTAACCCTTTATACATGATGTATTCACACCACAGCTCTGATCAATCACCTCATTAACCCTTTATACATGATGTATTCACACCACAGCTCTGATCAATCACCTTATTAACCCTTTATACATGATGTATTCACACCACAGCTCTGATCAATCACCTCATTAACCCTTTATACATGATGTATTAAAACTATGGGTCCTGATCAATCACCTTATTAACCCTTTATACATGATGTATTCACACTACAGCTCTGATCAATCACCTTATTAACCCTTTATACATGATGTATTCACACCACAGCTCTGATCAATCACCTCATTAACCCTTTATACATGATGTATTCACACCACAGCTCAGATCAATCACCTTATTAACCCTTTATACATGATGTATTCCCCCCACAGCTCAGATCAATCACCTTATTAACCCTTTATACATGATGTTTTCACACTACAGCTCTGATCAATCACCTCATTAACCCTTTATACATGATGTATTCACACCACAGCTCTGATCAATCACCTCATTAACCCTTTATACATGATGTATTCACACCACAGCTCTGATCAATCACCTCATTAACCCTTTATACATGATGTATTAAAACTATGGGTCCTGATCAATCACCTTATTAACCCTTTATACATGATGTATTCACACTACAGCTCTGATCAATCACCTTATTAACCCTTTATACATGATGTTTTCACACTACAGCTCTGATCAATCACCTCATTAACCCTTTATACATGATGTATTCACACACCACAGCTCTGATCAATCACCTCATTAACCCTTTATACATGATGTATTCACACCACAGCTCTGATCAATCACCTCATTAACCCTTTATACATGATTTATTAAAACTATGGGTCCTGATCAATCACCTTATTAACCCTTTATACATGATGTATTCACACTACAGCTCTGATCAATCACCTTATTAACCCTTTATACATGATGTATTCACACTACAGCTCTGATCAATCACCTCATTAACCCTTTATACATGATGTATTAAAACTATGGGTCCTGATCAATCACCTTATTAACCCTTTATACATGATGTATTCACACTACAGCTCTGATCAATCACCTTATTAACCCTTTATACATGATGTATTCACACTACAGCTCTGATCAATCACCTTATTAACCCTTTAAACATGATGTATTCACACTACAGCTCTGATCAATCACCTTATTAACCCTTTATATATGATGTATTCACACCACAGCTCAGATTAATCACCTTATTAACCCTTTATACATGATGTATTCACACCACCGGTCCTGATCAGTCTCATCAATGTCCTTGACCTCTCCATGGTTGATGAGCTGGAAGTAATCTCGACTCCTTGGCTGAGATGTCACATATCCCAGGAACACAGCAGGATTCTCACTGGATAATATCACAGTACACTCTCGTAACCTTGATTCGTGGATATAAGGGAAGTGCAGCGGAATTCATATTTTAAATGCATGATTTCATTTTGTACACGCACTGATTATTTTATTCATTGATTCAGCAAATTGAAAACGCCTAATATTCCACTCGTGAATGAAACGTTTGTTTAAGGAAGCCATTTGCAATCACCCATTCATTTGCCCACAAAATGTGACGTCACCTTGTTTCGTGGATTACGTAGTCGGTTACTTTATATCACTGTGTACGACATCCCACTACAGTAAGTATTGACACCAAGAAAAGCAGACAACGAGAAGTGAGAAGGTTGGAGCTAACGGTATCTTTTTCACTTGACATTTTGTAAAAATAAAATTTGGCAATGGTGGTATTAGTGATCTGGGGCTATTTATCTTAATGCTGGACAATTACATTTAGTGTACTTGCGTGTAATGCAGAGATTCGAACTTTTTTGTCAGCGAGGCGTGGCATTGTATGTACATCAAAAGTACCGCTTTGTGACGTCAGTCGAGACTTAATTTACGAGCTGGCATAATCATTTCCGCGATCCAAGGGTTATCCACGAATTTAGGTTACGGTTCTGTATATTTTTAAACAGAAATCTGAGAAGAACAAAGCGTTTCAGCACATACAGACAAAATAGTTGCAGTTCCTCCTATGACTGACATTCTTATCGTAGTGTAATGTTGAACGGGAATTTACTTATTGCGTATTTGTACATTATCAGCAATGCATCAGCAAGATTCAGTTGACCAAAGTCACTGGTCAATGTTTTAGAAGTTGTATTGAAGAAGAAATATTAATATGGCACAGTGTGTCCAAATCAGTATTAGAATGCATTTGATTGAGCAATGTGGATCAAATTTCAAACTCTAAAATTTAGGGAAGATTTCAAAATTATGTTTGCTGGACTATACAACTGAATACATACGCATTATGTAGTTCATCTGAAAGAAATTTTGCCTGAAGCTCTCTGTCCAGCATATCGCGGTCGTTGCCCATGTGTGTCACAACGAAGTCAACAAGTCTACCGGTGTAGTTGACTGTGGCTGTGATGGCCGGAGCAAGCTCACCTGGACAAGTCACAATCCAAACAAAATATTATAAAAAAGGAAGATATTTATCCACAGCATATCTATACAGTTGGACCAAGTTTAGGATAGTGAGAGAAGGTGAATGTGCACCCAACTGTGAGTGACGGAGTCATACATTCAACACTGTCCTTGGGAATAACCCATCTTAACCTTTTAGAAGGGCGGTGGGATAGCCTAGTGGTTAAAGCATTTGCTCATCACGCCGAAGACCCAGGTTCGATTCTCTCCATGGGTACAATTTGTGAAACCCATTTCTGGTGTCCCCCGCCATGATAATGCTGGAAAATTGCTAAAAGTGGCATAAAACCACACTCACTCACCCACTTTTATAGGAAGCATGATAGAAAACATTACAACTGTCACTTTCCCAATCTGGAGAGCCTGGTTCTGATTGGTCAGATGAAAAATTGTTCTGACATGAATCAAAAACAGGCTGTCACAGATCTTTGTTTGGTGGTAGAGAGAACAACCCAGATAGCATTCAGACGTTGGCCCAACGTTGTCAATGGTTTTGCCAACCTTGCCAACGTTGGGCCAACGTTCGAATGCTATCTGGGAAAGACCTCATTATAATATTGACAGTTGTATGAATATATGATGTCTTAATCTAATACTAACTAGTTGAGTTGAGTTGAGTTGGGCTTTACGTCACATCGGCATTATTCCAGCCATATAGTGACGTAACAAGTCTGCATTAGTAAAAATTGTAAGTACGGAGTAAAAATGAGTTTTATTTCAAAAACATATATTCATTTCATTGTCATTTTAAAAATAAGAAAGAAAAATAATCTAATACTAACCATGGGGGGATGGAAGCAGATGATGGGTAGACTTCACAATAGGATACTTCTTGACAGAATCAAATTCCTGGGGAGAAATATAAAGAAACTTGCTTTACATGAACACCTCAGCAATGTGCACTGAAAATCCAGGAAAACAGAAGTCTGCAGGTTGAAGCTTCATAATACCAACAAATGGTATGAACAACCTCCCAAAACACCAAGTCTGTAATAGTTAGTTATTTAACATTGCTCAAATTGTATTTCAGTTATATCCCAGGATGTTGGAGGAGATCCAAATGATTACAACCTGGCAAAAACTAAGTGCATGAGTATGGTGCAGACAAACCAAGAAACAATTGGCGGATTTGAACCCAAGATCCAAGGTTCTGACACCTTGAGAGATGATCTGCATACACTGAATTACAGTGTCTCCTCTTCAAGTGGCATAGAAGCTGGTATGATGAAGCATCTATTGCAATATAGAAATTGTCATCCATAAAAAGTGTTCCTCTTGATGAATTACAACTTCATGAGCAGCTGAACCCCTCCTCCGTCAGACCTGAATATTGAATGGTGACATTGAAAACTGTAATATATCTAATGACACAACAGCACAAGAAAGGCAACGTTCTCACCCCCATGTGTGGTCTTTAGTGGACACTCCGAAGTCAACATACATCCCCAGCCTCTCTCCAAGCCACATCCCTAGGTCATTGTTGCCTAGGAACGGCTTTGATGCGTCACTCTCCAGCAGTGTGATGAAGTCCGCACCTGACACAAGCAGAATGTCATACATAGTTACACATGATCAAACCAGGTGAAAGGGATTGACAGCAGTCCTGTCTACTATTTTATAGGTTCTGATGATCTCATCGAGATATGAATCTTTTCTTTTTTGTTGTTGTTTAGTTATTACTTTATAACATGAATTTGGAAATCTGTAACTCAAGGCTTGAGAATTGTTACAGACATCTGCTACAGACTTCGGACCAAACATTGGCCTCTGAGGTCCAGATATAACCCAGAATATCCGAGGTCCAGATATACCCCGGAGGTCCAGATATACAACTGAGGTCCAGATATAACCCAGATGTACCCGAGGTCCAGATATACCTCTGAGGTCCAGATATACCCCGGAGGTCCAGATATACAACTGAGGTCCAGATATAACCTAGATGTACCCGAGGTCCAGATATACCTCTGAGGTCCAGATATACCCCGGAGGTCCAGATATACCCGGAGGTCCAGATATAACCCAGATATACCCGAGGTCCAGATATACCTCTGAGGTCTAGATATACCTGAGGTCCAGATATACCCCGGAGGTCCAGATATAACCCAGATGTACCCGAGGTCCAGATATAACCCAGATATACCCGAGGTCCAGATATACCTCTGAGGTCTAGATATACCCGAGGTCCAGATATACCCCGGAGGCCCAGATATACCCGAGGTCCAGATATACCTCTGAGGTCCAGATATAACCCAGATATACCCGAGGTCCAGATATACCCCGGAGGCCCAGATATACCCCGGAGGTCCAGATATACCTCTGAGGTCTAGATATACCTCTGAGGTCCAGATATACCCGAGGTCCAGATATACCTGAGGTCCAGATATACCCCGGAGGTCCAGATATACCCCAGAGGCCCAGATATACCCCGGAGGTCCAGATATACCTCTGAGGTCTAGATATACCTCTGAGGTCCAGATATACCAGAGATAGGTCCAGATATACCCGAGGTCCAGATATACCCCAGATACCAGATATACCCGGAGGTCCAGATATACCTCTGAGGTCTAGATATACCTCTGAGGTCCAGATATACCCGAGGTCCAGATATACCTGAGGTCCAGATATACCCCGGAGGTCCAGATATACCCCGGAGGCCCAGATATACCCCGGAGGCCCAGATATAACCCAGATATACCCCGGAGGCCCAGATATACCCCGGAGGCCCAGATATACCCCGGAGGTCTAGATATACCCCGGAGGTGTTACCTGTATCACTGAGTAACTGGGCCCCTCTCTCCAGGCTGGGCCAGCCCTTGTTGTCATACCCAAAGTGGTACGTCCAGATGGCGGCCGTAAATTCACGAGGGGCAGTCTGCAGCACACATAGGGAGGTGAATAATTACAAGACACAGGCAAATATTATCATGAGAACCTTGAATTTATTTAAATGAACAGGATTTTAAATCAATTTATTTTCAAGAACTCAGAGACTGTCTGTCTTCGAAAATGTCCTGAAGAATTTTAATAACTTGGTAATGAAATTCAAAAAGTGTCCCATAAAGAACTGATGAAATCATGAAAATGTTTCATTGCCAATCAATATGGTTCAATATTTAACAGTGGATTGATGTCCATCCACTTTTCCAATGGTTTCTAAATATGAAACTGTTAAGAGCTCTATTTCAGGTGTCACAGCTCAACTGGAACCAGGCATCCAGTAACAGAGATTTTGGAGTTACCTCCCTTCAAGAAATGCTTACCTTGGGTGCATGGTCGAACTGACGAGGGTTATATCTTGCACCCAAGCCTCCCAGGCCAGCCAAGACTAGGAGAATTAACACTGGAATATACAAAAACAAACAATTATGTAACAAACTATAGGCCAAGACCAAGAATTTTCTGTTTTAATACCAGAGTCTAAAAGTCTTTTGAATGTCTTGAGTCTAAAGGTTACAGCAAACCTGCTAGGCAGGGCAGCTAGACTTGTGATGTGAATTGATTGTTACATCATCTTGGCAATGACATCTCATCAATATCTCCTCATGAAGCATATTGGGATGTTAATTTAGTGTATCAATGATAATATAAACCTCAAGTCAGTATAAACAAGAAAACAGTCTTAATATACCTGTATATGCAAATTAAAATTTGAGGTGTTTACCTCAACACTGATAAAAATAAGTGTGCACTGCAAACGAGATGTACAAAAATCTAAGCATGGGGGAAGGGATAAAACTCAAAATACTTTACACAACCCACTTTCGTACACAGTCTGGATAAGTATCTCATAGATTATCTTGAAAGGCTCATTCATAAAACTTGACTGGTTTCAAAGAACTATTGTCCTTATTGCAGAAACTTGTACTTAGTAAAATAACATGGATCAAGGGCCTTAACTGCAAGAATGAATACAAAACATTAATTCTTGACTTCTTTTGTGATTGTGAACATCAGGGTCAAAAGTTTCAATTCTTTGACTTCAATAGTTTTTGAGAAAACCTGTCACCATTGAGAAGTGGAGGTACAGAAGGTGAGGTGAGGTGAAATTGGGTTTAACGACGTGCTTGAGAATATTTCGCTCATATGACGACGTGCATGCGTGTGTATGTGTATGTGCGGCTGCTTGTACTAGCCAAGACTAAGTTGGTTTTATAGTGCTAGCCCACTGAGATACCATGCCGCAGTGATGCATGAATACCCCACTCAGACACATTATACTGACTCTGAGCCGACCAGTCCTTGTTGTACCCATTAATGCCGAGCGCCAGGCAGGGACCAACAAGTACCATATTTTAACGTCTTTTGGTATGACGCGGTCGGGGATCGAACCCGCGCCCTTCCGCTCTCCGGGCGGACGCTCTAACCACTACACCACGGAGGCGGTTAGGTACAGAAGGACAGACAGACTGATGGATGAACCTGTTCCAATATGGTGGAGCATAATGATTAACTGGATTATCATCTAAACTGTTCCTTAAAAGCAAAAGAAGGCCTTTTAATTTTATTATGTCTTATTCCTTTTAGAAAAAAGACTATGGGGTCTAAGTCATGAAAAAATGTCTTGAGCAGGTCATAAGATCATCGCAACATTAATATCACTTACAGTTTCATCATATTACTAATTGTTTGGAAAACAAATATTTCTGCAAGATACTGAATCAAATATGAAGTGTCGAAATGTTCTCACAAATACTATGCGATGTAGATGGCATCTTTGTTTTGTTGATGGTGACAAAGGCAGCTCTGCTTTCTGTTATTTTACCACCTGAAAGACAACACAAATATAAAAGATTTCACAAGGATGTCACAACTCTGGATTCATTGGTCTTTATACTTGAAATGCCAAATTCTGTTTTCTTCACTCTGTACACAGATATTCTAATCATGAAACTTGTGCAGTGACAAAATCCAGTCACATAGCTTGATCATCACTTGTGTAACGAAACAGCATAATTGTATTTTGTATCACGATACAAGGCTCACGTTACAAGGCTCACGATACCATTAGGGGCAACTATTGTGGGGAAACAACTACTGCGATAGTGATAATCTATTACAACATACCGTACTATAGCATTGCAGTTTTTTGCAATCTATTGAATTATGTCATTCCTTGAATTATGTCATTCGAAGCAATTTCCCAAATGAAATTGTGGAGTTCATATGAAATACAAACAAATTGAAGTAGTTTCAGTCTCTTTCAATAACTGACAAGAAACTTGAAACCCAGATCATGTAAACAGTTAAAACCTAAGTGATTGTACCTTAGATCACTTGGAGAGAATTTGCTGTGAATAAGGACACTATTTTTTCGTGATGTTTTGTTCACAGAATTATCGAAAACAATGGTACTCAAAACATTTGTGACAAACGCGCACCTGGCCAATGATTATATGCCATTGTTTTGTCTATAAAACAACATAAACAAATTCAATGAACAAGACATATCCTTTAAATATGTGTGCATATATGCATTTCATGAAATTCATAAATCATCTTTATTTATTATGTCAGTTTTACTAAAGTTTAAAATACTAATTGTTGATAATGAAATTAGTTTCATGAAACCATATGTGAACGATACGCAAAGTATACATTAATACTAAAAATTTAATCCGTAGGACAATATGATTGTGTTTACTCCAATTCAACCGACCTTCACCTCAAAGAAATTTCCACATATGTCCAACAATGTTGACGTATGACATCACTACAGATGACCGATTTCTCATGAAATGGCAGCTTCGTGGATATGGGTGCCCACGATATTGCGAGGGAACCTTTGTCCATAAATGTATGACGTAAGTAATCGGAAACATTCTGACTATCTGCCTATGGTTATTTGTTTATATATTGTTTCATTGAAAAAGTCAGAAATGCTGATAATTGCCTCCATGATTATTTGCGTCTGGCATGGCGTCACACTGCACAGAACTTTCATATGAATATATCAAATTTCTGCATTGTATCTGTTTTTTAATTTTTTCTAGTTCTTGCTACGATACTCTTTCCGTGCATAATATAAACGTTTTGAGCTCATGCATGCTACGAATAGACAAACTGATGTCCAAAAACTTGAGAAAATGCTGCCCAGTATAAAATCTGATTTTCGCTTTGTTTACTTTTCTAGCAAACGCTGTGTTATGAGCACAACGCTCCGTTTTCACACCCAATATGTTTCCGTTCTTTTCTAGACACTTGGTTTTAGTGACAAAGACCATTTGTAAGTTGATTCTAAAATGTATGAGAATTCAGCGATGCATTTGTCACAACTGAATATGAAATATAATACATTGTAATAGGCGCCCTATGATCCGCCTTAATACATTTGTAAACACTATCAATTTGGCAGAAAGCTCACTTTGGTGTTTGTGTTCGGTGTATTTTCCAAAACATCCCAACCAATTCTAGGTTTATCGGCGACGTTTCAGAATTCTTTAGATGTGTTTCTTCACAGCAGTTGAAATTATTGTTTTTGTTCCGAGGTTTAGCCGTAAAGATGCCATTTTGACAGAAGACCAAGAACGCTTACGTGTTTATGTTGCGGAATTGTGGGAAATATTTAGGGGAATCCCCGAGTTTAATGAAAATATTTACATTAAGACATCATTAGATAATGATACGCTAATAAGTGCTTGATACAACCGTTTTTAATGATGCCATTACTAATGATGCATTAAGGATTTAATGTATCATTAGGGTTTAATGTTGACATTAGTTAATGAAGCAATGATACAACCGGATCCTGGTAAAGAATGATTCGGGTTGTGATTCACAAGCACAATAGGGAGAGATATGAACTTATAAAATGACATAGAAATACAGTATGAGGATATAGATCGTATTGTATTGATATTATGGGGATACTCCTCGTATTGTGGCCTCATTGTATAGTTACACCACTACTGATCATCCCATCGTTTTGGTTGTTGGGGGCTAATACTAAGACAGAATTTCTAAGGAGGCTGTTCTGTTAGGCAGAAGGAGGATAGTGACATTATCTTACAGTGACATCATCTTACAAAATACTGATATTTTACTGACCGTCTCACTGACATCCAAAAGGTCAAAAGACACACCTGAATATAGTCCAAAGAGGATCATCACCATGACAAATCCAATCAGCCAATCAGTGTGCTCCCTGGTGTACACGCCCCAGGACAAAGTTGTAAGCTACTGTCCACACACCAAATAATACTTCGGCAACATACACAATCATAGCAAGTGTGAGGCTTGTTGCAGGGCAACCAGACATCTGGTCAAATATTTTCGGCCAGACAGACATTACGTACACCGCCAAAACCAGGCCACCTGAAAATATCATGAAACAAATGAAAATATTTAAAGAAACTCAGCTTTAACTACAGAAATATCCCATAAAATATTCATGATACATTCCTAATTTTATCGGAGCTACAATGTAAGACAATTAGTTGGGTTTGCATGGCTGATGGCAGCTTTGAACAGCCTTTTAGTTGTATCATAGTGTTTCAGGTTGTGAGGGGGTTCAGTGAGTGAGTGAGTGAGTGAGTCCGAGGGTTTATCAGGCCTATTACGATTAAAAATAAATGAAGGAAGATGGTTAAATATTGATGTATCTCTACGCACATGTCCTGTCTGTAAACTCGGTATAGAGGATGAATTCCATTTTCTTTTAGTATGCAAATATTATTCTGAAGAAAGATTCTATTATTTTCCACATATTTACAACCACATTCCAAATATATTTATATTCAAAAACCTGCTAACTTCTCCTTCAAATGAAGCATTATCAAATCTATGCAAATTCATATATACTGCTTATAAAAAGAGACAGACTTTGTTAAACTCTTAATTGTTTTACATCATGTTTCCAATATATTTTGATTGTACATATGTTATATGTATATGGTCCGGTGGCCTTCATGCATAATAAAGATCTTTGATTTTGACTTTGAGTGAGTGAGAGTGTTTATCCTGCCTTGAACTGTGAGTGAGTTACATTAAGGCATGTCAATTTTGAGCAGAGCATGGTTTTACGCAGCTTTTAGCAATATTCCAGCAATATCATGGCTGTGGACACCAGAAATGGGCTTCACACTTTGTATCCATGTGGGGAATCGAACCCAGGTCATTAGCATAACGAGCGCATACCCTGCAGCCCAAATACTTCAGTGAAGCCCAGGACTATGTGTATGGTGCAGACAAACCAAGCAACCAATCTGGAATTCAAACCCATGATCATCTTATCAAACTGTGATTGCCTTGAGCAAACTGTTACCTGCTCATGTGCATTATATCCCCACAATGTTTACACCATGTGATCCATGGTTCTTAAGAAAAGGATTTCATTTTCTAAATATTTCAAAGAAATGTCTTTACATTTACACAATCACACTTTGGAGTGAGTGAGTGACACGCTTTTAGCAACATTCCAGCGATATCACGGCGGGGGACACCAGAAATGGTCTTCACACATTGTACCCATGTGGGGAATCGAAACTGGGTATTCGGTATGACGATGTGCAGACCCTTTAACCACTAGGCTACACCTCTTTGGATACAATGTCTCCATACCTACAGAACAAGGTTTAGCTTCAACAGTAAGAAATTCACTTTCTCACCTCCAAAACCCATCCACCTGGGCAGGAAGTACATCGCAAGAAACTGAGGAGGCCACACACCCACCACCAGGTGGTATTGGAGACATGGTGACACTGTGACATGTAGGTGCCAAATGCAAGACTCAGCAGTACAAGGCCCCTGCAGACAGACAAATATAATATCTATACAAGGCTATTTCTATGGGCAAAATGACAGCTGAAAAACTGACGTTTTCTCAGTTCCTCAGTGCCAAGTTTAACTACAAAACACCATGTATCAATATTTGGAAAATTATCAGTTGTGTGCTGTTTCAGGGTAAAGGGCAGAGAAATGTTTTTTACATGATATGTTTAAAAAAAAATACCAAACAGCAAATCTGAAAGTGTAACACTGGCAACCATGGTTACCATAGTTACAGTTGCACGACACTCACCCCCATGGATAAGGCATTGGGCCAGGGTCAGGGTAGCCTTTGACCACCCATCTGAGTATGAGTGACACCTCCCCAAAACAGGCGTGTGTCACATACAACAGACTGCCAAACGCAAGGGATGCTGGGATCCAATATGGCCGATCTGCTCTGGTTAAACGCTTCGAGCCATCTTCGATTTTGTCATCACCTAAAAGTAAGAAACAGATGGTGTAGATCAGTCTGAGACGCCAACAATTTCCAGTTATATATGGTACAAATACTAGTGTATATACTGATGGGTTGAATCATCCTTATGAAGCTGAGAATGAAACCGACAAGTGCACATTGATCAACTGACTGTGGTAAAAATACTGTAGCACCATGGTGAATGGACTCCAGTGCCCTTTAATGGACTTATTACTACTGTTGTAAATATTACTAGAAACAAGCTACACTGTCCCTGCAGTATGGTATCAGTTTTCATCTCGACCATGTTGATGACCAGTGTTTATTGATAATTTCCTTCCAAATATTATTTACAGGTGTTTTCAAAAGTGCCTTCTCATAATTACCTGAGACAATCTGATCAAGTGCAGCAATAGCGCCAAGGGAGATAACTGCGGTGTTTGTTGAAGTTGACCACCAGGTGGGAACAAATGATGTTAGCCATATCCGACTGGATAGATAGGCAAACATTCCCAACATCAAGCTCCAGTAGAACTGGGACCTGACAAATACCAACAATAGACAAAATATTTTAGACAATAAATTATAGCGTATGATTTACAAATGATCAATCTCATCAGATTAACTTTCAATATAGCAGCGTTTGATGAATTTTAAGTAGCAAACCACCAAAACATTTATTGCATCAAGAGATAAATTTGATGATAAAGAGATACGGGTGATGGTTTAGTTATAAGGTTTAAATTTTGAGAATCATAGTTAAGCATAAAATGTTTTCATCACATGCTAATAAAGCCTTCTTTCAACCAATCAGTGACCAGTTGAGTGATATCACACTTCATTTCCCCCATGGGACCTAGTGAATATTAGCTCATATACCTGATCCTTGTACTTGGGCTGAACAGCAGGGCTGCCATCACCAGTGTAGCTGTTCCTGATCCGACAGCTAGCACCACCAACCGTGACAGCGTTGTTGACATCTGAAAGGATGCCAGGCACCCCACACACACCAGCCGCAGCAGACCAAGGACCCATCGGTTCTGTATCAGGCACAGGAAGCCGGGGATGATGCAGAATATGGGACAGAACCACACGGCCGCAAAGGCTTCGTATCCTGATATCTCCAGCTCATTGAGAGGGTAGAACCAGATCATAGGAGCCAGTCCCTGGAACAAGCTCCAGAACACAAAACCTGGAAACAATAACAAAATATGCTTAGTCTTTTAAGAAATACCAGTGTAGCAGTTTAAGATGGGAGAACGTGGGGTACTTGGGCCCTTGAGATTTTGTGTTCATGTTCATATTCAGGGACCACCTGAATCTTTACTCTCTCCATTAAGATCTAGTCTGTTCACTCTAGCCATTAATATCTAGTCTGTCTCACAGTCCGTGAACCGCATTATATACCCTTCTGCCAAACCTTTTCTGTAATGCTAAAGTCCTAACTAATACAGGTCTGAACTTCCTCTGGTTCAGGATCTCCCTCCTCACCAGGGCCCTTTTCAATTTATAATGAATTGTTTGTTTCTATCAAAATTGTGTATATTCAGAGACTAAGCGTTAGTCTACATTAGCAGGGCTCCAGATAACTTTTCATGATCAGGAGTACATACTCCTTATTTATTCAATATAGGAGTACTGGAAAACCTTAAGAGTACATTTAGAGTACTGAATGGAAATTAATGGCGTATCAGTAATCTTGTGTTTCGTTTCATATATGCACCACAACATTGCTACTCTTGTGTAAACAGGTCAATAAACAATAAAACAATACTTTTTCAGATAAATACGTCTGTAAATGATTCTAAGACCGTACACCATTGCTGTGGTGCGTATCTGCTACGCTTTCTAAATTATTTCCTACCGTATCTTGCATATTTTTATCCGTACATACGCCGATACGACCCTTATCTGGAGCCCTGATTAGGATCATGACACTTGTTAAGTTACATTAACCTAAAACTGCACAATTTAATTTGATCCCTAGACTAATGCTTAGTTCCTGAATATATATATATAACTTTGATGGTAACAAATAAACCCATTTAAATTGAAAAGGAGCTCAAGTGAGATGGAAATCTAGACTTGCTTCATTTAGGGCTTTAGCATTGCAAGGTGGGCAAGGCAGTAGGGAAAATATGGAGGGTCAGGGACTGTGACAGACTAATTCATCCCCTGAATACCAATATATCCTGCTCATGTGAAATAACCATAGTTACCATGGTTACCCTAATATATATATTTACTTTTACACTTAAAAGTAGAAACCCGTGAAGGACCGGGCTAGAATATTGATCTTCAGTAACCCATGCTTGTAGTAAGAGGTAACTAACGGGATCGGGTGGTCAGGCTCGCTGACTTGGTTGACACGTCCATCGGTTCCCAATTGCACAGATTGATGCTCATGCTGTTGATCACTGGATTGTCTGGTCCAGACTTCGATTATTTACAGACTGCCGCCATTTAGCTGGAAAATTGCTGAGTGTGGCGTAAAACTAAACTCACTCACTCACTTAAAGTAGAAAGTAAAACCAGCTGGATATTTTGTTTTAGCAGCAGGTGAACAGTCATTTGAGCAAGTATGCCAACATACTGACATACAATTTCTACATGTATACTTAGCATCAAACTGAAGTTAGGGGGATTGGAACATAACAAACAGCACATGACAACTCCTGTAACACGATATGACATATCAGCAATTTTTTCACGCCCGACTGCCCGCGACTGACTGTGTGCCCTGCCTGGGTACACCTTTGTCTCATAGTCCCCGAGTCATTATTCCCCTTCCACTCAGCTGACTGTTAGACTACAGTCTGTTTGATTTCATTTGAGACTTGAGACTGAGGAATTGCTCACTAACACAAAATCTAATAATTGCAACAAAACCAAATTTTGCACAGTCACATGAAATCGACAGACCAACTCTGATGACTTGTCTCATACTTTTGGACACACGAATGAAAAAGTTGTCAAACAAACGATCATTATTTTGTTGTCACTTTTCGCTATTTTTTACGAGGGGGACCACTTGCTGGTAAAACAGCCAGGTAATCGACAAGTGTGTGCAGTGAAATTTCAATTTCACACTAGTGTTGGGAATTGGCTGAAATCTCACAATTGATGATTGCTTCATTACCAATGAACAATCATTGAAAAAATTGGTTAGCGTCATTTTTCAGATTTTCCTATCCAGGTTGTTATTGCAGATAAGTATAACATGATGCAACTCGCTTCTTAAAGTGATAACTAATATATCATGAACATGAACTTATTGGAGTCTTCCGGAAATAATTTCAGTCATGACTTTTCAGTTAGTGAAGTGAGTTTTCTAAGAATTAAACAAGTTTTCAGGCCCTGACAACTTCAAGATATGTTCCATCGTCAAGTGTTTCAAAGACTAAAACAGTAGTTCCAAAATCGTTTGTGTTCGATTATGAGTAAATGTGATCAATTGCTTGGTCGTTTGGTCACTACGACCAATCTTCGATTATTTCAATTAATCGAACACCACTATTTCACACGTGCAACTTGCACACCTGGCTGTTCTACCAGCAAGTGGTCCCCCCTCGTACAAAAAGGCGAAAAGTGACAACAAAATAATGATCGTTTGTTAAACAACTTTTTATTCGGGTGTCCAAAATTATGAGACAAATCATCAGAGTTGGTCTGTCGATTTCTTGTGACTGCAGATTTTGATTTTGTTGGATTAATTAGGTCATGTGTTAGTGAGCAATTCATCGGACTGAAATGAAATCAAACAGACTATAGGATAAACATGTAGGGCACTATCTGGAATTTTCTATACAGGGATTTATCTTGGATTTCGAAAAATTAATTGCTTTTTAACAAAGATGGGTATATTTCAATATTTTCTTAATAAATTTTCTGGTAGTTTAACACTGAATTCAGTTATATAACAAAAAAATCATTGAAGCTGTTTTCTCTTCCACACAGATCAAGATATTATTGGTGAAATCAACACCCAAAAGCAAAAACATTATCAATAACATCTTGATCTTGATGGAAAATTGGACTTTCTGACTTGGGACTGTTTATGAGCATTTGCCGTGGACTCAAATATCAGAATTTGAGTGAGTGAGTGAGTGAGTTTAGTTTTACGCCTCACTCATCAAATATTCCAGCTATATGGCAGCGGTCTGTAAATAATCGAGTATGGACCAGACAATCCAGTGATCAACAGCATGAGCATCGATCTGCGCAATTGGGAACTGATGACATGTGTCAACCAAGTCAGCGAGCCTGACCGCCCAATCCCGTTAGTCGCCTCTTATGACAAGCATGGGTTAGTGAAGATCAATTCTAACCCGGACCTTCACAGGTCTTAGCCTTTGAGAACACTTTGACTTTGATAACTCATTGTCGAATAAGACCCAAGGCAGCATTTTGAATATTTAAGCTCTTGAATATAGCTACTAGTCTACCTCAAGTCTTTTCAAGTGTCTTTCAGTAAGTTCAATTCGTAACAGCCCAAATAAAGACAACAAAATCTGCAAGGACATTAAAAATCTTACTAATATATGAAATTAGGCTGTTAAACTTTTGAAACAGTGAGTTTAGTTGCTTTTAGCAATATCATGGTGGGGAGACACCAGAAATGGGTTTCACACTTTGTACCCATTTCGGGAATCGAACTTGCTAATCGTGCTAATTTCAAAGTCTGGTTGGATGTCAAAAAGACAATAGAGACTTATACATTAATTCCAACATCTGACAACAAATGTTTGAAACATTTTTAATTAGCTGTTTTGATCTGGTAGATTGCCAGCAAGATTGTTCACTTTGTTCAGTAAAGTGTTTTTCGAAACAACCTACTTATATCATGATGCAATGAATCTGATGTCTGTGTTCAAAACTTCATAGGCAAGTTTAAATAATACTCATTGGTTCATAACTAGTTTAAAGTCCATACATTGGAAATAGCCAACAAATCGTGAATGATTTGGCAAGTCTATATTGTCTCAGCACACATCATAAGACATTAATGAGTGAGTGAGTTTAGTTATACACTGCTTTTAGGAATATTCTTGCAATATCACGGCAGGGGTGACCAGAATGTGCTTTCCACATTGTACCCATGTGGGGAATCAAACCCGGGTCTTTGGCATGACAAGCGAACACTTTAACCACTAGGCTACCCCACCGCCCCAGACATTAATGTCTGGGACTAATTAGTTATACCCTGCTTTTAGGAATATTCTTGCAATATCACGGCAGGGGACACCAGAATGTGCTTCACACATTGTACCCATGTGGGGAATCAAACCCGGGTCTTCAGCATGACAAGCGAACACTTTAACCACTAGGCTACCCCACCGCCCGAGACATTAATGTCTGGGACTAATTAGTCAACAGAGTGATACAGATGGAGATTTATTTCATGTTCAGTGAAGGAGTGAACATGCTGAAGTTGTACTTGTTGACTTTCGTCAGCTGATAAAGGCAGAGCACTTCGATCGTGGAAAGTCTGTTACAGATGGGACTCCTGCACCATATGGGTATGGATTGCAGTAAAAAAAAATGTCATATAAGGCATTGAATGTCCTGATGTAATGTAGATTGATTAATGTACGTGTTGGAGAGACCAGAGACCATATACATGTATTCTAGTATATTATTAACAAAAATTATTGACATGAGTCAGCTTGCAATGACAGGCATCAATAAAAACATTTCCAATTGTGTCTAGCAACATTAGCATGCATATACATGTGTGTGTGTGTGTGTGCGTGCGTGCTTGCGTGCGTATCATTGGATTCATACTGAGAGTTCTGTAACTCTCTGCAAGATTGACATAATCATATGTCATATATCTACTGACTTGCATCAGGAAATGAACAATAGCTAGCTTGGCTGTGTTCATCTGTGAAAGGTAATCGTCAGTTGTCATTGAAGTCGTATTTGTTGATGTTCATCAGCGTGAGCTAATTCAATGATGCGCGAAATATTGACATTTCTGTAATGATCCGCTCGGTTGATATACTAGTAATCAGTGACGTTCAACGAAAAATGAACGAGAGCAACAGGCTTTTGGGCCAACTGTTGCTCGGTAGTGTTCAACTAGGCGAGGTCATTTGCTACTCTCAATAGAACCGCTATATGCAGGTTGGGGAAACCATATATTTTTCTATAGGCCGATCGGGCTATATTTGACCATTATTATTATTATTTCACAAACTATCAATTTCCGCACGGAAATGGTTGTATATGATCATAGAAATGAATAGTTAATGGACCTCGTTAGCTTGAAAAAATTAAGTTTTTGGACAAAATGGAAATTTATATAATGTTCAGGAAAAGATGTTTCATTTAAGAACACAATTTTGCACAGATTTTCATTTTGAAAACTAAAACTGAATATCTATGTCATTAATATACTCAATCAAAAATACTCAAAAAGGGTTTGAATGAAAACCTGAGGACATCAAAACTTGAATGATGTTAATATCCTCATGCGGAAATGCACCACTTTAAATTTATTTGATAAATATCATAATTAAAGGCCAATCGGCCTAGAGCAAAATAGGCGGAACGTCCTATTTTATCCCGTTTGGCCTATTATATAGGCCGATCGGTAGGTTTCCCCAACCTGATATGTATGGTGTGGTGGCATGTCTTCACTGCACGACTAGGAACCAATCGCTCCCGGTTACTGTTAGTATTGTTTCTTAAACCTTTGTATAACCTTTAACGCCATTCCATCTGTTCTATGAATGACTGTTAGTCGGAACACTAAAATTACTAAAAATATGAAAGTGACGATCCCCCGTCTCCTAAAGACTCAATCTCACATTTAATAACTGAAAGACAGCCACGGGCAGAGTTACCTGCCTTCGCTGTTATGTGTTCAGTCGTCCAACTTCCTAGTTTCAGTGATGTCCCCTCTATAGGTGGCTCATTATGTGAGCATGTCAGTTAGAAATGATTCCTATTCCGAAAATCATACCGTTAATAGTGTCTCTAATAAGTGTCTTCGCACTTGTTGTCTGCAGATCCACCATTTTTGCACGTTCGTCTTTGCCGCTTGTCTTCTTTCGCGAAGTTGCCTCCTCCATGCTTGCCACTGTCGTTACACACTGTGCGTTGCAGAACCAGTCGAACTACGTGTGGGGCCCTCTTTGGGTTGTTGGGACAATGAGCATGATATTTGTATGTACATAGCACACAGAGGTATTTACCCATACACTATTCACTTCTTTAGTCCTTGATTTTACTGCCCACTGAAAATGTTAAACTGAAAACGTATTGAAAACCTTAAGATAATGGTACGAAATTTATCAGCCACTTTCAAATGGCTAACGACAAGCATTGTTTTTCATTCCATTTGGACGTTTAGGATTGCTTGCATGACCAAATAGATCTAAAACCCCAAGATGAATGAAAAACAACGATCCAACTTTAGATGAACTTTTAATGCTGTCTTTCTCGACGTTTCATAAGCACGCCATCCTGGGCTCTTGTCGCATCCTGTTTCTAAGGCCACAACATTGTTTTTAATAATAATTAATAGTCCGTTTATATTACGCTAAGTCCACACCGACAGCATGCTCACAGCGCAGACAGTTCATAATTACCCCGGATAACTTTCGCTGCCTGTGTGGCGCAAGAAGGTTATAGTCACATGACTTAATATCCCACCGGGTACCCATTTCCTGCTGGGTGAACAGAGGCAGTTTTGAACAAACACACTTAACTAAGGTTAATACGCTAATTGTTCGTCATATTGATTTTTCATAATACATGTATGTGTTTAAGAGCAATTATACTCTGAGAAATGACCATGATATATCAACATTTGATATAACCTCCCTGGATCATTTGGACACAGGGGAGAAAGGACTGTACACAGACTAAATGATAGTAAGTAAATCGGTAGGCTTCGATCTTTTCTCACGTTGAGTAAACATGTCTCGGGCGAATCAAATAGAAAAGGTTCATTTAAACATGAGTGAAATGTTGTGGCAGGCAAAGTAGAGTTGTTGTCAGTACAGTGTTTTACTTTTCGGCGGGTGCGTGATCACACAAATCCTTCGGTAAATATCAGCTAGTTCCCGGCATACAGTTGTACAACATGGTGGAAAGTATTATATATGATTAACACGTGCGTTCACAGTAACACAATAGTGTTGTGTTGGAGACGAGTGTGATAGGTACCCTGTATTCAATTATGGCATCTGTAGAATGCATATAACTGCAGCGTGCGTAAAACTTTTGACTTTTTATCTCCCCTGTATGTACGACCAGCTTACAGAAGCGGATCCTGTACAACCACCGATAATGCTTTATGCGGTGATTGTTTATATGATGCACAACTACTGAAAACGTACATTGTAGTGAGTGAGTGAGTTTTATCTTTACGCCGCTTTTAGCAAATATTCCAGCAATATTACGACGGGGGATACCTGAAATGGGCTTCACACATTCTACCCATGTGGGGAATCGAACCCGGGTCTCCGGCGTGACGAGCCTTAGCCACTAGGCTACCCCAACGCCCATACACTGTAGTGTGCCATTGCCTGTTCATGATGAATCAAGGGTCATTAATAAGACAACTAAAATATAAGTATCGTAGGAAAAGAGAGCAAGTATGAAATACACGTATCCAATATCTTAACAAAGGTGAGGTGAGGTGAAATTGGGTTTAACGTCGCGCTGGAGAATATTTCGCTCATATGACGACGTGCATGCGTGTGTATGTGTATGTGCGGCTGCTTGTACTAGCCCAGACTGAAGCTGGTTTATAGTGCTAGCCCATTGAGATACCATGCCGCAGTGAAGCATGAATACCCCACTCAGACAAATTATACTGACTCCGAGCCGACCAGTCCTTGTTGTGCCCATTAATGCCGAGCGCCAGGCAGGGACCAACAAGTACCATATTTTAACGTCTTTTGGTATGACACGGTCGGGGATCGAACCCGCGACCTTCCGCTCTCCGGGCGGACGCTCTAACCACTACACCACAGAGGCGGCCTCTTAACAAAGAATGGTGGCACAACAACATATACCATAGAAGCAGTTTGAGAACACCCCCCCTATTGTATACAATCATCTTAACTGCAACCAAGCACAGTTACATATCATGTCTTACTCCCTAGATATGCGACCGCCTCCGTGGTGTAGTGGTTGGAGCGTCCGCCCGGAGAGCGGAAGGTCGCAGGTTCGATCCCCGACCGCGTCATACCAAAAAGACGTTAAAATATGGTACATGTTGGTCCCTGCCTGGCGCTCGGCATAAATGGGTACAACAAGGACTGGTCGGCTCGGAGTCAGTATAATGTGTCTGAGTGGGGTATTCATGCTTCACTGCGGCATGGTATCTCAGTGGGCTAGCACTATAAAACCAGCTTAAGTCTGGGCTAGTACAAGCAGCCGCACATACACATACACACGCATGCACGTCGTCATATGAGCGAAATATTCTCAAGCACGACGTTAAACCCAATTTCACCTCACCCTAGATATGCACAAACAAATACGTAAAGAAATTTCTTCATTAAAAACAGACGAGTAGTTCACAGTCATACCACCAAACGAACGCGCTTTTAAAAATATTTAAGTATTGGTCGGGAAAGAATTTTTTAAATGGCATTTAGAACTGACACACATAAATGTGGATTGAATGTCAGCTTCTGTGGTATGAGGAACACGAAGTTTCAGAGTATATATTCTTACCCCTTCATCAGGTGAATGGAAGCTAAGGCGCAGATAGCTATATATAAGTACACTTGAAAGCAGTGTTAAACAGTGTTTACAAAGGTGAACACTTACAAGGGAAGCCAGTAGTTAATATATTGTTAATGGCAGTAGAGAAATGACCGGGAGTAGATCCAGATGTGAATAGTACTGATAGGTGTTTGTGTGTTGTTTAACGCTGCACTCAGCAGTATTTCAGCTATATAGAGGGCTCTGTAAATAATCGAGTCTCGACCAGACAATCCAGTGATCAGCAGCATGAGCATCGATCTACGCAACTGGGATACGATGACGTGTCAACCAAGTCAGCGAGCCTGACCACCCGATCCCGTTCTAGTCGCCTCTTACGATAAGCACGGGTTGCTGAAGAGCAGTTCTACCCCGGATCTTCACGGATGGGTAGGTATCAAAGCACTGATTGATAACTGATCAAAAGGAGAATAAGGAAAAATACTCCGAAACGAGAAGCCTCTACCAACAAACAACCAGACAGGAATGATTACACCAAATAAATCATAACATATGTTTTATTTCGGATTACTCTTGCTTTGTATAGTACAGATTCTTGTACTATTGTTGGGTTGAGTCCCATCCGAGATTCGAACCCACACCCTCAGCCAGGCACCTAATGGCCAGAATTCAAAGTCAGCCGCTCAGCCACCGCTGACTGCTGGCGATTAGGTGCCTGACTCTGAGGGTGTGGGTTCGAATCCCGGATGGAACTCAACCCAACAAAAGTACAAGAATCTGTACTTTACTAAGAAAGTATAATCCCAAATATAACATCTGTTACATTTGACCACTTTCTAATTGGCATTGTGTAATCAAAATAAATCCTTCATCAAATCAAAATTGCCATTGCCTCCGTATTGCTTAATGTTGTCGTATTTCGTTTTATTTCCATTTCTTCGTTTGAAGTAAACCCCGCGGGTTACACTTCCGGTTATGTTCAACGCGAGAGAACAAAATGAAGGATTCCCACGAATAATCATATGAGAAAAGTCAGACAACACATTTCATAGGTGGAAGTATTTCAGTGTAACGCATGTGTTGGACTCTGTTTGCTCTCAGCTATAAGGTAACAAATTTATATGGTAGATCCATGCATGGGGCTTTGAATGAACTGTTAACTCGATGAATATATTTTGCGTGACACTTGTCCCTCCCCCAAAGTGTTTTCATCAGGAAACACTATTGTCATGATTGAGAATATATTGTGTTGTCACTTTGAGATTTTGTTCAGCAAAAGCTAGGATAGGGACACACAAAATATTGTTTCTGGCTTTTCATATCTGTGTAATCGGAAAATGGGTGGGTACCTGGAAGGCAGAATTGATGGTTAGTGATCGTTTAACTTGTGATTATCACCTTATTAAGGTACACACACTAATATAATTCAGAAATGTGCATGTGTGGTAGTCACTTTTTGGGTTGTCTGGTGTTAAATTCCACTCTCAGAATTATTCCAGCTGTATGACAATGGTCTGGAAATAAGTCTGGACCAGATAATCCAGTGATTGATCATAAACATCAGTCTACCCAACTGGGATATGATGATGACATGTCAACAAAATCAGCAAGACTAACCATCCAATGCCAATAGTCTACACTTACAATAAGCATGGATTGCTGGTCCAATTCTAACTTGGCTTTTCACAGGTGACATTGACAAAGATTTCTCCAGATTTTCTGATTATGATTGATCCTGTCAGTGTTTTGAAATAGAATCAAAATAACGTTTTTGATAAACATGCTTTTTTTTCATTTTTAGTGAGGTATATCCAAGCAATGTCTTGGTCAAGCGAACTCCCGCAAGAGCTTCTTTGTCGACCAACTGGCCTTGTTGTTCTTACTGGACTTGATGTCACCTACAATGCTGTTCATAAGCTCATCTGGGACTCCTTTTGTAACAATCGTCGTCCAGACAGGGTTCCCCTTCAATTCCGAGTCCCGGGAAGGGGACTATGAATATCCTAAGTGCAAATCTAAGGTGGGTTTAATATACATGGAGATCAGTAGTCAAGTGTATCGCCATATCACAAGCCAGGCATATCAGTGACATATGACAAATTATCTTTTACAGAGAACGTCATATGAGTGGTACATCCCTAAAGGTGTACTGAAGACGTCCTGGATGAACAAGCACCTTAATGAGGTGCCAGGGGTGGTGGTGATCTTCTTCGACCTGGACTGGGATGAGACCATGTGGAAGGAGAGACAAATGGAGTGTGCAACACGAGTCGAGATTGTCAGGTGGATACTAGTGTTAGGAATCCATGCTCTTGCAAACTTGTAAAGGATTTGGCATTAGCTCTGTTCAACAAGTTCAATGAAAAGTATAAAAAATGTTCAAAGTGATTTATAATATAAATGCTTCATAAGTATTAGCATTCCTTGAAAAAGTATTTTTCAAGGAGAAGCATCACCCTTAATCAGAGTATCACTCACTTGTACACATGTCACTGTATACATCTAGAAGGGAATAAGCTATGCATTTGATGACATTGATAGCAGCTGAACTAAACATGTTTCTTGTTTGCTTTTCAGGAATAGCCTGCATGGTCGGGGCACGAAGGTGGCAGTTGTCCTCATACAGAGAAACACGCCTCTTCCACCAGGTAGGTCATCTGATAGAAGCAAGTGCAAGGCATGGATGTAATGTCAGTTCACAGGCACACTCTCATGAGGGAGGAAATGTGGTTTTATGATGATGTGACTATTTCTGTGGTCAAGTGGAGAGAAGTCAGTTGGTTGATTTAATGGACATGACATACCATTAGATGTTTAAGGATGTATTTATTTAGATCCTGTCGGGCAATAAGAGTACAAAAAGGCCTGATTGGTTGACTTGGTGTCTGTATATTGTCTGACTGTGGTATCCATGTTAAACCATGGCATGGTATCTCATTATTGGGTTAGCACTATAAAACGGGGATAAGTCCGGACAAGTACAAGCATCCACACACACACATGTATGCACCTCACAACATAAGGGCAATAATCTTGAATGTGTTACTATGCCAATCCACCAGATGGTGAATGGTAAATCAATGATGTGCCATGTTTCATCACTACAAAAAATGTGGTAGATTCTGTATGTCAAACTGTAAATATATGAAGACTGATCTAACTGGTAACATCCTGCTTATTGAAATGTTATTACCCATATCTGAATTCTTTTAACAAATAGACCTGGAAATACTTGCAGTTTCATCAACATTTTATTTCCTGAAACAATCCATGTTAAAATATGAAAGGATGCATTCCTAGAATCAATAGCAAGGTGTCTCCATCAATAGTTCGTAACCGATGTTGTGTGTTGCAGGGGAGGATGTTGTTGCAGCGGAGAGAGCTGCCTCTATATGCAGCATGTGCGACATATCAGCCAAGTCCCTGTATGTTCTGCCACATACTGACCATCTCATCGGCTACACCATCAGGTACTGTGGGTCATCACTCTGTGGGTCGCGGCATATGTGTCAGTTCTCAGATATTTAACATAGAAGCAGGGGTGGATACAGCTTTTTGAGAAAGTGTGTGTGTATGCGTGCGCTATTGAGAAAGGTGTGCGTGTGTGTGAGTGCGTGCGTGTGTGTGTGCGCGTTTCATTTCCACCCGAGTTTCAATGGTCATTTAACAAACTTTCTGGACAAAAGTTGGGGTGTGCCCCCCTGCACCCCCCTCTGGATCCGCCTATGAGAAGGATGAGGTGCTGGGATGCTCATGCCCATTTTTAAGAATATTAAACATATTTTCACCTGGACCTTTTTATGTTATCAGGTATACCAATAGTGAGTGTGTTCACTTTAATGCCACTTGGCCTCATGTTAGCTTAATATGGGGGGAAATGTTGAATGAGACAGGTCTCTGACATTTACCACCTTAATGAAACCTACAAGCACCAGAGTCTTTGAAGGGCATTTAGAAGTGATACACATGAAGACAAGAGTTTTATGGATGTCAGCTTCTTTATTGTGAAGGGTCACAACGTTTCGAAGTATATTCTTATTCCTTCATCAAGTGAATGAAACAGTTAGGAACAGACAGCTATATAAGTACATGTTAAAACCACAACAGTTACGAGATAATAAGGGAAACCAGTAGGTACTGATGAAGGAGTAAGAATATACTTCGAAACGTTGTGACCCTTCACAATAAAGAAGTTTACATGCATAAAATTCTTGCCTTTACAAGCACCAGTATGGTACTGGCAAATCTTGGAACACGATCAGGACCAACTTAAGGTCAGATCCATGATCATATGATTCTGGCATGCCCAAAATATTCTTATGTGTAACGTTAATGCAGAATATTAGAGTAGGACCATCTCAAATCTCAAATACTAGAGTGCTGATACACATTGTCTTGTACGACCTTATTGTTTCAGACTTGAGAATGCCTTCTACGAGTTGGCCCAAGGCTACTACCACACTGAGGCCAGGAAGGTGAAGTCTCATAAAGACTTCCTCAACAAGACCACGCACCAGGTGAGGGATGGGACCAGTCATCTCTTCATACAGTGCTGTGTATTCACTGGGGGCATAATTGTTTTAAGTGCAGAAATTCCCTGTGCAGAAAATTATGACTGTCGTTTCCAGTTCCAGGGTGATTATGTTGCTAGTTTAGGCAACACAGTTCCCATTTTCTTTTCTTTTTTTGTTTCATCAAAGTTGTTTCTTTCCACGTCAAACTGTCATGCCATAATGTAACTCACACCTCACAGTTCAAGGCAGGATAAACCCCCACTCACTCACACTCACTCACTCACTCACTTTTCCATATATTTTAGTTGCTGTTTGTCCGGCACCAGTTCAAGATCGCCTTCTTCAATGAGCTGAAACAGGACACCCATACTGCCCTCAAGTATGTAATTTGTCAACATCACCAAATTTATTTTAAGAAGCAAACCCTAATCAATACTAATGTTGCCTTATCTTACTTTAAGACTTGGTTAACTTAAAATAGTTTTTCTCTGAAAGATAACTCAAACTCATGGCTACTTGTTACATGTAATTTATGAATATTAATGTCAACACTGGTATTCTCCATGTTTGTCTTCACCCTGTAGGGGCGTGGGGTAGCCCAGTGGTAAAGCGTTCGCTCGTCACGCCAAAGACCCAGGTTTGATTCCCCCATTAGGTACAATGTGTGAAGCCCTTTTCTGGTGTCCCCTGCCGTGATATTGCTGGAATTGTGCTAAAAGGGGCGTAAAACTAATCTCACTCACTTTACCCTATAAAAAATTAATTAATTCTTAAGTGGAAGTTATGATTCTTTTTCATAGAGATCATCCTTGGGGTACATGTATGCATTTTCCTCGCCCACTCTGAACGGGGGACCGAGAGTCCGGGGGCGGGATCGCCGAGCTTGGCTTGATCCCTTGGTCTGGCGGCGTCTGTCGATCCTTTGCCTTCGGGTCAGGACGCCTCGGCTACCCCGGAGGGGGAGGGTTCGCTCCCAGTCTCTCTCTCAGTGCTGGCGCAGGTTCCGGTCCCTGCGCCAACCCACCCCATGAGAGCGGAGGAGCCGGTTCAGTCCGTGCTTCCTCTCATGTCTCGGGACCGGGGTTCGAGTGTCGTGTCGGTTTCCGGAGCTGAGAGTTCCTTGGGCTTTTCCCTTCCCACGGCGTCTGTGGCTCGGCCTCCCACTGGGTCGTGGTTCGGCTCCTCTTCACGAGGAGACCCGAATTCTGACTCGGGCTCGGGTGCCGAGTCTATGGAGGTTAGGGAGGTCAAGGCGTCCGAGGTTGCTTTCCGTTTTTCGTCGGCTCTCCGGGAGGTTAGGCAACGTATTGCCCAGTGTACTCCCCATGCTGCGGTGCCGACATGTAGCTCAGACTCGACTGAGTTCCGCCTGCCGGGGGAGGCGTTTGCTCCTCAGCAGCCCTCTCAGACACAGCTCCGCATCTTACCCTCCCTGGTGCAGGACGGGATGGATCCTCTCCTAGTTGGTTCTCGCCTCAGGTTTGATCTCCCCGAACTCGTTAAGAGGTATCAGCTGGGTGATGATTCTCTCTCTGTTCTTTGTGCCGGTGGTGGACGAGTGTGTATTCACTTTGGTTGCCCTCGGGGGAGGCTCGGCTTCCTCGGGTGCAGCCCCGGCTGCCAAGCAAGGGTGGTTAGTACTACCGTTTGCCCAGTCGGGCGCCCCCTGCGGCAAGCATACCGGACTGGATTGGACGGGCAAGGTGCTGTGGGCGTTTCCGCCTCTACCACTCATTCCCCGGGTCCTCTCCCAGCTGTCCACCCAGCCAGCTCGGCTACTTGTGCTACTGGCACCGCTTTGGCCGTCACAGAGCTGGTTTCCGGTAATTCTCAGGTTTCTGGCTCAGCCTCCTGTTCTATTACCTTTGCGACCGGACATTCTCACTCAGAACGGTGCACCACACCCCAATCCAAGGATTCAGTGGGTGGCTTGTCGATTCTTTTCAGAAAGAAGTCCTCAAGGCTTGGGGTACATATAAGCATTAAAATGTCCATTTTTTCAAATCCTCGACAGTTGTAACTATATTTTTAATAAAATATTTACAAAACAAAAACTTCGTTTTGTCTTGTGAGACCACCCTACAGGGCCCCACCCGGACCAACACAGCCAAGAGCAGGTAACTCTGCGCCGTCTACCTCGTTACCTCACTTTTCATGCTGTCGTTCTGTTGAATAGGCGTGCGTGGTGTTCGTTCGAGTTTGCTCTCCTACCGATCGATGAGTGTAAAAGATCTCAATCTGTATGTATGGTTCCTTTCTCTCACGCACGAGGCGTTAGATGGGCGTCATATGTTGATATTTTCATTCATCTTTTGTTGTAACTTTGCCGTGGGTTCTCTGTTTTCCAGCCATGTGGCAGGCAAAATGGCGGACCGCGCGATCGTGGTTTCCTTGCTATATGTTCTTGGTAGCTTGTAGTAGGGAGTTCATATATTATGTTTGCATATTATATGGTAGGCTTGCCTAAATTCTCTTTCTTTTCAGCGAATTTGTGGTAAGTCGTTGTTGAGTAATTTTGATAGTGTTCGTTTCGTATCACTCAACTTTACTCTATCACTAGTAATGTACGCGCGCAGGGGTGGCTAGCCTTTTTCTGCTTTGCATTGTATGTTTAGTATTTAAATGGCTGTAGCTTGTAGCATTTATATATATACCCGTCGCGGGTTATTCTTGCTATTACTTGTGTTTATGTGTTTGCTGCTTCACAGTTCCTGCTAGTAACACTGGCGTGGTTCTGTTTGTTGCAGTTTAAGCCCTGTGCGTTGTGCCGTGCACACTACCGCCACAGGATGGTCATAAAGTGTGCCTCCGGTGTTTAGCCGAGGACGCTCACGACGATCAAGGATGCTCATAATAAACGCCCTTGCGTCAATATTCCTGTTACATTATGTTGTATTATGATACATATTTCATACGTTTACACACAACGTGGCTCATAGGCCGAGGTTGTGGTTTTTTGTCTGGGTTTCTGCGCCTCACGCGCATTCTTCCCGACACGCAGATTTTATGTTTTTCACTAATCTGCTTCAGGCGGGGGATAATATTTGATAAAAGGTTTCTAAGGAAATCCCTTTATCGTTCCCCCGCAAACAATGTTGCTGACTTAAATATGACTCAATTTGCTTCACTATTGCAGCAACATATTCTTCAACATAATGTCAAGTCGATGATTGATAGCGCGATGTCCGGGCTCCGTCAGGAGCTCGGCTCGCAAAGTGTTGATCTCGAAGGTAAGTTAACCAGGTGTCGTCTGTGGTGAAATCCCCGATTGACACGGTGCTGTCTGGGTTCCGCAAGGAGCTCAGCACACCTGTCGTCGGGGGTGGATCGGACGCATCTGGGGGTTAACTGCGGCCCGAGCTCTGGCTCGGAGAACGCCCTCCTCCCAGGCAGCTTGATCCTGGCCGGCTCAGGTGATGGTGTGCCTTCGGCACCTTGTGGCGACCTAGCCGGGCTCAGGTTAGTCCGCGAGCCTGGCGCCGGCGATGCAGGTTTCACCCTGTCTTAGCCTGGTGCCCTGACTGGCGGTAAGCCTCGCGCCGACCAGCTTCGAGGACACCTCGGCGACTTCGGCACCTTGTGGCGACCTAGCTTTGGGCTCAGGTTGGTCACGGGCGCCTGGCGCCGGCGATGCAGGTTTCACCCTGTCTTCGCCTGGTGCCCTGACTGGCGGTCGCCTTGGCGCCGACCAGCTCGGGGACACCTCGGCGCCAAGTGGTCAGTCGGGGTTGCCGGAAACCTGTATATCGGCAGGTTCCTCTCGGCGCCCCGGTCTGGGTTCCACTGAGCTGCCGATCACCTCGGCGCTCATAGGTCTACCTGTGTCCACCAGGGGAAACCTGCATTGCCAGGCTACTCCCTTGTGTCTCGGGACTGCAGATCGGACTAGCACCGACCTGGGCTTCGGCCCCGGTACGGAGCAGATCCCCGGCGCTGTTAGCTCAGGTCTCGGCCTGATGTCTATCGATGCCCTGGCCAAGAGGCCGTTGAGTGTGACGAGCTGCCGATCACCTTGACGCGCCGAGGTCTACCCGTGTACACCAGGGGAGCCCTGCATTGTCAGGCTACTCCCATGTGTTTTGGGATCGGGGTTCGAACTCGAACCGCCGACCCGAGCACTTACGATATATATATATATATATATATATATATATCTGTGTATATATATATACACATACATGTGTATGTATATACATACATGTGTATGTATGGGTATTTATATAGCGCTATAGGCTATGTTTGACTATATGCTTAGTGCGCTTTTGGAGAGTACTTGGGGAAACCTGATTTATCAGGCTACTCCTACGTGTCTCTGGATCGGGGTTCGGTCTAGAACAGCTGAGCTTCGGCTCTGCAGATTCTCTGAACCCCGTGGGTAGCACCGACCCAGGCTTCGGCACTGGTAGGGTGCAGATTCCCGGCTCCGGTAGTTCAGGTCTCGGCCTGATGTCTATCGACGTCTTGACCACGATGCCATCGAGTGTGCCGGGTGTGACGGTCACCTCGACGCTCCGAGGTCTGTCTGAGTGCTTGTGAAACCTTGATTGTCAGGCTTCTCACATGTGCCTCGGATTCGGGGTTCAGGCTCGTACAGTGGACAAGTCGATTTGAGCTTCGGCTCATTTCGCTACTTTGAACTTACCACTGAGTAGGTTCGTCCCTGAGGCAAGTGCGAGATAGAATCGCGGCTGTGTTGCCTCAGGTGTTGTCCACGTCGAATACCCGAACCGTTGGAGTTAAGCCTCCGGAGAAAGCCTGCTTCCAACCGCGGCATCGGGACAAGGCCTCACACTCTACCGTCAGTCTGCCGTTCTTTCCCCTTCACAGCTCAACGCTGTATGCTCCACTCGGCGCATCTCTCAGCTCTGCTGAGGGAGCTGGTGGAAAGGGGAGAGAGCGCTGGTGGAATTTTTTCGTCGGCGACTCTGGGCGCATCTGACGGGGGCAACTCTCATCTGGCTAGGGACTGCATTGTAGCTGTGCCAGCCAAATGATGAGGGCGGTTATGGGCCTATACGCCCGGGACCGTTTCGAGGAATATGGAAGTCTGTTGAGCTTCTCGTTGCCCAGGCATCGGCAAACGTTAAGTTGCCGACTGCTGAGGTTTACTATATTCTGCCGCAAACACCGGTCGGACCGACACACTCCAGTCTCGGCTTCCCGGGAGACGGCGACAATACCCATTCTCATCTGAGAGCTGAACAAGTTCATAGAGGTACTGTCCTTCAAGATGGAGACACCGCGCTCGGTGATCTCATCTGCCGAGACAGGGGATTGGCGCACGTCAATCGACCTCGAGGTCGCGTACCTCCTTGTTCCATTGCACCCTGATTTCAAGATTTACCTTCGGTTTCTTGTTTGACGGGACGTGCTACCAGTTTCGTGTGCTCTCCTTAGGCTACATTACGGTGCCAAGGGTGTTCACCAAATTGAGGTTTATTACAGCTCAGATAGCCAGATCGCAGTGCCGGTGTTGTCACCCGTACATAGGCGACTGGCTCATCGTGGTTTCAGAATAACTGTTGAGTCTGGGGACCTCACGATCAGTGTTGGTCACTCTTACGAAACTGGGCGAAATTGTCAACCTCAGCAGTCAGATGGACAGGCGTCAGGCGTCTCTCGAGGGTCCCCACCCTGGAGACACCGTCGCTCTCAGTCCAGCCAGATACATCCCTACCGGGTTAGGGGCGATGTTCTGGGTGACCTGCAGCCTCTTGAGACGAAGTCACAACCTGCACATCAATGTGCTGGAATTGACAGCAGTCAGGTTGGTGTTCGATCCGCGCGCGCCGGGATTGAATTACCTCTTCGACCAGACATTCTCACTCTGAGCGAGCCACACCCGAATCCTCCGTTCACTGGGTGGCTTGGCCTCTGTCGGGTATAACACCGCGAATTCCTGCAACCGTTGCAGACACAATTCTGGCTGGGATTCGACACCCGTTCAGTGTGTTGATAGGTGGGGGCTGGTGGTGTGCAGATAGGGGATTTCATAATCCCTATTCTGCGGATTTAGTTCGGATATTGGAGTTACTATAACCTCGTTTTGGTTGAGAGCCTTCTGACCTCCACCATTGCCGGGTACTCCATGGCTATTTCCACGTTTCACACCTCGTTCGATGGTGCTCTGCCTAGGCAGCATCCTCTCGTACATCGCGTCGTAGCTGGCATGAACAGGGTTCGACCGCCTCGTCGGCGACCCAGCCCACCTAAAAATTGCCACTTATTCACAATTGGCTGTCTGGCCCTAATTTTTCAAGTATATCGTCTCTCTCACTTCACTTGTTGGCGTGGAAGGCGACTTTACTTGTTGTGGTGAACTCTGGTAGAAGGGTCGGGTACATCCATCACGATCCCCACTGACCCGACACTGACAGTATTTTATACTGATCATGTCGTATTCGACTCCCGGATACCTACCACTCTCAGTCGCGATATTGCTTTCCGTGACTGCTCATATCGCACTTCCACTACCCAGCCTTCCGCGCGGGGACCAATCTTCGATTGCTCACCCGTGCCTGTCCGCGAACGAGCGAACAAAGGGATCCGTCACGGGTACCCATGTGTGCTGTTTGGTGGCGGGAAGACTGGGGAGTCTGCTAACAAAGCGCACTTTATCTCGTTGGCTTGTTTCCGTAATTGTTCGGTTACAATGATAAGGTTTACCTCCCCCCGAGGGGTTGAAGGCAGACTGGGTAGGGCAGATGCCGCTTTGTTGTCAATACACAGCGGCACTGCTCAATGAAGAGATCGGTTCTGTCGCTCTTTGGAGCCGGCAGAACGCCTTCGTCGCCATTACCAACTTGACCGCATTCTAAGGATGGAGTGCTTTCGGTTCGGTCTTTCGGTTCTCTCCAGTGGAGAGTGCCCTGCCACCCTGACCAAGTTAGTAACTGGTCATTGGTATCGGTTCTGTGTTCAATGTCGATATATTTCATATCACTACATCGTATTAGCCTTACCATCCTTTCGGGTTGGGTGGGTTTGGGTGTACATCACGTCCCTTCGTCCTCTTCAAGAGGCGGGGTCCGTTGAGCAGCTTTAACCAGTCATATGCTATTAACCCGTCTTGCGGCGAATTGGAGTCTGAACCCCCACGGGGCACTGTTTGGTATGCCTCTCTTCGAGCCGCATGTCACGTGACCAGGTTAGTGTAATGGTGAGCCAACACATGTTGACTCGGCTTTTAAGCTATTCAGGGTTTTTGTGTACGGCTTACAGTTATCCCTCTTCCCGAGCCTTCGGTATTTGGGAGTCTGTGTTAAGCAGCTTTGTGGGATGGTGGCCTACACTTACCCTCCTCACGCCGAGAGTGTTTGGTGGGGGTGTTTTTCACTCGTACAATGCATGGCGTTTGTACTCGTTCGATTTCCTCTGAAAGTTTTTAGCGAGGCTAATAATTTATCGGGGTTTTATCGAGGTCCCGGCAAGCCCTCTTCCAAACAGGGGTGCATTCGAGCATTAGTTTGCAGTACTTATTAGCTCGACTCCTGGGTTATTGGCTTTGTAGCGTTTAAATTTTTTACGCTTTCCCTACCCTTATACCTCTCGCCACGCTTGTCTGGCTGGGGCTATATTAGGGTTGGGAGTTGTTTCGGCATGTCCCCATACATTCCTTCCATTGTGATGGTTGGGGGGTTTTATGTGTCATTGATATTGAGCCAATTGACATATAAGCTTGGGCTCTCTAGTTCCGCCCGTCTGATTGACATCAGCGGTCAGGTGGCTCGGTGTTTTCTATTTCCGTATCGGTTGTAGATTTCACTCCACCACGGGTTTAGTTGTTGCCAGACAGAATGCCACTCCGTCTCAAATATCTTTGGGAGTCTGTCATATGCTTATATGTACCCCAAGGAGGACTTCTTCTGAAAAGAATTATACAAACCTGTAGAGGTTATGAATTCTTTGAAGAAAGTCCTCCTTGAAGTCTGACGACCACCCGCCTCCCTCATTCTGTCTGACACGTTCAGCATGAAAAGTGAGGTACGAGGTAGACGGCGAGAGTTACCTGCTCTTGGCTGTGTTGGTCCGGTGGGGCCCTGTAGGGATGGTCTCACAAGACAAAACGAGTTTTTTGTTTTGTAAATATTTTATCAAAAATATAGTTACAACTGTCGTAGGATTTAAAATGGACATTTTAATGCTTATATGTACCCCAAGGAGGACTTTCTTCAAAGAATTCATAACCTCTACAGGTTTGTATAACTTCTCTTACCCAGCCTTCCACATCGGGGACCTCTGCAACAAGCACTCACCTGTTGGATGTCTGTAAGACCCTCAAGGTCTATATCAAACGAACACAAGTGATCCGTACGGGTACCCATCTGTTCTGCTGTTACGGTGGCGGAAGGCTGGGATGCCGGCTAGCAAACAGACCCTATCACACTGGCTTGTATCGGTCATTTGTAGTGCTGATCAGGCTAAGGGCAAGCCTCCCCCTGAGGGGTTAAAGGCTCACTCGGTCAGGGCAGTGGCCACTTCAAAGGCTTTTGCATCGACACTGACCATTGAAGAGATATGCTCTGCCGCTATTTGGAGCAGGCCTAGCACTTTTATAAGGCACTATCAGCTCGATACACATTCGCGTTTTGGCCGTTCTGTTCTCTCCAGTGGACAATGTCCTGCCACCCTGACCTCCCCGCAATTCTGTTCACTGATTTGTTCAGCAGAAAGAATGATGATACGGGCCTGGGTGCTTACCTGGTTGGCTGCGCATGCGTAGCAGGGGGATAACTCCACGTGGTAGGGGCCGTATAATAAATAAAAAAGATTTTTATTTATTGTACAATATTTTTATTAAAACATTGATACAACTGTCACATGACATTTTCAGCCGCAGAAAATGCATATATGTACCCCAAGGACGATTCTCTTCAAAGAATTTGAAACCTCTACAGGTTTATCTAAATTTAACTCTGTTATTTACAATGTTAGGGGAATATTATGGAAGGATTTTGATTATGGACACTTAACATGCACAACCCTGTTGTATTGCAGACACTACAAACAAGCCTATGGTCATATACTTGACCTGCGCATGTATGATACTAACATGATGGAGATCAAGACTATCGCAGGATTCGTTAATTACAAGGTAAGCAGGAGGAACAAGGCTTACCTCCAAGGATCATGGGGGGCGGTGGGGTAGCTTAGTGGTTAAAGCGTTTGCTCGTCACGCCGAAGACCCGGGTTCGATTCCCCACATGGGCACAATGTGAGAAGCCCATTTCTGGTGTCCCCCGCCGTGATATTGCTGGAATATTGCTAAAAGCGGTGTAAAACTAAACTCAGTCAGTCAGTCAGTCCAAGGATCATGATTTTATAGACACAGTGTAATAATCTGAAGTATTGTCTGACGTGTGAGAGCAGTGGTTCAGGTGTTAATAAAGAACTGGGTTTAATTCCCTATGGCCCTGCTATGGGTTTCATCTTCTATGCTGTTAATTATGCTGCTGGAATGTTGCTCAAAGCAATGTAAATCCATACTAACTCTCTGAATTTTCTCTTCAGTAATGTTAATCCAATGATTGTACAACAGACAGTTCAAATATTTCAAGCATAGATGTGCAGCCTGATGTCAGTGATTGTGAGAAATCATTTAATTATTTGCACAGCATTTAGGTTTTGTTTAATATTTTCTGCATATCTTCATCCAGATCTGCCGACTGTCATTCCAACACAATGCTCCTCTTGATGCCATTGCTCAGTTTAGGAAGCATATTGACTTCTTCAAGAGCAAGCCAAGCACAGCAGAACTGTCATTCGAACACAGTGCTTGGATGTCTAAACAGTGAGTCACCTATATCCATTGTTCAGGATAAATCATGATTAACATCCTGAATATTTTTCCTTATCCTGACTCATGCTTATTTGCTTTCTCATTCCTCTCTTCCGAACGGTCAAGTGGAAACTTGAGTCGCTTCAATTCCCTTGAAGCAAACATACAATCACTGACCCTGAGTTACCTCCCCTTCTTCCAACCAAAACAGGCACGGGACCACCTCATGCCTAGTCCTCACTCTCTCCTCTATCGCCCAAGCGGATGGTTGGGTGGTCACTTCAGGGTCACTTCGTGGCTTATGACTTGTTTATTTTTGGATATAATGCTCAAATTCTGCATGAGTCAGTATAAGTATAAAATATCAATTTTATCATAAATATATACATAATATATGTATAATATATACATATTTGATGTGTTTCATATTTTCGTTTGAAAACTATTACTGTAGTGTTCATCATAAAGTTTTCAAACATTTTCAATCAACGTTTCGTTAATCACATGACATGAGAAACAGATGTGCAATCAAAAAGCACTGACAGCAGGGCAATGGTAAAATTATGTTAATGTCATTCTACCTTTGAAATCAAATTTTAAGATCATCAAAATCATAGCAGACATTTCCCATACTTTAAAGTGAATCCACAGAAATTTGAGTGACAATTGTACCAGAGACAGTTGTGTTTTTATTATCATCAATGTGTGCGGTGTGTAGATTCCAGGTGTTCGGAGACCTGTTTGACGAGGCAATCAAGCTGGGCCTGACAGCCATACAGACTCAACACCCAGGGTTCTATTACCAACAGGCTGCAAACCACGCTATCGCCCGAAAACACCTCTGTCAAGAACTGTGTCAGGTATTCATCATGTGTGGAATTGCCTACATTGTCCTTTGGACTTTGAGGGCCAGTATAGGCATGCTTGTCATAATTGCAAGTGAAATATGCAACTCTTCGTTTGTTGTTTGTTGTTTAATGCCTTTGTCAGCAATTTTCGAGGTCTTTAAAGATTTGAATCTGGACCAGGTGATCCAATGACATAGACCTAACCACTCGATCCTGTTTGTCCCTTACGTCAATCGTGGGCTGCTGAAGACTAATTCTCACATAGATCTTCACAGGAATTATACATAAATATGGAATCAATAAATATTCAAATCAGGAATGAGTGTTTTCAGTGTGTGACCTGACTGATTGTGTGTTAACGACCCCTAGTGGGGTCATTATACATGTTATGGTGTCAACCGATCAGTGATAAGAGGAGCATGTTCTAATGATAGATTACTGGGATGTATTTCAGCCAATCACTGATCCACCTCCAGTTGACCCATTCCAGAACGTGGCTCGGCTGGAGTACTACGGCCAGCGACCATGGAGACAAGGCCATCAGAGTAAGAACTGTGTTGTTATATTGGCGTACATTCATTGTAAAACATGCTTTGTTAAAGACTTTGTTATCTTAAACATCATCTGAGAATTTACAATGCCTATGCGACGCAACACCTCTCATTAAAACTCAAGTAAACACTGCCGTATCTGAAAACCTTGAATCCAACGATATATGAAGGAAGCAAGTTTTCAGGATAACAGCGAATCATTGTTCACACTATGCTTGAAGTTACTTCTTGAAAACTAGATAAAGAAATAGACTGTATAAAACAGTATTGACAGTATTGAGATGTGTGACTGACTTGATAGGTATCGATCCCCCGGATGCCCAGAAGGAGAAGGAAGGGATTAGTGGCTTGCAGTGTCTGGAGAACCAAGTCGACCACTCTGTGAGTACATAAAATGTCTTTTGTTTGCTTGTTGTTTAATGCCACACACAGCAATATTCCAGCAATATGGTGGCAATCTGTAAATAATCGAATCTGGACCAGACAGTCCACTGATCAACAGCATGAGCATCAGTTGGGATACGATGACATGTGTCAGTCAAGTCAACAAGCCTTATCACCCCAACCACTCTTATGACAAGCATGGGTATCTTAAGACCAAGGGGCTGTGGGGTAGCCTAGTGGTTAAAGCATTGGCTCGTCACGCCGAAGACCCGGGTTCTATTCCTCACATGGGCACAATGTGTGAAGCCTATTTCTGGTGTCCCCCGCTGTCATATTGCTGGAAATTTGCTAAAAGCGGCGTAAAACCAAACTCACTCAGTCTTAAGACCAATTCTAACCTTGATGTTCATGGGTAACATTGCTCAGGGGTGCAAGAAGTGACAGTACGAATACAGAACAGGAAGGTTGTGTGATTGGTGGATAGCCTAGCGGTAAAACCATTCACTGGATTCACTGAGATTGCTGGAACAGTGTGAAGCATAAACCCAACTTACTCGCTTATTTGTTGTTGAGCTTGTAAGGCGCAGAGTCATTTCTCTTTTCTGATTTGGGTAGTGTAATACAAGATAAAATGAGATATAATGGAAGCCAAGGTTTTTGGCAGATCTGAGTTTGAGTGTGAACCGTGAGTTGTTATACATTTACACTGGATTAACATTACAGTGGCTGATAATACCCCTACTGAGCAGTGCTGTCAGTCAGTTCAAGAAGTACAAGTCTCCCAGACTCAAGAGGAGTCTCAGTAAGTACCTGAATCTTTTCTGAATGCCAGTGTAGGAAGCCACTCTGTTTGCCAGTTTAGGAAGCATCTCTGAAAGACAGTGTAGGAAGTCAATTTTAGTGTCAGTGTAGGAAGTTGCTCCAAGTGTTAGTGCAGGAAGCCACCCTCAATACCACTATGGGAAGCCACTATGAACGCCAGTATAGGATCCGCTCTGAATGAAAGTTTAAGAAGCTACTTTGAATGCCATTGTAGGAAGCCTCTCTGAATGCCAGTGTAGGAAGCCAATTTGAATGTCAGTGTAGGAAGCCGCTCTGAGCTCCAGTTTAGGAAGCCACTCTGAGCTCCAGTGTAGGAAGCCGCTCTGAGTGCCAGTGTAGGAAGCCGCTCTGAGCTCCAGTGTAGGAAGCCACTCTGAGTGCCAGCATAGGAAGCTGCTCTGAATGTCAGTGTAGGAAGCCATTTTGAGTGTCAGTGAAGGAAGGCGCTCTGAGTGCCAGTGTAGGAAGCTGCACTGTGTGCCAGTGTAGGAAGCCGCTCTGAGCATCAGTGTAGGAAGCCGCTCTAAGCGTCAGTGTAGGAAGCCACTCTGAATGCTAGTCTAGGAAGCCACTCTGTATGTAAGTATAGGGAGCCGCTCTGAGTTCCAGTGTAGGAAACCGCTCTGAGTGCCAGTGTAGGAAGCCGCTCTGAATGCCAGTGTAGGAAGCCAATTTGAGTGTCAGTGAAGGAAGACTCTCTGAGTGCCAGTGTAGGAAAACACTCTGAGCATCAGTGTAGGAAGCCAATTTGAGATTATTGTAGGAAGCCACACCGAGTGCCAGTGTAGAAAGCCGCTCTGAATGCTATTGTAGGAAGCCACTGTCAATACCACCATGGGAAGCCACTCTGAATGAAAGTTTAGGAAGCCACTTTGAATGCCAGTGTAGGAGGCTGCCCTATATGCCAGTTTAAAAAGCCACTCCGAGTGCCATTGTAGGAAGCCACTCTGAATGCTATTGTAGGAAGCCACACCGAGTGCCAGTGTAGAAAGCCGCCCTGAATGCTATTGTAGGAAGCCGCTCTGAGCGTCAGTGTAGGAAGCCAATTTGAGATCAGTGTAGGAAGCTGCATGTCTTTTTGATACCTTATTTACTCATTTCCATTCCTGGACCTAGGTTCCTTCTCAGTGGCTTCATCTTTGCTTCATCTCACCAAAGACCTGGGCCTGATTCTCCACAAAGGGAGAATGTGTGAAGCCCAGTTCTGGTATTTCTTTAGAAATGTGCTCATCATTACAATCATTGATGTATGTCATGAAGCTTCATTAATTTCCTTTTCCAGTGGTCCAGATGGGAGAGGAGTACTTCCATGCTAAAGACTATAGTAAAGGACTGATGTGAGCATTTCCTGGATAACAACTATTATCATATGGCAGTAGAACAAATAGTTCATGTTGTAAAACTGAACAAATAGGGTTGTATCAGGTATAAGCCCAGGTGTCATAACTGAGTGTCCCATAGTGAACTGAAATTGATATTAAACTCAACTGAGTGTGGATAGATGTTGTATCAGTATAAAGCCCTTTTGTCAGAAATGAGTATGTTGTGTTATGTCAGGTGTCAGAACTGAGTGTGTGATGTTGTATCAAGGTATAAGCCCAGTTATAAGAACCAAGTGTAGGGTGTTTTATCAGGTATAAGCCCATGAGTCAGAACTGAGTGTCCTGTGTTCTATCTGTACTTATGTGATATATTACACGCCTGTAAGATCAGGTATATTCTGTGTGATGTATTTACTATGGCTGTTTGTGACCCAGGCTGCTGAACAAGGTGATGTGGGACTACCGGGTGGAGCGATGGTGGATTCTGCTGACCTCCATCTTGTCGCTGTCTCTCAAGTGTGCCTACCTCACTGCAAGGCTCCAGGAATATGTCTCCAACTGTATCGAGCTCATCGGACAATGTATCCTTCCTACTGTGGCAATGAATCAGTTTGTACTGTTAGTACGCCAGAGTTCCAGAGTTCCATTGCACAAAGCAATCTTAATGCTAAGGCTTAACTTAGGCTTACACTAGTGTTAGCGCTAAGGTTGTTTTGTTTAATGGCACCCTGTATGTTAACAAAGGCGAGTTGCAGTAATGTATTTAGACCTGCTTAGAGGCTGATAATTTGCCCCATGTCTGATGAAAATGTCAGCTAACAATTCGCCTTATACAGTTTAGGATGATGACAGTAGATACTCAACAGTCATTTGGTTATTGGTGACACTTAAAAAAGGGAGGATCTCATTGTTAAGCTTTAAGTTCAGCTTCCTCGTCTTCAACAGATGATACAGAAAAAAATTGCATACATGATACTCTAGACGCAGATTTTGCACCACCGTCTGGAATAAAAGTTGTTGCTTGATATCATTTTCATGTTTGATGTTTGTGATAATATGTACAAGATCATTTAACCAGACCAAACAAAGTTTACTAAGGTAATGACTGGGCTAGAAGTTCAAGTTACAGACTGTTAGATTCTGTATAGCTTTGTTCAAGACTAAGAATGACTTCTTTAACAAGGGCAGATTGTCTGTGTAGCCCTGAGGAGAAGACTCGAATACAGATGAACCTGATCAGAGTCATGTCTGTAAGTCACTTCTGTTTCCCTTGATATACCAGCGACAAATGGGTAGCCTAGTAGTTACAGTGTTTGCTTGTCATGCCAAAAGGTAAGAGTTTCATTCCCAATATGGGTACTATGTTTGAAGCCCATTTCTTGTGTCCCACACAGTGATACTGCTGGAATATGCTAAAGGCGGGATAAAACCAAACTTACCGATAAAACAGTTTGACATACCACATGCTAAAGAAGATCTTGTACTGTGAAAGTGCTGACTAGAGCCAGTAACCAGTGGATGCTTAACCAGACATTAGCGAGAAGAAGCTTGACTCAATTATCATGTTTAGACCAACCTGAAATGTAAATATTGGCATGGCTTTGAGTAGCATTTAGAGTGAGTGAGTCCGGTTTTATGCCACATTTAGCAAGATACCAGCAATATCATGGCGGGGAACACCAGAAATTGGCTTCACATATTGTACCCATGTAGGTAATTGAACCCGGGCCTTCGGCATGATGAGCTAATGCTTTAACCACTATCTTACCCCACAGCCCCATATTGGATATGTAACTGATATCCACATGGTCAAGATATGGTCACTAAGTGTATATTACTGTTGTAGTGATGTGTTGAGGTCGAAGCTAACACTTTTATTAAGCTTGCTCATGTATGAGTGAGTGAGTTTTTCCAGGGAGAAATCATAGCACTTACTACAACACTCCTTGCTTTTTGTGTAATTTCTTTCTTTCTTTTTAAATTTGTATTTAGAATGACCTTCCAGAGCCAGAATCAGTCGTAGAAAATGAAGGGGTAGAAGCTGCCCACAAGGAGTGGACACAGGCCATGTCGGAGCCTACGGTCTTCACAGTGGAGATGCAGAGTCTTGTCCCATTCGGTCAGTTTACAGATTTGTTCTCTGTCACATGTAGTCAGTATGATGCTGTGTTTAATGTCTTGTGATTCTTCACTGAACAGGACCCCTGAAGATCTGGGGGTTAGAATTAGCCTTCAGCAACCCATGCTTGTTGTAAGAGGTGACTAACAGGACCAGGTTGTCAGACTCGCTGACTTGGTTGACACATGTTATTGTATCCCAGTTGCGTAGATCGATGCTCATGCTGTTGATCACCGGATTGTCTGGTCCAGATTATTTACAGACTCTCGCCATATAGTTGGAATATTTCTGAGTGTGGCATTAAACAAAAAACCAAAAAAAACCAACTCTACTGATGTGTATATTTCACGTCTATACTGTGTTTATACCATGTGTATATCTCACGTCTATGCTGTGTTTATACCATGTGTATATCTCACGTCTATGCTGTGTTTATACCATGTGTATATCTCACATCTATGCTGTGTTTATACCATGTGTATATCTCACGTCTATGCTGTGTTTATACCATGTGTATATCTCACGTCTATAGTGTGTTTATACCATGTGTATATTTCACGTCTATGCTGTGTTTATACCATGCGTATATCTCACGTCTATGCTGTGTTTATACCATGCGTATATCTCACGTCTATGCTGTGGTTATACCATGCGTATATCTCACGTCTATACTGTGTTTATACCATGTGTATATCACACGTCTATACTGTGTTTATACCATGCGTATATCTCACGTCTATACTGTGTTTATACCATGTGTATATCTCACGTCTATACTGTGTTTATACCATGTGTGTATTTCACGTCTATGCTGTGTTTATACCATGCGTATATCTCACGTCTATGCTGTGTTTATACCATGTGTATATCTCACGTCTATGCAGTGTTTATACCATGTGTATATTTCACGTCTATACTGTGTTTATACCATGTGTATATCTCACGTCTATGCTGTGTTTATACCATGTGTATATCTCACGTCTATGCTGTGTTTATACCAAGTGTATATCTCACGTCTATGCTGTGTTTATACCATGTGTGTATTTCACGTCTATGCTGTGTTTATACCATGTGTATATTTCACGTCTATACTGTGTTTATACCATGTGTATATCTCACGTCTATGCTGTGTTTATACCATGTGTATATTTCACGTCTATGCTGTGTTTATACCATGTGTATATTTCACGTCTATGCTGTGTTTATACCATGTGTATATCTCACGTCTATGCTGTGTTTATACCAAGTGTATATCTCACGTCTATGCTGTGTTTATACCATGTGTATATCTCACGTCTATGCTGTGTTTATACCATGTGTATATTTCACGTCTATACTGTGTTTATACCATGTGTATATTTCACGTCTATGCTGTGTTTATACCATGTGTATATCTCACGTCTATGCTGTGTTTATACCAAGTGTATATCTCACGTCTATGCTGTGTTTATACCATGTGTATATTTCACGTCTATACTGTGTTTCTAGTGGAGTGCAAGGCCAGGTTCCTGGGGGAGACAGTGTCTGCTGACAGTGAGATCACTCTGGAGGTCTGTCTCAGGTGAGGTGCCCTGATATGACATCATACCTTGAGGTCAGGCCCAGATACAGCCTGATAACATGTATACATAAATCTGACATGCATATATTCCTCACAGCCTCTACTGCTTACTATCAAGACATGTACGGTATTGCAACAAAGTGTTTTGTTACTGAATTGGAAACATACCTCACTGTAGCCATAGAAGATGTGATGTTCGTCAACAAAGTTTTGTAAATGGAAATGACATTGTTTGTTTTCAGGGTCAGCTGCCCTTTCCCAGTTCGCTTCTCCAAACTGTCGATTCACTTCAACAACCAGGTAACTACATCGACACCATTACTTGCTCTTTTAACTGTGGGGGTGACATTTTGTCTAAAGTGCCACAGTTGGCTGTTACATTCCTTGGACATTGTGATTGTAATTGTTAATTCAACTCCCAGATTCACCTGACTTATAATGCTTCCTTCGTCAGCATGATACTCATACATGTGGGACACCTGAGACCAGCTACTTGACCTTTCCTCCAACATTTAGCTTGACTTACCAGAAATACTGTTCAAAGTGGCCACTCACTCACTCACTCATGTTATGATTGTGGGTAATAGTCGCCTGAATAGACGCATGCACTCACCCACCCACCCACCCACCCACCCACTCACTCACTCACTCACTAAACCACTCATTCAACCACTTATTCAACCATTCATTCAACCACTCACTCAACCACTCAGCCACTCAACCATGTTGGGATTCTGGGTAAGAATTGGTAACAACTTTTTTTAATAGTCCCCTAAATTGGCTGCAGACTGCCTGACAGTTTTTTTATCCCCCGCCGCGCGTTGAGCATGAAGCGGGGGATATAGTATTAGGCTCCGTCCGTACGTACGAATTGGAATATCTTCAGATCCATTGACTAGATTTTTTTCATATTTGGTACCTAGGTTCATCACAGTATAAGAAAGGTCCCAGTCATATTTTGGTGACCTGACCTCCATTTTAAGTCACAAGGAGACTTTAACATTTTGTTCTTGTCAGCGAGATATCTCAAGAACCGTTCACTAGATTTTGTTCATATTCAACACCAAAATTCATCCAGGGAAGGCGCAGAACCCAGTCGATTTTGGTGACCTTCACTTAATTTTCAAGGTCACAGCGACACTTTGAAGATTTCAGCATGTTAAATTGCATGCTAAGATAGTCAGCAAGATATCGCAAAAACCATTCACGGGATTTTTTCATATTTGACAACAAGCTTCATCGAATGAAGTCAATTTTGGTTTGGTGACCTTCACATAACTTTCCAGGTCATTGTGACACTGAAGATTTCAGCATGTTAACCTAAATTCACTGGATTTGTTTCATAGACTTTCAAGACTTCCCTTGAATATTTTTCAAAAAGCAATTTCTTTAGGACCACTTTTGCATATTTCATACACTATGACATTCATGTCAAGGTCAAAGTCAGTCTTAAAACTATGTGTGTGTTTGAACAACTAAAGAGCAAGATATCAAGAGGGGTTGACTGGTCATGTTTTTGTTGACATTTAACTTCATCTTAAACTTTCATTACTTTTTAAGTTTGCTTTGATAATTTGCGGCGGGGGATTATGTCACCTTAGTGACGATGCTTGTTGTCTTGTATTCACACCTGGATAGTATGGGATTATTTCAGGCAAGTAGACTTGTCTGTTTTGAATTTTTAGCTAAATACCAGGAGTCAAGATAAGTCCCGCAGTAATCAAGGGAGACTGTTTGTGTCTGCAGGCGTATAACGATCACTGTGAGATGACGGATACACAGGGGATGAATGCTGCAGCGGAGGGAGAGAGTGACGGTGGAGACCTCTATCTGGTGCCGGGGAGACTCAGGATCTACAGGTTCACGTTCCTGCCTCTGAAGGAAGATGTCGGGAACCAAGTCGAGGTAAACATCACAGCTGTTTATTGGATTTCTGCTGTTGAGTAGCCTCTGATGATACATACTCTATGATAGATCAGTAACAGACAACTTTCTGGCAGATCCACATGGGCCTTCTAATCAAATGCATGAGCTAATGCAATATCCTTAAAGTTAGCCTGTTATAATAGCCCTGCATAAGAGTTTGATGACACCACCCAATGTATGGGCTCTTGAGCCATTCAGATGCTTTCTTTCAAAGCGATGATGGGATATATAAATATCCTGAACAATATCTTGGTCGGTATTTCCTTGAATTCAGAACTCTCTTACTGTCTTCATTTTAGAGATTATGAAATTATTTCCGGTAGATATCATCAGTTGCTGTGGAGATGGGATCAGAAAGAGGCTGCTGTGCGGTGTTACGTTGGCTTGGTGGAGGTGGTGACGTCATCTCTACACCGCTGTGTGCCCAGGCCAACATGTCACGGCGCCAACACCCTGCCAGCGGCAAGGTCATGTGGGAGGACTTCTCCGTCAGCCATGTCATCAGGTGACCTCATCAGGCTTTACTTGTGTCTTGCTCTCTGTCACACGTAACTGACACTTTCTGTTGAACCCAGATGTCTTAAACCCCCGGGAATCAGAGTATGAAACATTCCTAAGGAAAAATGAAATTGATAATTATAAAATGTTTCAATGTTAAAATTTCAATGTTCGGATAAAAACATGTTTGTCATTGATAATTTCAACGAAGTATTCAAATGGGTTATTTACATAAAATTTTCACCTGGGAAGACATGTCTATGCTTGACACTGACGTTACTGTGTATGTATAATCTGCCATGTGTCTCCCCCAGGGTGGTGCCCAGGGAGGCCAAGTTGGATCTGCAGGTGGAGCACAAGCCTCCGAGTCTCCTCAACGAGTTCTACAAGTTCAATGTTACCATCACAAACAAGGAACCTGAAACTATCTTTGACGTCAGGTAATGAGATACCTAAGTGTTGGTGTTCGAGTTTCAAGTGTGTACAATTGGTTTAGTTTCTGCAGCCTAAAATTAGTTGGGAAGATGTATTAAGACAAGTGAGCAGGTTCTTTTTCGAGGTCTACCATTGGGTAATAACTAAGCAGGGGGATGTTTCAGCCTGTTCAACAGATTCACAATGCACTTGCAGATATTGAATGTGAACGGTTGCTTGATAACGTGAAGCATGTATACAAAATTGTTGCATCATTTGCAATGAAGAAGTTGTCGATCCATAAAAAAGTGTTCCTCTTCATCATACCAGCTTCTAAATGCCACCTAAAGAAGCTATGTGAAATGCCAGTTGAAATGTTAAACATCTGTTCAGTCAGCTTCTATTCTTCATCACCGTGTTCATGTTGAAGGGGGGCGGTGGGGTAGCCCAGTGGTTAAAGCGTTGGCTTGTCACGCCGAAAACCCGGGTTCGAATCCCCACATGGGTACTATGTGTGAAGCCCATTTCTGGTGTCGGCCGCCGTGATGTTGCTGGAATATTGCTAAAAGCGGCGTAAAACCAAACTCAGTCAGTCAGTCAGTCAGTCTACTCGTCATCACCGTGTTCATGTTGAAGGCCCTTCTCTGTTTCAGATTATCAGCAGGTGTGCATGAGGCACAAGAAAGTGCACAGCACGAAAAAACAAGTAAGCTTGAAACTAAACCAGAACTTTCAACAACAGGTATGGTTACTGTATGTCTATTGCAAAGTCTGCATGCCTGGCGTATCCTAGAGTAGCGGTTGTACATCTGTCTGTCTGTGTCGACAGCACCTCACTGTAGGTACATGGCATCCAGACATAATAGGGAGATGTGTGTTATAAGCTTAGATGCTGGGCTAGGAGAGATGTAACAAGGTCTGTGTGTGATGCAGGTGTGTATGCTCAGATACTGGGTTATACGCTTCCCAGGGAGTTGAGATTGATGATAATACGACGTGCCGTTGAGATTGACATCCAGTGATCGAGGTAAAATAAAGTGCCTTTGAGCAGCTGAGCTGGATATCGGCACTATACAAATGTTAGTATGTATGTAAACGTATACATGCTAAAGGATGGATATAACAATGTCAGTGTGTGATAAAGATGTATGTCTGTGAGCAGGGGAAACAAACCTGGGGCTCCTTTCACAAAGCAACCTTTACTAAGGTTAACCTTAACTCCCATTCTTTAACATTGCACAAAGGTTACCTTAGTGCTTTGTGAAAGGAGGCCCTGGTCATCATTTGGCGACCATTTCCTTCATTCAGTATTTGGTTCTTGTTCCACAAGTCAGTGTGAGCAAGTGCCTTTGGCCAAACTCACTCATTCACATCATGAACCAATGTAAATTTAGCTGAAACATGGAGTTTGCAATTTTTATATTGCTTGTAATCATCATGCAAGGTTGATGATCTCATTACACTGTACATTTATTTTACTTTCATTGTCTCATCACAAATATTGTCTCTGATCATATAGTTGTATTCTGACCACCGGGTGACCATACAGTATATAGTTCAAATTACAATTTATAAATTAACACACACACCCACATCCTCCTATTTTCGGACATGGTTAATAGTACCATTTTTTGTTGTAACTTTGTTGTAACCTCATATGTGTTTATATATATTAATCCTGACTGGAGATGTAATAGTGAAGTTGTAGCTCGTTATGATTAATTTATCTTATCACATTTTGTAGATGTAGTTCATAAACTTTCTTCAGTTGGTTCATCACCGATTTTACGTTGTGGTACATGAAGTAATAATGATTATAAGAACAGCAATGATAATAATCATAATAAAAGAAGGAAGTAAACCAAAGTGAATCAAAGTCAACATGCTGATGAGGCAGTAATGACATAGCAGTTAGACCTAACATGTATGTATTTCTTTTACAATTCTGCTGACTTAGAAAATAGAAAACAGAAATAAATCAGAAATAAAATCAGCCTTTTTATACCACCAACGGTAAAGATTGCTTTAACAATGAAAGTAACCCAAGGGGTTTATGTTACTAAAATGGAATATTTTCTGAAGGATAAACCATCATCTGATGTCAAATTTTAGATTTATGATATTTATTAGGAACTAAGCCAAGTCAAGATTTATTTGCATCGTCTACTGATACAAATCTAAGTTTGATATGAGTGAAAGAAATATCCATTCTATTATTTAATTTCTTTCTACCTTCACTAAATGTTTAACAATCAAAATCTTTAAACCAAATACAAAAGAAAATATGGACAAATGTAAATCACTGATATTCTGTATTAATTTGTTAAAAGAAAATCATGGACAAATTTGTTAAAAGAAAATCTGTAAATCACTGATATTCTGTAATAATTTGTTAAAGAAAATCTGGACAAATGTAAATCACTGATATTCTGTATTAATTTGTTGGAAAAGTACAGTCACTGATATTTGAATAATTTGTTACAAGAAAATCATACATTCTGTATTAATTTGTTAAAAGAAAATATGGACAAACGTACAGATTATTAATTTGTTAAGAGTACAGTCAGAGTTTGAATACAGTTTGTTGAGATAGTTTGTTGTGCCTGTTCTGATGACGTGAATGGGCCAGACTATATACTAACATACACCTACTGTCACAACTGACTGAAATCATGAATGACCAGATATCAGCTACCGCACAAGCCTGTGTACATGCACATAGTGTAGATTCCATAGAGCTTTATGCACATTACTAACCCTTACACTTCAAGTTATACTGTCAACACAGACATATTTCCCATGTTGTTGATATGTTGGCTACATTGCCCCTTGTAAACCTATATCCCTTAGAACACCAGAGATAACTGATTTGTCCACTTTTCCAGATGTCCAGAGTGTAGATTCTTGTTCTATATAGTGAGGATATTCTGATAAAACCGTAAAGTCATCTCAATTGATGTGATACATCAAGTTGCCATTGTTACTGAAGTTTGAGTGAACGAAGTATTAGAGAATTAGTTTACAATGCTACTTAGTTCATGGTAGTGGTGATCCAATTAATTGAAATAATCGAAGATAAGTCGCAATGACTAAACGACCAAGCAATCTATCATGTTTTCTCATAATCGAACACAAACAATTTTGGAACACTCACCAGAACTACATGTTTTTTCTTTATTTTTTTCGTGCATTAACAAACATAACCAGGAAAATTTGATAAATGACGCTAACCAATTATTTTCGATGATTGGTCAGTTGTAATGAACCAATCATCAACTATGAGATTTTAACCAATTCCCAACACTAGTTCATGGGGGTTCATGTGGCCCAGTCACCAATGATAAAAAAAACTTGCTGTGCAGAGTTGTGCCCCTTAGGCACACCAGAATCCTATCATCATGGGTTGAAATATAAGATTTGCCCAGATTGTGTTTCTAACTTTGTCAGCGCCATACCTGTGTTTATCAGTTCAACCTAAGCAACTAATACTTGAGACCTGCATCACTTCAAGATTTCCTTCAGCTTTAAACTTTATAACTGGAAGAATTATACAGAGCAAGTCTAACTCATTCACTCACTAACTAATTTGTGTGGATTTACATAGTGTTGTGTTGTTGCTTCACTGTATTTTGTATTAACAAAAACATTCTTCAAAATAGTAGCTTTCCATCCACATTCTAGGGCAAATCTAAAAGGATCTTAATGGCTATAACATGATTTAAAAAAGAAGTTCAAAATGATGTTTAGAAAGTATTGTAAGATAGCACCACGTTTCCTTCAGCTCACATCAGTTTTGACCAGCCCGAGTTTGATGGCCGAGTGATGTCGGAGAAGATGGACATCGACCTGGGGACCATGGAGCCAGGACAACAGGTACGTGTGATGCACATGCAGACAAACAGGTTCACTAAACTGTATGTTGAAGCAAAGCTGATTTATTTCAATCAAACACTACCCCTTACCCTACCCTACCCTCCCCCCTTACCCCACCCTCCCTCCCTCCCTACCTTACCCTCCCTCCCTACCTTACCCCACCCCTTACCTACCCCTAAGACACAAGTCATCTACCAAGGTACAACAAACAAGTGGCTGGAGAATGTCGCTGATGCGCTTGAGATACCTGTAATGAGGAAGTGACCTGTCTTGGTGTAATGTGTAGTGTCAACAGATTAACGTTTTCTGTCTTTTATCAAGTTCCCAAAAGAAGACATGGTCAGACTGAAATGCTTCATTATAAAAATGTGAGAAGAGTACAGACACATTTTTCGCATTAATTTCATGACTTACAGTATTATCACTAGACGATGACAGTACTGCAACCATACATGCTTGGGATGTGTTATGATGTGTTTCAGCAGGAGTTGGTTCATGTTTCAGATTCTGAGGACATTCTACTTGAAAAGCTTGCAGTCAGGCAACAGGACAGTATTTACAAAGGTGAGTTTTTACTATATTGCTACTACAGCATGGACCTCGACTTCTCTCAGATTGAGTTCAAAAACCGAATCAGCCATGTGTATAACGGTGGAGTGTTTGTCGGACTGTGTGACTGTACAGCATCAGACTGACTGTGACTGTAGAATATCTGACTGTGACTGTGGAGTGTCTGTGACTGACTCTGTGACTCTAAAGTGTCTGTGGATGACTGTTTGAGTGTCTGTGATTGTGACTGTAGAGTATCTGTCTGTGATTGTGACTGTAGAATATCTGTCTGTGACTGTGGAGAGTCTGTGACTGACTCTGTGACTCTAAGGTGTCTGTGGCTGACTGTTTGAGTGTCTGTGATTGTGACTGTAGAATATCTGTCTGTGACTGTGGAGAGTCTGTGACTGACTCTGTGACTCTAAGGTGTCTGTGGCTGACTGTTTGAGTGTCTGTGATTGTGGAGACTCTGTGACTGACTCTGTGACTCTAAGGTGTCTGTGGCTGACTGTTTGAGTGTCTGTGATTGTGGAGACTCTGTGACTGACTCTGTGACTCTAAAGTGTCTGTGGCTGACTGTTTGTGAGTCTGTGATAGTGACAGTAGAGTGTCTGTGTGTTCCAGGTGAAGTACAACATCGAGGTGGAACACCAGGATGACAGAATCAGCTGTGTGTGTGACAAGGAGGAGACCATCACACTGTCCATCATCTCACCCTTCGAAGTCTCCATCAAACTCGAGTCCATGAAGGTAAAGCAGAACATTGACTTGATAACACCATCAATGAAAGGAGCAAAGTATTCAAATTAATTTCTATTCAAGTATGGTTAATTATGTACTTAAATTACTGAATTTTGATTATATTGTGTTTAGATTTTAAAAACAAAAAAAGTAGGAAGGCGTTTCCTATTCTCGCGGTATTTACGGATATCGGCTGAAAAATTAACACAAACAATTCTTATCGTATGAATGCTTGTTGTTTTTAAATGAAGGGCCTTCTCCTCTATCATCTACATCTATCAGCTGCTAGATCCATCAGGTGAATTACCACTCATGAGCCTGGTGATAAACAATACGATCCGCCATTGACGAAACGAGGCTTCTCCCTTTCTCGCGGTATTACCAGGAATTAACGTTATTGGGTGTATGTAAGCGCAATCCTGCCGGAAAGGGCGGAAAAAAATAATGATATGTCCAAGTTGGTATAAAATCCCCAATATTCGTGACACTGCAAGATTTTGATCACTTACAGACTTGGTCTACTTCCTAGTTACCAGTCGGTGATGTAAACAACCGGTAAGTGTCGCGCATCGGCGATTTCAGCAGAAAATGTGTTTACCGCGAGAATAGGAGACGGACCTATACAATAAAAGTCATATTAAATCAAGGTGAAACATGTAATACCCAGTATAACCCCTTGCATGTAGCCCTGGTTTACCATAAGAAAATAATGTGAAAATGTCTACGCCAAGGTCTGTTGTAGAACATGATTTCTTTTTTCTAGTTTGAGCCAGTTGATGTAGTACAGGCAGAGGAGCCATTCCTGTTGATGCCCGAGATACGATGTACGTCAGCGTGGCCAATTGAGATACAGACCAGTGAAGTTCAGTTGGTGAGTGTTGGTCATGTGACAGGTCATGTGATGTCCAAGGTATCATGTATGTCAGTGTGGCCTATTGACGTACAGATCAGTCAAGTTGTAACAGTTGTGTATGATTTCATTATTAGCCAAATTTTCTTAATTTTGTCCACAACCAGGGTGCCAATCAGATAAATACTCTACATACATTCAGTATCACAGCTACTATGAGTTCCACCAGGATCCCCAGGATCTCTCAGTGACATTTGTTCATTTCAGACTGAGTACATCAAGACAGCCAGTGACAAGTTTGAGTCGCAGATTGAGGGAGGTGAGATGATTTCTACACTATCACAGTTGTTGCATCCTACTTGTCCAAGCAATGTACAACTTTTTAGAAGCATGGGAGCACTACGATTTTTAGGGTGTTTGGGGCTTAAAGCTGTTCTTCAACAGCAATGGGTGTGCAAAGCATTTTGGTATGCTAGATGAGTGAAAATTCATTTGGCATTCAAAATGCTTGATTCACCCACCATTTACTTCTTCCAGAAAGTGTATTCTTCTCCTCCTGATGAATTGAAAGAATAACATGTCATGTTTCAGTTGGTTTAAAGAAGAATGAATGTGCAGCGGAGTGTCTGTGCCTGCTAGCTGAAGCATCTGTCCATCTGTCTGTCACTCTCGGAACCTACACCGTCCACTGGCGGAGGAAGGCCGACAGTGACACCACCAACATCCCCTACGTCACCACCTCCTTCCCTCTGCCTACCGTCAACATCGAACACATCCCCATCTCCGTCAGGCTGCAGTTGCCGGCATTCGGCTGTGTGAAGACGCTGCTGCCACTGTGCTATGTCATCAAGAATCGGACGCCGTACCTACAGGAGATGGAAGTCTCCATGGATGCTAGCGACAGCTTCATGTTTGCTGGAAATAAACTGGTAAGATAGATGTCTGAGAAAAGTTCAGTATTTTGATATTTGTGATGTGCAAGCCTATGCTGGTCAAGTCAAACCGATGCTTACCATTCAAAGTGTCGCCATATTCCTGTATATCTGTATGTTGATTACAGTTGACATTCAGTTACCTCCCCTTCTTGTTCCAGATCCATTTCCGGGTCCTTCCCCACAGTGAGTACCAGCTCATGTACAACCTCTTCCCGCTCATCGCGGGTCACGTGACCCTTCCCAAGCTGCACGTCAACATGCTGCGCTATCCAGGCACCATGGATGAGATCGTGCAGAAGATGCTTCCCACATCCATATTTATCAAGGTATGTGCTGCATGGTGACAGGTCATGTAAATCACCTCCATTTTCAGACTTTGTCCTGTGGAATTGTCGTCTGTGATATAACATTGATATTGCTAAAATTAAAAAGTGAAATAACTGCGACATTGTTGACAGTGGAGTTACAAAGATGGTTGAATCTAAAATCCTATATTTCCTACTGTTGCAGCCGACTGGGAAATCCTTGGTGATGCCTGCATGAAGTCTTTGTTAGAGTGGCTCTCCTTAAACTGTCAGCTTACACACAAGTTTCTGTTCATAAATTTGTGACATCCAACATTATATTATATTCCATATATATATAATATATATATGTGTATTCCTTCTTCGAAAGCACACAGAAAAAAGGGTTTGTTGCTACAGTTTATAAGACATCTGTGACCTGTAATTATTACGTCTTGTATATCTTGTATAATGTTTGTTATATTTATTCTATGTTTGTCAATTTGGCGAGTTGTATAAATCATTCTTGAGTGGGTCATAAAGATATGCATCCTTGACTGATGGATTCATATGAGATATGAATTCATTGTGGTTGAATGGAGAGAGTAGTGGTTGGATGGACAGTGTAATGGATGGTTATGGTCAGCCAGCTTGGCTCCTGATTGGTTATCAAGTTCTCCAATCAGATCATGTGTTGTGTGTGACTAAACGTTTTGAATGTATGAATCTTATATTAATATTGCAAAATTTGTGTTTATTATATTGGATAAAATACGCATCCATTACACGAGTTTGTAAATCAAGAGGCATATACATCTGCCTGTTAATGTTTGCACATATTCTGAGATGCACATAAAGTGGTAAAGTTTGTCTTCTTGAATGTAGGGTCGGTGGCGTAGCCTAGTGATTAAAGCATTCACTCGTCACGCCGAAGACCCGGGTTTGATTCCCCACATGGGTACGATGTGTGAAGCCCATTTCTGGTGTCCCTCGCCGTGATATTGCTGGAATATTGCTAAAAGCGGTGTACACCAAACTCACTACTTGAATGTAAAGCCTCTCAAGACACTTTTCAGTGAGCAAAGCATTCCTAGATATATAAATAATGCATTTGTTATACAAAGTGTAACTGTGCAACAACCTACTGTGAAGTTCCTAAAGGCCACCAGACAACACCATTCCTCTAGTCAATGTGTGAGCCCTGTAACTTTCAACTCGGCAACCTATGTAAAGAGTAAATTAAACTATGTATAACACAGTGTTGCATTTTCATTTGTTAAGACTTTATTGATGTGCAATAAATGTGATGGAATAACAGAGCACTTGATTATGATTGGCTATGTCGGTATACTCATGGTATAACAGAGATAATGTTCCATTGCACTCAGTCTGTGTCTGATGATGGTGGTTATACTTTATATACCAGTATATATAATATGCATAAGTACTCTTATGGATACCACACAATCATCTTAAAAACAATTTTTTTTTAATCTTTTATCCTCGCAAAGACACAAGGGCCTGTGCTTTTCACTGCTTGACAGTGCTATTCCATCTTCAGGATCCGCCAGATGTCACATGATGCTCACTGTTATTAATCGTGTGATACATGATGCTGTCTGTCTAGAGACAATGCATCCTGCCTAAACACACAGGCACTGGTATTATGTTCTGTCTAGCAATCACAGGACCTATTTCAGGTTATGCATAGGTAGGTGCTGCCACTGCAAACGTTTGTTTGCTGTTTAACTCCCCACCTAGCAACATTCAAGCCATATCATTGCGGCCCATAAATAATCAAGTCTGGACCAGACAATCCAGTGATCAACAGCATGAGCATCAATCTACGCAATTTGGAACCGATGACATGTGTCAACAAAATCAGGGAGTCTGACCACCCGATCCCGTTAGTCACCTCTTACAACAAGCATGGGCTACTGAAGATCAATTTTAACCCGGATCTTCACGGGTCGACAATCAAGTGATTTGACATCATTAGCACCAATTCAAACTGTAGGATACAATAACATGCTTCAACCAAGCGAGCCTGTTCTTCCGTTAATCGCCTCCCAAGACGAGTATTGGTTTGCTAAAGACTTCAGGACTCAGTTATGGTTGAAGGCAAATACACTATAATACATATATACAATACACATATAATATACAATGGAACATTCCATGTATTACTGAATTTACATATAACATTAATAAATATTTAACAATAACATTATGATGAGTTTGATCAAATAAATATATAAGCACTATAACATATGTAGTTTGGGAATCCCAGGGAGGTATCTGGTATTGCTGCCTGAGTGGCACTCAGAAGAAACATTTGGTTTGTCCATCTTTACCTTTGTAAAATTATGTATCAAACCCCTTTCTATGTTGTTGATCCTGTTATATAGTGAAATGTAGGTTAACTGTAAACAGCTGAAACATTTCATATCATTATCAACCTCAATTTGGAATATTCACGGTATTGTATGGACTCCATACTGACTCTTACTGTCCATTTGGGGCCAAATCCCAACTTCATAGAATGTCGTTAATAAAAATTATGTACATAGTTTTTGAAGCTGACATTTAAAAGAACCAATTCACGTTATGTGATGTAATAATAGTTATGTTTTTAGTTGGTTTACCATCCGAGAACAATTAAATACCAGAAATTTCACTTGCTTTTTTATATACCAACAATTGTTTTAGGTCCTCTGATTAGGAATATGATTAGAAACCCACACTGTTTGTATGAAACGGTGTAAAATACATGTAAAAATGCATTAACTTTTAGTATCTTTTTGCAGGCATACTTCAATGACCTATGAGTACGGGTTTGTTTTTCCTTCATTTGTAGCAGTATAAGTTTGAGTTCTGTTTTTTCCCTCCAAATTGAAAGTTGTGATGTGTCCTATACACACATTTATCATCCAAAACTGTTCCACGGGAGATATCGCTTGTGTGAGATCATATGATATCTCCTAGGAGATATCGTTTTGACAGTAGATTTTGTACAATGCCCTGACAATGCTATGACGTCATCAACTTGATGACATCACAATGCTATGACATCGCTGCACTGCAAGTCTAATGGTAGTACAGTATTGAGAGATGTACATTTGTCATTGAAAACCAATGAAGAATGATTTTTGATGATAAATAGAATCTCACCCTCGTGTCTACTGATATCAAATATATCAACACTCGTTGATAAAGGTAAAAATATCCTCGGCAAGCCTCGGATATTTGTAACTTTATCAACTTGATATAATTGATATCAGTAGACACTTGGGTGAGATTCTCTATATCCCCGGTAAACTATAACAAACACAGTTCAGGTTTGGTGGCAGAGGTTCGACAGTATAGATGTTCTGTAGGAGAACTTTCTCCAAACTCGTTGCTGGCTGTCACTGATATCTTGTACCTTGTCTCTGGGTCAAGGTCATGGAGCGTGACGTGACCAACATTTTGACCAAAGTCTGTCACCACCACACTTGTCCTATTACTACACAGGCCGTGGGTGAATATTGCAGTCTCGTAATACACTGTGAAGTATCCTATGTTATCACTAGGGTCGTATATCCAGTTGAGAGACACAGACCGCTGGTCCACCGCACACTCCTGAGGGAGGAGCTTGGGAGAGCAGGGCTTGCCTGTGTCAACAGAAGATACAAGAGTCAGTTAGTTTGGTTTTACGCCGCTTTTAGCAATATTGCAGCAATATCACTTTGGGGACACCAGAAATGGGCTTCACACATTTTGCCTATGTCGGGAATCAAACCTGAGTCTTTGGCATGACGAGCAAACCCTTTAACCACTAGGCTACCCCACCGTCCACGAAGATACAAGAGAGGCTTGTAGTTTAAGGTTTGCACTTACTTAAAAGCTTCCTGAACTACAGGAAGCATTAATGAATTTAAAGATTACTGACTATGTGGTGAGAGACTGAGGATAGTTTTACACAAGCTAAAGTAATATTCTAGTAATATGGGACAGCAATAATGGGCTTTCCACATTGTTCCCATTTGGGGATTCGAAGCTAGGTCTTTTGTACGAGGGGCAAACCCATTAACCACTAGGCTACCCCTCCATTAAGCAGTTTTATGCTGCTTTTAGAAACACATCTCTTACAGCAAAATCCACATGAGCTTCTCACTTTGTTCCCTTATGGGGAATCAAACCAAGATGTGATGTGAACTTCAGCATGACAAGCAAACCACTGGGCCACCCCAACCCCCCACAAAGATTAGTAAAGGCTGCATAGTGAAACAAGACTGAGGGAAACCCCTCCTTAATTTCCAGAATAGCAATTAAACAATACTAATGAGAATTTGGGTCACATAGTTAGTTCATTTGGACCAAATGCTTTGTGTCCCTCCAGCAAACTTTTGTATGGAACGTTTATCAGGGAGGTACACAGTGCTCGAGATCCGTTTTTACCCTCACTCGTCCCACCAGCTGTTCGTTAAAAAAATGTAATTTAAGGTATTTGTCAGTAGTCATTTTTACCAGCATACGGACTGGAGAAGTCGACCTCACACACGTTACAATGGACCAGTGAATCTCCTCTCTTTGAGGCAGCAAGACACGTCCATATCTCATCGTATGAATCCTTGTATGGCTGTGTGGATTTAATATTCAGTTTTAACAGTTTAGTCTTAGTTGATATTGGCTGATCAATTCCATCTGCTTTCCGTTTGGCCATTGCCAAGGTATGTTCATCCCCATTGCAACAGGTCTATTTCCGGGTTTATTGATAAAACGGCCCCCACAAAACGTCACTAAGCGGAAACGGCATTAATTAAGACGAAAACGGAAGGTTGTTGAAGTCAAAACGGCTCCTGTACATTTGCTCGGCGAATACGGTGTCATCTTATTTTTGTAATAACGTTGGTAGGGGGCCCTATAGAACAGACACGAAGATGTCCCTCTAATACGTGATTGCCTTTTCCTGACACTAGTTTCTGAGTCCACAGAATTAAAATCTTAAAGTAAATTGGAAGTCCAAGGAAATGTGTTGTCATAGGGGTTGATGATTGTTTTTTTATAGAGGGAGACAAGCCTGTATGTGTGAAACACACACACACACACGCACGCACGCACGCACACACACACACACACACACACACACACACACACACAGTCATGTACAAATTGAATGACTCCACTTCTCATGTTTCAGCATTACTTTTCAATATTATAATGTACCAAAAGCTGAAAGCTGCGACAGGAGCAGATCTGCTCTTGGTCTTCACCACAAATAGCTCGGTTCCACAACTGATGCTGTGTCCAATGATCTTGCCTTAAGGATTCCAGCTTATGCGTACGACTGACCATTGGATCCTCAGGGTCATCAAGGGCATTGCATTCAGTTTGACAAGAGGACCCATTGGACACGGACTCGGATTATGGATTATCAGCAAGTCCTCATATCAACAGGGATTGGATGTTGCTGCTTGGAGAACTCTAATCTGGTGCAGGATCTAACAGTGAGAGGCCTTCTGCACCAGATATACATCCAGGATTGGATCAGCCATCTTCAAGGGACACAGATGGACTCAATCATCACGCCCACGGTGATAGTGCCTATGGGTCTGAGACGGTGAAGATTACCCGACAATGTCATTCATGGGCCTCCAATCCAGATGATCACCTCTCCATAGAGGCCTCCCTGACAGGATGGGCAGCTCATCTGGAAGACATGACTACTTCACATGGTAAGTTTGATGCTCCTGTACAAACCAATCTTCTGGAGATGAGAACTTGCTATCCATCACTGGTCAGTACACCGAAGAGATTCCTCAACCCTCGTTGCTACGGACATCTTTCCAGTTGTGGCATTTATCAACAGACTCGGGGGGAGGACACTCTCATAACCTAACTCAACTTCACGAAAGACTTGTGCAGTATAGTGGAAAGTCTCAACATTGCTGCAAAACACATCCCAGGATGAACTATCAACTCCGGACAAAGTTCTCTCCACTCAACATGTGGAATCATTCAGCCAGTGCTCAGTCAGATGGCTCTCACCGAGAAACAGCTTCACATGGACCTAACAGCGATGATCCCCCAAATACTGGCTTTGCAGAATACCCCTGGATCGGACAACTGCCTGGACGAAAGACAACACGTTTGCTTGGACTTAAATATAATTATAAATTTTAAACTGTAGAAACAAGTATAAGGAAATCATGTGTTGGCGGTAGTATTCTATGGTTTAGTATCATTGTCGATAATTTGCCATCGGTCCCAATTTGGAAACGTATTTGTGAAAGGTTACCTGTGCATCTTTCCACTGGTATGAAGTATTTCGTTCCTAATTAGAAGTTATGTTAATTCATCATTTAAGAACTTGAAACTTTTCTTTCAATTTTATTTTATACTCGAACACAGCAATGTTTGTTCATCTGTTCAAAATCACTAGAAATTCCTGAAGAAATGTATAAGTATTAAAACAGGTTTGATGCTGGATGTAATTTTACATTTTACAGTCTACGCTGGACTTCATTTTGCAAAGGGCCGGGATCGTAACGCTAAGTCTAAGGAGGATTGTTAAAGAGCTCTGATTGCTTTGTAGGGGTCTACGAATTCAGGAGAGCAATTTAATGTAATGTAATCTTTCCAGATTATTTTTTGGCATTAAAGATATACGTGTTCCAGAAATGTTCCACAAACAAAAGAATGGCAGAAACAAACATTTCTGGGCCTAGATTTTCGAAGCTCTCTTAGCGCTAAGTTAGTCGTAAGTGCCATACATTAACATTAACTTACGACTATCTCAGCGCTAAGAGAGCTTCGAAAATCTAGGCCCTGGTTTGGGAACCTTAATAAGAAACTGACCTTGAAGAGGCAAGAAGCACTTGGTGACATCTCCTACAACCTGTGACAGGTCGGTGGTCTGATGGTTGATGTCAGAGATGGGCGGGTCCATGGGAGGTGGACCGTCGGGCGGATACAAGATTGGAGGAGAAGTGTTCGGCTGATCCATTATGGGTGGAGGGGTGTTGGATGGAATCATGATGGTAGGAGGGGTGTTGGGTGGATCCAAAATTGGATGAGGGGTGCTGTATGCATCCATGATGGGAGGAGGAGTGTTGGGTGGGTATAAGATCGGAGGAGGGGTGCTGTCTTCATCCATGATGGGAGGAGGGGAATCGGCTTGAACCGCGATAGGAGAGGAACCGGGGGCAGCCATGACAGGAGGAGGGGAATCAGCCGGGTCTACGCTGGGAGAAGGGGGATCGGGTGGATCTACGATCGGAGGAGGAGCGTCTGGTGGGTCCATGATTGGAGGATGGGGGTCCGGCAAGTGGTCCAGGCTCTGAAGGAGGCTGCACATGGAACAAGTTGAGAATATATGCGTCAGTACAAGATATAATGAACATGCATGAAGTACCCATGCTGGCCACTGGGGGTACAATGGATCAGGTTGTCAGGTTCGAGAATGTCACTGGTTTGTTTTATGGCATTCGGCGTCAAATACATGTATGTGGAATATTCCTGAATACAGCCTTAAACAAACAAATCACAAGCAAACTTGGGAAATCTTTCCATTTATAATGAAAATGGATTATTAAGACAATGGTCTTCATTATACATGCTAAACGTACCGGCGGAATTCTGGGAGTTTCTGAAACGAAGAAATTAAGAACAATAAATATAACCTTGCATGAACAATGATAAATACTTAGCCATATGTAATCCCCGATCAAGCGAATTTGTAGGAAATCTTGGAATAGCAAGCCTATGACTCTATAGTATATTTACATGTAACACAACGGTAGAACAACGGTAGAACGAACATTTGGACTTCCGATTCCAGTCACAGTGCTGACCTAGTGACAACAAGGGACACTTATATCCCCTGGTTGTCAACTTTCCCGATAGTTACAGAATGTGACATAGCCATACTGAATTAGCCCAGCCCGTAAACATAAGGCTGTAACACCCAAGTCTTCAACCTAAGTCCGATCTAAGTTTTGTTTTTGTACTGAACCGAAAGCATGTGTGAGTGAGTTAAGTGACTATAATGCCGCTTTGAACAGTACTCCAGTTACGTGTATATATTTTTATCTCAGTTACATTTTTTCGTAAAACCCAAATCCAATCAAATTTAATTTGCTCGTGGAGATTTATGATTTATTGTGCTTATTTTACGCAAATAGCAGGCAGCTAATCTGGAGCTCTGAATGGGAAAGAGACAAATGCCTACCGTCCACAAACTGCCTCCTTCCCCGGATGACGTAGTCATTTCCTGACACCGGCGCAGCAGACGATCATACTGAATGAGTCGGTCAGTGACCTGCTGGGACTGATCTCCAATGCCTCCAAGGTGAACGCAGCGCCCATCGAGCGGCGTACGGGGATTCCCGGTTGCTTGGAAACCTTGCGGATGCTCTCTGGTTGTCTCGGAGTTTGTTTCTTCCTCATTCTGTAAACAAAAGTGCAGCTAAGACACCAAGACAAGAAATGACAGGCGTTGTACAGAAGCTTTGGAACATTCTCAGAATCGCCATGATGAAGTAGGATGAGGTGTGTGCTATTTTTCACAGTCTTCGAGCCGTGTTTCGGGGCGGTTGGGGTAGCCTAATGGTTAAAGCTCGGGTTCGATTGCCCACATGGGTACAACGTGTGAAACCCATTGTTGGTGTCCCCCGCCGTGATATTGCTGCAATGTTGCTAAAAACGGTGTAAATCCAAACACCCTTACTAACTCCAGCAATGTTTCGGCTGCATGCCAAAACGTAACATCCCTCGTCCCTCGTGTGGAATCAAACCCGGCCCTCAGCAATACGAGCGAACGTTTAGGCCACTAGGCTCCCACGGTAAATACATATATGCGAAAGCAAGCATGCAAATACTGAACAACAGCCCGGGTGTCATGGACTGCCCACCGAGTACAAGAACTGAAATATTAACACAAAGTTAATATAGAAGCTGTGTTATTTCTTCTCACCTGTAATTTCTCTTCCGCTGCTATCAATTTCTCCAGGTAATTATATTCCTCCCTCCTCCGTGACGTCAGATACCCTTCCGCCACCGACAGAAGCCCCTGCAACACAATACGTTACGCACTTGCCTCCACCGATTAGGTACAGAATTGTTTTCGTTTGCCGCCGCACTCACCATTATTCCATCTAATCTGACGTACAAAAGAAAGTACACACCTGGTGTTTTGGGATTATTTGAAAAGTGTTGTGATTTTGACTGGCAACTTCGCAATTGGGCACGGTATCTGTGGTGTTTTGGCAACATATTAGGAAAGTCTGTGACCTATATATCACTGTAAAACTCTTTTCAAAACATTTACGTCGCTCTTTGGAAAGTAATCCAAAAGCACCGGGTGTATACTTTCTTTTGTACGTCAGTTTATATGGCGACCATCTGTAATTAATCGAATCCGGAAAAGACAAACATGTGATTGATATCATGAACAACGACCCAGGCTCTTGAGATAAGATGACCAATATTTGTCCGCTGAACAAAAATCTTAGGTCACGTCAGAAAGACATTTCGCGAATTTGTAACCGACAAGTGAATTGACCAATAGAAAAAAAAAATCGATATTGGCCAATAAGAATACAACTTTCTCGATTTTTACGCAACCAGTATAAAAATGCAGATACTTCTATTCCTGACTTGGCTTTGAAAAATATCGATTCAATACTTGAAAACTGAATGAGAAGGCTGTGATTGTATGACAGTACTTTCAAGGTCTGTGGAAAGTCTCTTCTGTTTTACATGTTTGTTCCAATGAAGCCAAGGATTTGGTCGGAATGCCTGACTGTAAACTTGCTCGCAACCTATCCTAATCCGGACTTCCACTAACCTGTATGTAATCCTTCGTCTGATCAAGAGGGATGACTTGATGTTCCCTATGTCCGGCATCACGACCACGATCTCGTCTACTGAGGCAACATTTGACGCACACGGGTACATAGCACTGGGTGCAGAATAGATTCACTCTCTCGTCCAGGTGATCAGGGCACAGTGGGTCTACAACACAGGTTCATTAGCCACGGGAGACTCTCGGGTTGCAATTACTCTATTATAACGAAAAGACAAAAATGGGAAATGAAGGTGCACCAGAGCAAGACGTCCAGAAGATCTCTCTGGTCCTGCGCTGTTCATTTGAAAAGTGGAGCCGATGGTGGTATTTGGATACATGTCACTGACAGGTTCTTTCAGACACCGTCAAGTAACTGGGTTTGTGGCCAACATGGGGCTTCCATTTTCTTTGCCAAGCTTTTATTCATATACACAAATAACTAAGTTAAGCAACCCCTGGCATATCTCATGATTGAATGAGCCCCGATCTTAACCCTCTGAGGCATATCTGGGACATGATTGGTCATCGTGAGTAACAAAGGGATCCTCCTGTACAGAGTATGGCCCAACTGGATGCTGCTTTACACTATAAATAGCGTAGACTGCCCCTTCAGAAGATCAGGAGGCTGACAGGGGGTATGTGGAGGAGAGTGCTGGCTGTCATACAGTCACATGGAGGTAACATGGTATTGACCGTGAATCGTGTAAGACACGCAAAATGACATTATGAACGTTCACATTCACCAATAAATTCAACATTAAACATTCCAGGGTCATACTTGTACAGACATGATTTTGTAATGAAAACCAGTTGTTTTTTAAATGAGCAATTATCATCATTAAAATCAACATGGATAACAATCATTTTGTCGTTTTTTATGAGTCAAAGGATCATACGGGTCAGAAAAACTCGTTTTTACGGGTCTGAACGTGCTGAAAACCATTGCAAAATTACAGGGGGTGCTTAATTATTTTTTTGTTTGTGTATATGTAAGAGATTATGGGGGTTCCAGAAAAAAATCAGATACAAAAGAATCAATATTGGAAACAGATCTTTAAACCTAACATCGTTTCTGGACAAAGTTAAATTGCAAACGGTACAGCAACGTTCACCGGAAGTAGCCCTCTTCATTTGCACGTGGTATGGTTGAACGATGGCTTTGCCAGACAAACAACTCCGCCAAAGCTCTCATCATACCTCTGACTGAAAGCATTTTGCAGGCTGAGACTGGGTTAAGGTTCAGAACATGACAACTGCATTGCGTGAAGAGTGCCAACTGCTTCTCTTCTTTGAATCGTTCCTACTTTTGAAGATGAGCATCGTATGCTCAGACATTAGTATGACCCCTTTCTTTCTCACCTGAGTTAGGACTCTCATCAATCACCTCCTCCAGAGCATAGTTCTTGGGTAGACCTTTAACCCCTTCAGGCGCCAAATGGACCTTTCTGCACGTGGGGCATGTAATCCGGCCCTTCCTCACGAGCCCCTTGGTGCAGGTGGTCCGGCAGAAGCTATGGCCGCAAGGGAGGACTACAGGGTCCTTGAAGGGATCCAGGCATATAGGACAGCTCATGGCACGGTGTCTCTTGTCTGGTCTCGCCTAGAGAAAAACACGGTATACATTATTTTTATTGCAGGTGGCCTTGTAAAAGGACCTGGCTAAAAGGAACTGAACTAAAATTTGCTATTTTATTGCAGGTTTAAGGCCAGGCTGAGTATATATGTCATGGCTTCTGAATGCCTACTATTTATACAAAATATGTCGTTACTATAGAAGGAAAAACCTTGGTTTTGTGTAACCACAAGGAGACCTTGCCGACCCGTGAAGATTAGTCTTCGAATTCGAGACCGCCGCCATATAGCTGGAATATTGGTGAGTGCGGTGTAAAACTAAACTCACTCACTTGATTGTCTGGACCAGATTATCTATAGGCCGCCATGATATGGCTTAAACAACATACTTAGACCTTGCCACCCACACCTATTATATCGTCGAAGTCCTCTTACTTCATTATTGAGGTCCGTTATCTGAAGACCGCCTCCGTGGTGTAGTGGTTAGAGCGTCCGCCCGGAGAGCGGAAGGTCGCGTGTTCAATCCCCGACCGCGTCACACCAAAAGACGTTAAAATATGGTACTTGTTGGTCCCAGCCTGGTGCTCGGCATTATTGGGTACAACAAGGACTGGTCGGCTCGGGAGTCAGTATACTGTGTCTGAGTGGGATATTCATGCTTCACTGCGACATGGTATCTCAGTGGGCTAGCACTATAAAACCAGCTTTAGTATGGGCTAGTACAAGCAGCCGCACATACACATACATGCACGTCGTCATATGAGCGAAATATTCTCAAGCACGACGTTAAACCCAATTTCACCTCTCCTCACCTGTTATCTGAAGCATTTATGTTAATATAGAAAACAGCAGTATGTATGTGACGTGTGGTCAAGAAGACGGAGCACCTGTCAGGAGGGCGGATGGTCAGTTGTTCGATCCGACATCCTCGTTGAAAAACGTACTTCTTGTTATGACCCGTGAAGGTCCGGGTTTGAATATTGGCCTTCAGTAACCCATGCTTGTAAGAGGCGACTAACGGGATCGGATGGTCAGGCTCGCTGACTTGGTTGACACAAGTCATCGGTTCCCAATTGTGCAGATTGATGCTCATGTTGTTGATCACTGGATTGTCTAGTCCAGACTCGATTATTTACAGACCGCTGCCATATAGCTGGACTATTGCTGAGTGCGACGTAAAACTAAACTCACACACACACATACTTCTTGTTATATTGCATGGCGCTCGGGAATAAACGAATAATACCAGGACTGGATTGGAATCGGTGTTGTAGGTCTGTGAGTGGTATCCTGTGTTAAACGCATGGCATCTAAGTGGGTTTGCACTATAATACCGGCATTCGGCACTACAAGTAGAAGCAGTGAGTGAGGGAGGGGGTATGATTTTACGCCGTTTTTAGCAATATTCCAGGAATATTACTGCGGGGTACACCGGAAATGGGCTTCACACATGTTCCCATGTTGGGGATCGAGCCTGGGTCTTTAACTACTAGGCTACCCCACCGCTCAGGAGTAGAAGCAGTCACACACGCACGAAGTGCAATAATCTTTACCGCGACTTTAACACCCCAGTTTACCTCATCTCACACCACTAGTGGCAATCACGGCGAACAGGGGACTTAATAATCTCGCCCCACAGAAATGTTGCAAGGCACACACTGACGCCGCTTCGAACAATGTTCTTGTCAATCACGGCATGTCAACTTGATGTGGTAGGAAAACAAGACTTGACGCAGGTCTTGTACCTTTAACCACAAATACGGGCATAAAAACCAAGAAACAGTACCAGAGCAAACCTGGGATCAGAACACACATACAGGTTCCAGGCAAACACATGGGACCTAACCCTGCTCGGCCAATTGCGTCGCCATCCGTGTCGTCTTTCACGTCCTGGTGTTATCCACGACAGCTGCGCGGTGATGCAGTGTGGTGTATCGAGCTGTATACAAACGGGCATCAGGTTGCATATATATATACACACAGTGTTTTCAAGCGGCGCTGCAGTTATTGTTTTGTTTAACCACTGGCTGGTCATTAAATACAAGCACGTGTGTGATATGTGTAATATTCACATCCGTGTTAGATTTTTAATTAATGTACAAACTAGATTCACAATGTTTCCCCCTGTGGGACGGTCCTCCGTTATACCATCACTCAACGACGCTGTAAAATACAATCAACCTTGGTAGATCCCGTCATACCACCGATCGACACAGCTGTATAAAAACATTCTTCGGTTGATCCCCCGTTATACCACCAGTCAACATTCCTGTTGATCCAGGTTGTACCATCAGTCAACATTGCATGGAGATGAACCATTCACCAACTCTGCTTACAATATGGGTCAAACCGCCACCTTGGTCTAGTGGATAGAGTGTCTGCCCGGCGAGTCGAAGGTTTGTGGTTCCATGCCTTTGCCGACACAGCAGAAAAGTTGGCACTGGTTACCCTGTCTAGCGCTGGGCATAGGGGGATACATCAGGGACTAGTTGACCCTGAGACAATATAATGTGTTTGAGTAGGGTAAAATGTTAAACTCTAACATGGCATCCCAAATGGCTAGCACTTTAAAACCAGCGTAAGTCCGGACCAATATAAGCAGCCACGCACGCACAGGAAGGTGCACGTTCGCTGTGTAAGTGAAACGCTACTTTAAGCAACGTTAAACCCCAATGACCTGACCTTAAATCACGGTGCAGGGTTATTTGCGGACATGTGTCTTGACCTTGCAATATTCGTGAAGTTATAACAGGCAATACGCCATAACAAGAAATGTGTTTATTTCCAAAACCTTTTAAAATCTGATCCTCAAGGTCAAACATACCCTCCCTAATACATGTAATATGTAATATTGTAGTGTGTTTATTGAAATTCTCACTCACCTTGTGGAGACACGGTTGTCTTGGGTTTTGTCTTCGCTGTCCCTCCGAGGTTTGCAATCTGTGTTAGTGTGGCTGTCGAGGTTTAACATTTCCATACACACACGCCTTGTTCAATAAATGTTCATTGCAGGGAAATCAACAAGGGAGATATACATCTGTTGCCACAAGAACAGTTTGAATCGTTGGTGTGACTGACAGTGCGTTCACTGGTCGATATACACGTTATGGTACATCAGTGCACGTTTTGTATGATAGGTGCGTGTTAATGAAAATACCGACGTAATGGAGATTTCTTACAAAAGTCGACATTAAATTCAGTTATTTTTAGAACTGTCTTTTTTTGTCACAGACGAGTCTGTTAACTCATTGAAGTAACGACAACTTCAAAGCAGGTCATTTTTTTCTCAATTTATTCAGAAACCCCAAAGACACCTTTTTAACTCTTAGAGATGCGTATGTGAATAGGGTTTTGAGGTTGTACATGTATCCAGATGGCGAACTGCTTATGGAGGTACAATTGCTCCTTCAGGTGAATAGATGCTCTGATATTCGTCTACCTGCAACGTAAACTGACGTACAAGAGAAATTCAACGCCTGATGTTTTGGGATTATTTAAAAACAAAATAAAAACAGCATAGATATTTTGAAAACCGTTTTGATTGTGACTCCCAAAGCACTGGGAGTGTACTTTCTTTTGAACGTCAGTTTATGTACTATTCACTAATGGTCCTCCGGAGTTATGGTTACAATAGGCATACGAAGCATATACGTTTGTAATAAGAGGGAGCGTAAAATGATCCAACAGTCAGACCCGTGAAGATCCGGGTTAGATTTGGTCTTCAGCTATCCATGCTTGTCGTAAGAGACAAACTGGATCGGGTGGTCAGGCTCGCTGACTTGGTTGACACATGTCATCGTATCCCAATTGCGTAGATCGAGACTCATGCTGTTGATCACTAGATTGTCTGGTCCAGACCCGATCATTTGCAGGCCACCGTCATGTAACTGCAATATTTCAGATGGCAGCGTTATACGTCAAACTCTCATTAAGAATGCTTTTATCCATGTATACTGTATATATCTTCAATATGTAAACATATCACCTGCCAACGATTCAGCTTAATCATTGTTGTATAACTGACATCGACTCGCGGCATGCTTCGATCTTTCTCCCCATAACAAACAATATGCTCTATATGATAGAAACACTGACATGGGTAAATTTATGGTCACATTTGTATGGTGGGCATGCTCGATAATCTCCTCGGTATACGTTACGATCACTCTCCACTAATACCCTGGATGCATCCACGGCTTGGTTGGTTTTATAGTTTTAGGGCGACGTGGGCCAATAAGAGGCTTATTTGCGCCCATCCACGGCTTGGGTCCGAAAATTATATTACCTCCCTTTACTGGCTCCTCGTTCTCACAGTAGCCAATCAGCGAAGCCGCCGTTACATCCGAGCTTGCCGGTGTCAACAAAGATAGCGGTCGCAGTCGCGAAGGTTTGTTCGCAGTGCCACTCATATTTTTTGGGAAATAATACAGACAAATTGACAGATCTGAAACTTTAAAAAAATATATGAAAGGACTCCTTCTACCTCTTTCAGAGTACCTGTGCATCAATTGTGTTGCCAAGTGTAAACGGTTAGATAATTTAAGAAGCGAAAGTGAGTTGTGATTGGTTCGCTCAACTTCCAAGCGTAGACACCTGATTGGATAAAAAGCCAGCAAAGGGAGGTAATAAAATATCGGGCCAAGCCGTGGATGCATCCAGGGTATAGTGGAGAGTGATCGTAACGTACACCCTGGAGATTATCGAGGATGTGTGGTGGTGTGCGATATTATAATTTTAATATTAACAGTAGGTGTGGCCTAGCACCATTATGAGCGTCGTCTTGGCCCTATGACACACAGCGATGTCTTATGGAAATGAGAGTAATTGGTTGTGGTTCCGTCACAAGACTGCATGGGGGTTAATCCGGTTTAGCATTGGCCCGGCATATCGTATACTTGATGTACGGGGTGCCTGAATAAATTTTAGGTCAAGGCTAATGACTTGGTCGACTGTGTTAACGTACCCAGACGTCGTGAGAACCTGCGCACAATATCAATGATTGGTTTGTCTGGTCCAGATTCGATTGCTCTCTGGCTGCTGCAACACAGCTTGAATAGCGCCGTGTGCGGCGTAAAACAACGGTCAGATCTCAGCTGCGCTGATATTTCTATGGACTATCATAATCCGAATACAAACACAAACATTTACAGTTGTGTTTTGGTCTTTATACTTTGGCACTGTTTCGATGACTGTTATCAGCCTAGTAATTCTATTTGACAACGTGTATATTTTGTGGTTCAGATCTACTCCTCAAGTGTATACATGTACTGCCTTTGCCCGCCAGTTCAGATTGAATGCATTGATCAACATCAACATAATTTTTTTAGACACGTGACTAAAAATGAATATAAATGTTGTAGGAATATTTTATTTAAGTGATTGCTGCACACACCACTTCTCTTCAGCACTAGGGCGGTGGGGGTAGCCTTGTGGTTAAAGCGTTCGCTCGCCGCGCCGAAGACCCGGGATCGATTCCCCACATGGTTACAATGTTAGAAGCCCATTTCTGGTGTCCCCCACCGTGATATTGCTGGAATATTGCTAAAAGTGGCGTAAAGCCATACTCACTCCAGTCAGTATCCTTCACACAATACATGCTCTGCGAACATGGGGGCAACGCCGTTGCCTGCCCCACCCTTAACGCACCGAACACCCACACCCCCAACTCCTCATCTGACCCACCACAGTTTCCACAGCAGGCAGTACGCTGAATCTACGCCAATTTAGTCGACAGAAAAAATCAATGGAAAGCTAGATTGTCTCTTTGCATTAATTATAAGTAACATTTGAGACAAGGCGCACTGGTGTTAATCAGTTCGAGCAGCGTGGCAGATGCTGCGAGATACTGCAGGTGATTACAGGTGGGCTACAGGTGATAGTGCACAGGTGTGTCAGGTTTACAGTGAAATAACAACTAGGCAGGTGTTAGTGGCGTTAAGATAAATTTGGCATGTCTTGAGTTGTTGCTTTTTAGGCCGATTTGTATCTAGTCTTCTTGTCAGAAAAATGCTCCCTCAAAATCCACAGTAAAATGTTGTTGGTTTTCAAACTGTTGTTCGTCTGTGCGTATAAATAAATAGAAATGCTATGGTTAATTGTAACAAATGTAAAATATGATCTTACTTAAATCATATACCTTCGGTCTGAGTCGTTCTAATGCAGCTTTGACGAGCATTACGTTACGTATTCAGAACCATTCAAAGAGATCCCGTTACAGGTAGGTCTACTTGTGTAATGGTATTCATTCTTGCGTCTGCTGAAATCGCTTTGACGATTCAGGTACTTGTAATATCATTTTAATGTTTCATTTGGTTATTTCGAAAGTTGAGATCAAATTTGAAATAAAAAATTAGAAATTGCAGAAATTCTGCCTGTAATTTCTGTTTAGTGGTGTGCTACAGTCGAGTTATGGGATTACGTCCCTTTGATTATCGCTGTTGTGTACATTGGAAACATTCTTCAGATGCGAAATAACGGGAGCATCTAGTTTGACATCATTGCCTCGTTATTACGTACACGTGATGTCAGGTTGAATGGATATATTGTGTTTTTCGGTGGTAAATATCAACTAGGTAGGTGAAATAACACTAACACTATGTAGTGAAATGCGTGAGCTGAGCGTAGCGAGACGTCAAGTCAATACTTGTCAACGACTGGGCTAGTCTGGCTCGGCAGATGACTGATAACCTTTCACACATTGTTGTACTATTACAAGCGTTTATAACATGCACAAGCAATTATGGAAACATATACACCGCTGCTGGTAATGCGTATGATATATTTTGTGTATATATCATATGCCGGCCATGTCCGTTTAACTTGTATTATCAATAAAGCTTTGTGTTTCATCAGATACATACCGATAAAGCATGATATATAAATATTTATAGTATAATTTCTTGCCTAAATCGTTTAATCTATGACTAGAAAATATATGCCTCACATAATTTGATCCAGTAACCGAAGCAAACATATGTCAATTTTCAAGGTTTTATGTTAATTTTAATAATGTAAAGCACAGGATATTGATTTTGGCTTAGGATAGTTGATACCTGACAGGAGTTATCAGATTACAGGCAAAATCAGACCCATGTCGATCATAGCCAATGTCAGGCTACGTTCTTCCCATGAAAAATGTCCCATATGTCGCTCCTTACTTTTATTTGAGTGCCATATGATGTTTATCAGTTGTTTCCATGATAGTGTGGTATCCCTAAATATTTCTATTTTTGTAATATCTGTAAATAAAATAGTTATGAAATGATAATATACTAGCAGATGTTCCTTACCTTAATGTGGTTAGCTGCAGGTAAACCCGAGTGGTTATGTATCATGCAGGTGTGCCAAATCCATGTAGCAAGGGGTCCGTCAAGTGGCAGTGATCCTTTCTCTCTACTAATGTATCATTTCATTATTTTTTATAGAACCCAGCGATTTTGTTTGCATCTGTATGGTTGAAGTCTGTAAATACTGATGTTGGGACAGACACAACCACTAGTCCGTTAGTCTGAGACAGACTTACTGTTCTGTCCCTTATTCTAATCATTTCCCTCAAATACTTGTCTGAATAAAGCCGCAGACTAGTTGGATAGTTGACAAATGGTGCCAAATACAGTAATAGAGTCTGGATCAGACAAGAGATCGAGTGATTGACATTGAGCATTGATCCATGTAATTGGAGTATAACCCCATGCAACTCACTGATTCTGACCACCCAATCTAAGTAGCCTCTTATGTCAAGCACATGTTCTTGGGACCTATCTTCTTACCCAGAATCTCAACAGGCCTTTAGTAGAATATTGTAGTAATGTTCCACAAATGACAGCTTAACTGCCAGCTCAGCAGCAGTTTGACCACCAAAACAATGTTCCAGTGTATATAATGTCCAAGAAGTTTACCACCTCCGTGGTGTAGTGGTTAGAGCGTCCGCCCGGGAGTGCAGAAGGTCGCGGGTTGATCCCCGACTGCGTCATACCAAAAGACGTTAAAATATGGTACTTGTTGGTCCCTGCCTGGCGCTCGGCATTAATAGGTACAACAAGGACTGGTCAGCTCGGAGTCAGTATAATGTGTCTGAGTGGGGTATTCATGCTTCACTGCGGCATGGTATCACAGTGGGCTAGCACTATAAAACCAGCTTAAGTCTGAGCTAGTACAAGCAGCCGCACATACACATACACACGCATGCACGTCGTCATATGAGCGAAATATTCTCCAGCACGACGTTAAACCCAATTCCACCACCACCAAGAAGTTTGTTTCCTCCCACATTGATATACTGTCATATATCTTGAATACTGTCCACAAGAGCATTAAACCCAACTAACTCACTAAACTATTATGTGTACTTTTGATAATTCTCTTTTGATATTCTATTTTAAGCCAATACCTCTTTTTGGGAGTTCCCCTCTATTACAATTGATCTACATCCTAGCACACAGATGGATAGTGACTACCATAATTGTAAAAATAGAATATTCAGAAATTCAGTGATATCTGAAAGCATATGTTTTTTTTCATTTACAGATCAATAGTGGTTCGGTGAACTTATTTGAATGTTATCATGGCAACAAACCTGTCCTGATGTAAGGAACAATGTCCAGGAAGAGTGACAAGAGGTAATCAATTTCTTAGCATGAAGTATATTCATATTAATCATTAGTACTTGATTATAACCTTTCAGTGGTATACCACTCAACAGAAGGTTAGGAACGCACCCATTTTAATCTCATCTCATGACATGACAAGATATTGATTAATATGAGTCCATTATTGGGTTTATCTCATTAAATAAGATGGTTTACTCCGATTTGATACCTCTCTGCACGAAGAGATCTTCTACAAAGGGGGGTCACTTCATTTGAATTTAAATTATCTGATCAGGCCAGTATCAGAGTGGACCCTTCAAGATTCTCTGTACAAATGATGGCAATATATGGAGCAGGATGACATATTTCTTTATCTCTCTTAAACAAAATTAACATTTGATGGGCACTTCTGATTTGGGCATAATATTTAAATGAATTAACAAATCCTGGGTTCGATTCCTCATATGAAACCCATTGCATTTATGATTTTCTCTGCCTTGATACTGCAGAAAGCCTTAGTGATTCACACTCTAACTCACTGTTGCCATGTGATTTTGCTGGGCCACTATTTGGTAATACCAGCTGCAACTTCTGTCCACAGACGTACTGGCCTCCAATGTGAGAACAAGAAGCTGGAGCGTGAGATTGAGGAGCTGGAAGATGCTCTACTGCTACACAAACACATCCATAACTCGGAGCAGACCAGCCTCCGGACCACTCTCAGGTGGGTTCAGTGGACATGTCTGTTTGGGTGTCCAACAACATGCTTAACAGAGCAGTTTAACATCCTTAAAGATTTTGGGGGTTGCAAGGTCTGCAGGTTTTCTTGGTAAGGTCTTGCTTTGCAGATCATTGTAGTGCCGTCTGTTCTGAGTATAATGATGTCACAATCAAGTGACCTCACAAATCTCTGACACTGAGGCTGGTTAGCTGTATATTTTACTCTCAATACAATGGTTATCTGCTGACAAAGCTAGAAGAATGATTTTACCCTCACAGTGTTTGATAGCAAATATGTTTCCACACTCACCAATAAAAGGCTCCTTGGCAAGATGCAAGTTTACTCTCTCGATTCATGGACATATTTGATATCAAAAGACACTCGTGTAAGATTCTCTATATTAATTAAAGTGGAAGCATTTGATGTCAAAAGACACAAAGGTGAGATTCTACGTACATGTATCTACTTTGAGTGGATATATCTGATATCAAGACACACATATGAGAATCTTTATATCAACTGTAGGAGCTTTGATATCCAAAGACTCCTGTGTGATATTCTCTATATCTTCCCTACAGGAAGGAGGTGGGCGGGTCGAGGTGGGAGCATGGTGGGCAGGGCAGGTTGAGGACGTACAAGTCCAGCAAGGACCTGGAGGAGAGGTACAGTCTGGAGGAGGAGTCAGCGGTACCAGGGGACGTGTCAGCAGGGGTTGGGGGGAGGCAAGGAACTCCAGGTAAACATGAGGAGAAGGATTCACAGCTGGTCAAAGTTGGCAGTGTCGATCGAATGAGGTCATCAGCCAGGCTGAAGAGGGATAACCGAAAACAGAAGGGTAGGTCATGTGACAGGAAGCAATATTGTACACAAAAATATACTATTCAAATGAAACTAAGGACCATTCATGGATGACAAATCAATTATTGTGATGTGAGAGAAATGGATGGTGCTTAACCTCTTTTGAACAGTATACATGTGATTTAAAAAGTAATTTGGAAATGTCTGAGTTATACTTTATCTCCTTCCTTGGTGTTAAGCCCATTTCTGGTGTCCCCCGCCGTGATATTGCTGGAATATTGCTAAAAGCGGCGTAAAACTAAACTCAGTCAGTCAGTCAGTCTTCTTCCTTGGGTGATGTAATATATTAACTGACTGAAAACAGTGTTTCAAATTGTGATTTTGTTGTTGTATTTGATTGTTTCGTTGTTTAAGGTTCCTTGTTTGAAAGTATAGTTACCTGGGAGATCTAGCCTTTCTTTTGGGCCCATTTATAGCAGTAAATATTTCTTAACTAACTTCTTCAAATGCCAAGGTGATATCCTGGAAGTCAATACCAAGGAATATATGTCCAGGAACACCTGACCTATTTTGTAGGTTTAAAGATTTTTGATTAAACATTCAGGTTGTAGGTTTAAATTGTATGTCTTTTACCTTTGAGTTCCAAGAAAACTGGGTTCTGTATCAACAAGTTCCAGGGTAAAGACAGTGTATGAAATAAGGCCCGTCCGACCACCTGAGACGGGTTAGATTTTGGACGGACGGTCTAGATTTACAGCTAGCCAGCCCGATGGTCTGGTAAAAATTTTAGATGTTATATACATCTGTGTCATATTTTGGTGTCTGGTAGTGGTGATCCGATTAATTGAAATAATCGAAGATTGGTCGCAATGACTAAGCGAACAAACTGTCGACCATGTTTTCTCATAATCGAACACAAACAATTTTGGAACACTTGTTTGCATTAACAATATTTTTCACAAGGTTGGTTTTGTCTGTTACATTTCATAAGCACTACAAGCTCGTTCCAATGATAGAATTTATCTTATAGACTTTAGGAAATTTGTTCCTAACATACTAGTCATCCTTTAAAGATGTGAAATTTGAAAAAAGACCAAAAGAGCTATATATGGTTTTTTTTCTATATTTTTTGTGCATTAACAAGCATAACCAGGAAAGTTTGATAAATGACGCTAACCAATTATTTTTGATGATCGATCAGTTGTAACCAATTTCCAACACTTGTGTCTGGTCTTGTTAAATCCATTTTGAAGTTACTAGCCCTGATGTCTGGCTGGGGTTTTTGCTTATTTCATACACTGCTAAAGAGGTTTCAATGCAGATGTACATGACATACTGGCACAAGGCTTTGCAATATTCAGATATATCCATCCTACTTTCAGAGCAACAAAAGACTTCTTCAAGACCTGTATCAGGGAAAATGTCATCTAGTCATCAACCAGCCAGAGGAAACTCTTCAAAGGAGTCTGTCTCTTCTGTTGCTACAAAACAGCCCACTGCATCCAGGGCAAGGGATGCTGTCTCAGAAGGGAAGCTATTTCAGGATGGTTCTGCAAATGTAGATGGCAAACTGTTTCCTACTGATCCTCTGAAGATTGATAGTCTCAAACATAAAGTTCTTCAGAAAGTCAGTGCTAACGTCATCCACAGACCTGCCCCTCCAGACCCTCAGGATGATGTCATGGTAGAGCAGGTGTTTGTTGACCACTTGTCATCTCAGACTCCTGGTAACCAGGAGATGATGACTGGACCTAAAGCTGTTGCATCTGAAAAGAGTGTGGTGAATCCTTCAGGACAGGCCAGTAGACGTGCTAGAGATTCCAGACAAGCTGCTCGAGCTCCCATGGAGGATTATATCAATATGGTTGCAGGCAGTAATTCAAAGCCTTATGAGACTCCTTTTAAAAAGACAAAAAGTGCTAAAGTTAGAAATAATACAGACTGCAAGGAGATGAAGAAGAACAGACAAAACTTGAAGTATGGTGTGGGTGGTAAAACTGAAGAGTCCAAAGCAACAAAGGATGTGACTAAGTCTAATTTTGATGAGGTAAAGCTTGCTATAAATGACGTGGAGAGGGTGAATATGAAGGATACTTCTGTGTCCTCAAATCCAAAATCGAGGGAGGTTCTGACAAGTGATTACAGCTCAGATCTTGAGACCTCTCCAGACCGATGGGATGATCCTCAGTTTGGGGGAGCATGTTTTGAGAGGGATGCATGGTTGGCCTCACTTCACAAAGCAGGTGATGCTGGAGGAAGACCTCACTGTCCTCTACCATCAGATGACATCTCAGACACTCCTGTTCTAGGAGGATTGATGGACTTGAAGAATAGAGGTGTCAGTGTTTCTTTTAACGCACCAAATGTTGCCAATGGATCTATAGACACTTCAACAGGGAACAAGATAGTATGTCACCAGGATGTTGTGACCTGGTTACAAGATCTGGGATTGAGGGACTGTAATCGGTACATCAAGGTGTTTGCTGAGAATGAAATTGATATGGAGACACTGAAGGATTTAACAGCTGAACAGTTGAACCAGATGGGTATCACAGCTGTCGGACCCGTTAACAAGATCCTTAGATCTGTGTCAGCCCTCAAGTCATCTTCTCCTTCAGCTAATATGACAGTGGATGAATTGCTCGCTGCTGTGGGGTCGACTCTGAAACAGAACCCCACAGAGATGATTGATGAAGGAAGAGGGAGACTACAGAGGAAGATGGGAAAGGATGAATTTGATTTTTCTGTATTCGCTGGGGAGGAAGGAAAGGATGAGATAAAGAAAAAACTCAGGGAACAGAATGTGAAGATTTTGTCTATGGAACAGTCCGAAAGGGAAGTTTTCTTAGCATCAGAAAAGAAAAGAACTGATCCTGTTGTTGAGAAACATGACTTGGATAGGAAACCACCAGTGGACAGAAAATCTTATCTTGAATCCCAGAAAGATATAAAACCGTCATCAGTAGATGAATCAAAAGGAGTGACTCGTAAACAAAGGACTCCACTTCAAAGAAGCTCTTCTGCATCACGTGTACAGTCTGATAGGGAAAGGAGTTTAAGTAGTGATGGTTCAACCAGGGGGAGACAACTCACACGTCAAAAGTCTGTGCAATCTGTGCCTAAGAAGTTACCAAGTGGTAAGCAGACTGCTGCAAGAGATGACAGTGCTGATGGCAGAGCTAAAGTCGGAAGGGGCAAGTCTAGTAAGGGAAGACCTTTAGAGGTTCTAAAGAAACAAGCAGAAGCAGGGATTTCTGCTGCAGCTCAGAAGCGAGAAGACATTCAGACCAAGACAAAGAAGGAAACATTGCAGCAACAGAGAATGGAAGAGAGCAGACGTAAGAGGAGAGACAAGATGGCCGCCAAGCACACTGGGAGAGGGAGACTGGACAGCAAGGGATCAGTGCAGGTGAATATCAAGTTTATCCTCCATACGGAAGAGAGATTTAAGATACATAAATGTATTCTCGGGTCTTAGAATAAAACTCAAGAACAGTCAAGTTGATTTGAGGACAGAAAATGTTGTGGTCAAGTTTCACTTCCTGCAAATGTATGGAATAATGAAGTGATTATCATGACTAATGTTTAAGGCAGGATATATTAGAAATGTTAAATGTCTTCTGAAATCATTTGCAATAGTGTAACGTATGAGCTTGTGTAAGATAGGCATAGGGACACACAAGGATTATTTGTATTAGTACACAGTATCTGGGTAGCATGGTCTTCAGCAATTCATGCTTGTTGTAAGAAGCGATTCACAGGATCGGGTGTTTAGGTTCGCTGACATGGTAAGTCATTTGATACTGATGATGTCACTCAAAGAAACTGTCTCGTCTAGACATGATTTTTGTTTTTAATTTTTCTTTTGTCATCAGTTCATTTCATTACAGCTTTTATTAATTTACTTGCATGAATCTAATGACCATGTAATCTTGTCATATATTGATCCCTGGATTGTCTGGCCCAGACCACTGCCATATAGCTGGAATATTGCTGAGTCACAGTGAGTGTGGTGTAAAACTAAACTCACTCACTTGTCATCTATTAAAGTTCTTCTCATTCAGGGGGCGGTGGGGTAGTCTAATGGTTAAAGCGTTGGCTCGTCATGCCGAAGACCTGGGTTTGAATCCCCACATGGGTACAATGTGTGAAGCCCATTTCTGGTGTCCCCCGCTGTGATGTTGCTGGAATATTGCTAAAAGCGGCGTAAAACCAAACTCAGTCAGTCTTCTCATTCAGACACATTTTGTTACCATATTATACAGACTGCCATAATATACACCTGGAATATTGCTTTAACAACAAGCAAACAGGAACCAATCATCTTGATCACGTCACTGGTTCGCTTTCAGCCTTGTTTATTATTGGGGCCCTGTCGATCAACTGTGTATTAAGGTGTGTTCAATACTTTTTCAATTCCAGTTGTCAACCAGGCCTCATGAGGCAGACCAAGACCCACTTGAATTCTTCTCCTTACCACCTGATCCAGGCAACAAGGAGACCAATCAAATCTCACCCCAGGACACCATCAATGATAACTTCCCAATCAGAGTGGAAGCAAGACCAATTCCTACTTCGGTCTCTCCCAGGAAGGGAGACAACTCTACACCTGAAACTTCTCTGAGTGCCAGAGAGAAAATTAAGAATGTTGACTTAATGGTGAGGACTGGTAACATCTCACATTCAACACTCTTGTTCCACTGTTGATAAAGATGTCTACGCACACTTTATGATGTTCATCCCTAAGTAAGGCTAAAGGGGTCGTTGTCGGCACGGGTACTACAGATATGTACCCCAGGTACGTTTCTGTATACAGAAACGTACCCTGGCCATAATGAGAATACAGAAACGTACCCTAGGACGATTCCATTCCCATTGTGTCGTATTCTTGATCGGAACTGTCATGCTGTTGTATTAGATACATTTGATTGCGTTATGTAAGTAATGAGAATACACAGTAACGGATATTTCGCGATGTATATGATACCACTCGCAATCAGTTGAACGGGAACAACTACATGCGGTTTCGGTTTTGGATTGAGGAATATGGACTCGTCTGCCTTTTAGGGTACCGGCTACGTTTCTGTATTTTGACTTTGTTTAGGGTACATATCTGTACACAGAAGCGTACCTGGGGTACGTATCTGTAGTACCTGTGCCGACAACGACCCCTTCAGCCTAAGTAAGTTTGACATTGTTTTGGACGATCAGTTTGGTTGTCATGAGCTTCTGTCAAAGTTGGCATCATCTGTCATCTATACAAGTCGCCTCATCTCGCACCTGCTGGATGATGAAACTTTGTATGTACAGGTTCCTCCAGTGGTGCTACTATGATTCTGAGCCATTCATTTTATGAAATCACAGCTAAAAATCTGAACAGCTTTTCAAAGACCTTTAGTAGTGACAAACTTGTAAGAAACAGTGCTCGTGATATCAACATGCCTACACTTATAAGCTTTTTTTTAATATTTACTGTGAAGAAAATATTTGTTTTTCAGAGACAACATAGCAGATTGTGTTGGTCCATATAAAGGATAATGAGTCTTTCCGGTACTTGATTATATCCTTGAGCTTGTCAATTGTTTATTTGAAATATTTGTTTCTTTCAGATAAGGGACCTGCAAAGAAAATCTGTGGATAAACAAAAACTTACCCTTGACATTGTACGTGACCTTCAAAAACAGTTGGAGGAGATTGAAAAGGGTTTGGCTTCCAGAACTAATGACGAGCTGCAGCAGGTTCCGGAAGAGGTTTCTAGTCCAAAATCTGACACCGACTCACATAGACTCGGAACACTGCCAGAACGATCTAGTCCCAGAGACAATCCTGCTTCAGACAGAAGTGCCAAACAAATGAAAAAAACGACTTCAGTTAAGAAGTCTGCAGTGATAGAACCTTCTGGTGATGTCTTACATGACCTTGTAAAAGAACTTGTGCCTGTAAAATATAAAGGGAAAGAAGATCCTGTGCATGTGTTGACAAGTGCTAGTGTCAGTAAGCAAGGTCAGAGTTCAAGGTCAAAAATGCCATCTGGAGTTGCATCCCTGTCAATGAGCAAGAGGGAGTTGTTAGATGAGATCAGGAAAGAGAAGGATGATCACAGGAAGCAGATCAGGTGAGATGTGGACAGAAATCAAATAGTTATATTATACAGCTAATGAAAAATAAGTTATTATACACAGTTATTTCCCCACGTAGGCACCTCCACTCAGAGATCAATGTTTATCACTACAGTCCTGTCACACATCCCTTCATGCTGTTGTTATTCCTCCACCTAGGCACCTCCAGTCAGAATTGACCCGTCTGCAGCACAATGACCCAGTCCGGAAGTCGGAACTGGACTACAAGGACCTTCAGTACCAGGAGGAAGGTAAGGAATGGCTGTTGCCATGGCTACGTGATGTTTCATGATTAGTGAAATTCAGTTGTTTAGCCCCAGCCTTGCCCCCACCATCTTCTGTAGGCAAGGGATTATACTGAGTACAGTCCAGTTTCAACCCTTGGTGGTGAACTAGGTTGGAATAGGTTACACTGTGGCTGGCCCAGTAAGCCTATGCATACTCCAATCAATTTCATGTAGCAAACTCAACATTTCACTCTGAAACAATAAGGTGATTTGCTGGTTTCTGTCACTTGCAGAATTGGCAAATTGCATTTAAACATAGATAGATATTTTCTATGTCTCAAGGGTAGAAACTGGACTTGCATAGTTAAGTCAACTTACTTGCCTCAGGAAGATGCGACCCAGTTGATGTTAATGAAATTTGTTTTCCCAGATCTGATAGGTGAAGGAGCATTCTCCCGAGTCTACCGAGCCCGCTATCAGGGAGCTGACGTGGCAGTCAAACGTCTCAGAGTGCCGCTGTCATCTCAGGACAAGAACTATTTCGCTGCGGAGGTAACATGACGCTTGACAATGTCCTTTATGAGGTGTCTACTTACCCTGCTTAAAGGTGGCCGTCTAGCACTCATTTTGTGGACAGCTTTATAGGTGTTGGTTCAGCCCTAAATAAAAGCAACAAAATTCCCAGGTTCACTGTACATTCATAGATGGTGCCCATTTGAAAAAAGTTTCTCTAGAGGGACCATGATTCTGCTTATTAAACATATTGCATTTTTTATGTGTCCTCAGCAGGAATAGTTAGGGCAATAGCTCAATCAGCCCCTGGCTGATTTATTTGATCTTAGTATTTCACCATTCGGTATGTGTTAAGTGATAGAGTAAATGTTCAACATGCGGTATGTGTTAAGTGATAGAGTAAATGTTCAACATGCGGTATGTGTTAAGTGATAGAGTAAATGTTCTAAGAGAACTGTCAGCAATAGCCCAGTTATAGGACAGTAACCTGTAATTTAATGAATCCAAAAGGCAACCAGTGACTTTAAATATGAGCAACAATCAACACCTTTGGACACCCTGTCACAATAAAGCCCAGACCACCTGATCAAACTTAGTCCGTGCTTAGTGTCAGCAAACAAATACTTGGGGACACTCACAGAGTGAGTGAGTGAGTATGTCAAGATTGGGCATGCCCTGCTCAAAAGTAACAATCAGTTCTTGTATTGTTTTGGTCAAAATTGTTACTGTCAATAGAAAACTGTACAACCATTAAGACCTGTGTTACTTTTGAAGGTGAGCTTACTGCGTGACCTTCGACATCCACGTGTCGTCATGCTGATTGGTGTTTGTACTTCACGACGTCTGCCGCTCATGGTGCTGGAGTACATGTGTAAAGGAAACCTCTTTGTTTTGCTGCACAATCCTAACAGGTACATACTGCTCTGGGTCTATATATGACACCCAATGTGACAGATTGATTCACGTAGCATTCAAATTCTTGCACTTACCATATGTTCTAAAATTCCATACTGTATCATTTAGATTAATGTGTGATCGGCAGGCTAGAAGTTGGTGAGTCAAAAATGAAACATACAACTTTATATATCCTTTAGATTGTTATATGTTGCCAAGTAGTATATTGTCAATGAGTCTCCAGTGCAAATTTAAATTTGTGAACTTGACATTGTCACTTCCTTCCAAATTCTACATTTTGACCTTTTGAAAGTTGCACTTCCTGCCAAATATTCTGATCATATGACCCTCTTTTGTCCCTCCTGAAATCTATATCATGACCTTGAAATTCACACATTTTGTGATCTTGACATTGCCATGTCCGCCTTGACATTATAATGTCCTGTCAAATTCCTCATTTTGTCTTGTGACCATGTCCTCCATGTTCCAGAGAGTCTCTTGACCATGCTGAGTATTACCAGATAGCCCGAGACATCGCTGCTGGGATGGTGTATCTTCACAACCATCGACCGTCAGTGCTCCACCTTGATCTCAAGTCCATGAACGTCCTCATTGGGACGGGAGATCGAGCCAAGATTGCTGACTTTGGCTTCTCAAAGCTCAAGTATGTCTATTTCCTCTTTAGCAAAATAAGATCTTTCAACTTTGTGTGCTATTTATGTACTAAAATAAATATCAACTCCCCTTTCCTCCTTTAAAAAATGTCTGAACTTGTTTAAAACCAAACAAAACTTCTAAAATACTGATGGCTCTGAAGTCTGCTATATCCTCCCTCATGGGATTTCAGGGAAGAATAGGCCCCCAGGACCATACTTATTCCATATGTTGTGTCAGTTGTGATGTGTGCATACACCTGGCGACTAGATGCTTCACTCTAAGAGTGGAGGTTCGAATTTGTAATAGAATCTATCCTTACTGAGAAAGTGTAATCACAAACATAACATGTGTTACATAAGACTGAAGGAGCCAAGGTGGGGAAATAACAACAGCATGGAGCGGGTGACAAGTGATCCACAGTGGTCTCACACCAAGGCCCCCTGGTGGGGAAACAGTATTCGACAACATCCTCTTTTCACTCACTCACTCACTCTCATGTGTATTTCTGTATTCAGACATGAAGCTGATCAGAATGCTGCCAAGGCCAGCAAGGTGAAGGAGCAGATTCAAGGGTCACCAGCTTGGATGGCCCCTGAACTACTGCAGGCAGGGGAGGTAACTCCCAAAGCAGACGTGTACAGTTTTGGGATGATTCTTTGGGAGATGCTGACCAGGAAGATTCCCTATGATGGGAGCTCAATGTTCCAGGTGCGTTCCATGCGGCGCTGCAGACAGTATGCCCACTGAATTAATTATCAGATATTCATCCACTTATTTCTGGAATCTGATACATTTGGTGGTTGTTTGTCAGAGCATCTGATGACATTATCTAGCAACAGATTCACTTATGTGTATTTCATCAAATAAAGTACAGTGGAAACACACATAGTATTTTTTTTAAAGTGTGTACTTGGGGTAATAAAAGTCTACTGATTGTACTTGGTCTTTATGTGAAAGGTTAAGTGGTTTAGCTCAGTGGCTGAAGGGTTGACTTTTCACACCAAGCACAGGTTTAATTCCCAGCACAGGTACAATTGTCAGAACTTTTGGAGTGCCTTCTTGTTGTATAAATACCATGTTCACTCAATGACGAAATGGGAAGCTGGATCCGATGTTTAACTGTGGATTCTTCATCTGTAGATCCTGGAGAAAGTGAGATTGAACAAACGTCCAGAGATTCCAATGGAGTGTCCTGTGGAGCTAGCAGGGTTTATATCCAGGTGTTGGGACCACAAGCCAGCCCGGCGTCCGGTCTTCAAGGTTCGTTACTGTTTGTGATGCCAATAGAAATCATCCCAAGAAAAGGCAGTTTGGCTCTGTTGTCATGATCATGCATATAGTGATATACATGTTAAGAAATAGGCAGTTTGGTTTAGTACACAGGTGTCACTGATCATGCATATGATGATAATAAATGTTAAACAGATTGTGAAAGACAAACCCGTAATTTGTAATGTTTAATGTACACAGGTGTGACTGACCACAGATATAAATGCATTAAGTTCTGTTGACATTGATCTGTAATGTTTAGTGACAAGGTGAGGTACTGATGCACAGGTTTAAATTGTGAATTTCAAATAGTATTTTTTGTCAAACATCCCAGGTAAATACATATTTTGACAGGTCAAAATATAATGTGCAAACTCCTTAAATATAATAATTTTATAAATGTGTCAACTAAGTCAGCTGTTGCACAAAATCTGAATGCATTATGTGACATCATGAGGTACAGATGCTCCAGGTTTAACACCAGAGTTTGTATTTCAAATGACTGCAATCATTCAACAAAAACAGCTCAGTTAGATATCAGTTTGTTTGAATCAACGAAATTGTTCTTAACAGCTTTACAATCCTAAAAATGTATTGAGTGTTTCTGAATTAGTGCCTGGCAACCTATAAGCTATATTATAACATAAGAAGACATCAGTAATCATACTTAAATGACTTGCTCAAGTGTGTTTTGCCATACCCAAATAACATGAATGGTGTTCATCATATTATGGATCCTTTGTTCTTTCTTGCTTTTATTTTACAGGGCACTGTAATTTGTTTCAGTGTCTCTAAAACATTATAAATTATATCGTATTTGCTGTTCCAGGAGGTGTTGTCCACACTGGAGAGCCTTTCCTTCCCCCCTGACTGGAGAGCTCTGTTCCAGCAAGCTGGGGTTCCTCAGGAAGCTCTGGAAGACGTCCAGTCAACACGCAACATCATCTCACTCGTGACATCGACTCTAGAGTCAACCAAGCTAGCCAGCCTCCTGGATGTTACAGCTCAAGGTCAAGGTGAATTGAGTGATGTATCAGAATCTGGGTCATCAGACATTGAGGAAGACCTTGATGAGTCGTCTGATATGAGTGATGACAGTTTGGAGAGTGAAGAGAAAGACAACTCAGATGATAACACTCCTGTGTGTTCCAGAGTGACGTCTGCTCGTTCCAACCGGGAACACAAACAGGAGATATTGTCTTCTGGTCAAGAAGTGGCTTCTGTCTCCAGTTCTAGTTTAACAAAGAAAATTGAGAAACTCAGTTTAGAAAGTGTTGAAGATGAATCTGAGGTGAGAGATAGTGATCATGATAAGATACAAGTTTCATCTCGGACTAAACCTACCCAGATTGATTTAAAAGCAACTTTGTTGCAAGAAATATCTAAAACATCAACATCAGATTCCCCAAGGCAGAGAAGAAGAGACAAAGATCAAGTTGAGTCAAGGAGAAAGAGACAGTCATCCTCCCCAGAAAGTGCTGTGTCCAAATTTTCTGAGTTACCCACACCTAGGAAGAGTCGAGAAGCATGGAGTTTTGAGGACATTCCAGCAGCTCCTACTTCTCCAGACTTCCCCCACAACCACATCCCCCCACCTCCTGCTCCTCCACCTCCACCACCCCTCCCACCTCCGTCAAATCCAGTCAAAGTCAAATCAAGAAAGGAAGATCAACAGCATAACAAACTTCAAAATGTTGTTCTTACTCCTCAAATACTGGAAGCTCGGACTCAAAAACTTAAACCTTTAAAGAGAGACAGGGATCAAAAGAAGGGGGCAGTCAGGCCGAGAATCACTCCGAAGCCTGTGAGGAGTGCTATGTTTGTTGTGGGTGCATCAGATCTACAGAAACAACGAGGCCGACTCAAACCAACACAACAGCCCCACCCGAACCAGTTGGAGGATTTGGCCCAAGTCAACGGCAAGACCCTGTCCTCCATTGCCGAGATACTCAGAGATGTAAGTAAACTTGATGTCTTCTTTTGTAAAAATGGCCTCATCTATCCCTAATATTCCAGGGTATTACAACTCCATTATGGTTTGATAAATACCTAAGGTGTCATCATTCTTAGGGGCTTCAACATATATAACATTCTTACTGGCAAATTGTGTATCTTATTAACTCAGTGATTCTGTTTTATTGCAGGCCATGTCAGAACGAAGGTTTGCAATGGGTGAGGATCTCTCAGCAAGTTGTGACCATGCACATTCTGACTTGAGCTGGTCCACTCAAGACGACTGAGGTAACCATGGTAACGCACCACCTTTAATCCGTGGACCATTTCATAATGTGCCATTAATTCTACTGGATGTCTTTGACAATGACTGCACTCATGATTCAATTGGCTATGCCTGCTCCAGATAATACTGTTTGGTTACATATGAAACAACCAATCGTTGTTTTAATCTACGATGAACAAAACCAGTTATGATACTCCCAATTATATATCAGGGGACTGATTCTACTGCATCCTCGATAATCTCCAGGGTATATGTTACGATAAACCTCCACTATACCCAGGATGCATCTACAGCTCTACATATACCCTGGAGATTATCGAGGATGGTCGACTATCGATAAGTACTGTTACCATGGATACTAGCTGGTGCATAATTTATCCTGTATAACTCTGGATGTTTCCATGGCTAGATGAACAGTGATGGCATAGCTTCAGGTTGTTTTCACCTGTGATAATGGACCAATATTACTCAAATTATTAGTTTTATCATATTTTATCTGAAGCACTATAAAAGGACATGGTCACTTTTCTCCACAATGACTTACAGTACTAGAATCTCCAGTGTGACTTGTGTTGTTAGAATTTGTTGGCTTAGATGGTTTCTAAAGCGCTTTTCTTGCCAAATTTGCAGTGCTATCCTCAAGGGATTAAGTCTCTGAGACTGTTATAAGTAAATGCACATCTATGTGAAATTGTTGTTACTTCTCTGGATCATAACTACTTTGAGGGACGGTGGGGTAGCCTAGTGGTTAAAGTGTTCACTCGTCTCGCCGAAGACCCGGGTTCGATTCCCCACATGGGTACAATGTATGAAGCCTATTTCTGGTGTCCCCCGATATTGTTGAAATATTGCTAAAAGCCGTATAAAACCAAACTCACTCACTCATTGTTAATGGCTTAATAGTGATCAGTAAATCACTTCTTGCTGATATACTACACACAAAAGTTAAATAACACCCACAACTGGAAGGCTGAAAAACAGATCTGGTGTTCCCTATCTTCCTTTGAGTAGAGTACATGCTGCATAAGGCAAGCTACTGTCCGTCAAGGTTGATGTGAAATGATTTCAATTTTTACATTCACTTTTGAAGACTGTCAAATTATTATTGTGGTTGTATTCTTAGTTAGAGCTCAGGGCTTCCATCATGACTATCATGGATTCCGTATTGTGAAACACAAGTGTGAACTTTACACCAATCTTAGGTCAAGTCGCTAATATTTGTATTCATCGAATTAGAAATACAAAAATCTTTCTTGAATGTTATAAAGGTATATGTCACTCGTTTGATAAAAAAAAATGTATTATCCAATAATGCCCTATATTTTCTGTATTGTGCATGTCTTTAAGAGCAGGGATCCAGATAAAGTCCCAGCCATTGTGTATGTACTCATATTGCATATTAATAGTTTTCTACAAGTATTCAATATACTTTTATTCTCTTGGGTTGAGTCTACTTGATTTTGTCAACTGACAGTTGGACTGGTTTTTAAATAGTTCTACTTGAAAGCTATTTCAAGTAATCTGTCTATTTACACTATAGCATAGTATTTAGTACGAATTGAGTCACATGACCTTATAGGAGTGATATAGACAATAACTTATGAGTGACGGATTATCTATACAAAGTGGAATCAAGTTTGTAAGTCAAGAGCCTTTGTGAGTAGATTATTGTTTCTATTCCCCATTGTCAAATTTCAACAAATGGAACTGAAAAATCTGTTGCATTCATCTTTGTTACAATAAGTTCACTGTTGTTGACTTCATATATATACCCAAAGCCTGCTTTCAGTCAGGTGTGCAAGATGAAAAGGCAACACTTGGTAATTACACAACTGTTTGATCAGATGTCTTTATGCATATTTGTACTACGCAATCAGCTCAAAATTAATTTGTTTGTGGTGATTTGATTATAATAGTCCATTTATATTGTGCATTTATGCACATTGCATGCTCAAAACGCTGACATATTATGCAAATATTTAGCTTATCTGGAACTCTTGAACATGCTGAACAGCAAAATAAGCATGAATATGTACAAGATTTTTCTAATAAAGACTGAAGACACTTTCGTAAAAACATCCGCAAGAAATATTGATGATCCTATCCTTTTTTGTTTGTTATATCAAATAGGAGTTGAAACTGATTGTTTTCTTGTCAAGAGTACCAGTTTATCATATGCATTTTATATTTGTTGTGTGGTCTTCAGTTCAAACTGTTTAAAATGTATTTATTAGGTTGTTTTAACCAAACTCTAGTCTTCTACGATTTATTTTTATAGTGAATCAGTATACAGAATCACTTGTTACTCTGGACAGTGTATAATTGTGCTTGTTTAGATTATCATTCATTATCAGCATTGGCTTCTCCTGTGTTGGGAGTTTTCTCATTGTGAACTTTCATGCTTACAATTTTCATATTTTAGTAACCTTAACAAACGGTATTTTAAATTTGAAATTGCTCAGATGGCTCTTTGTGATGTAACATAATTATAGTATTTATGGCCTGTCAATTTCTCTCAAAGGTTTTTTTATGGCCAATATTTATGTACTTATGAACAATTCAGCTAATTGGAAAAGATAGCATGTCTTGTTTTAGTACTTCAGTTAGTCATGTCTTTCTATACAAAGTACCATAAGGATGATTCATCTGTAGATCAGGTAACTTGTAGGTCTGATAAATCCTTCTAGATAGTTTGAGATTCAGTGTCAGCTTAGGATACACAGCTGATTGCAATTAAAGGTGCAAAATTAGACTTACTATATTTGCCATAATATGTGCACCAGACACTTAGAAAACTGAGAGCAAAGAATGCTTACTGACCTGATACACAGGGATCTAATTTTGTTCTCCGAAGTTTCAGTAATGAACAGTCTTTGTCCATGTGTCAAAAACCCGACAGTTCCCAGGCGATCATATACCCCTTCTACACACATCTCCACAAAATTGGTAATATTCACAAGTAAAAATGGACGGTCAAGGTAATTGTGGTTTTGTGCAGGGGCACTTAGAAAGATTACATACTGATTGGTTTAGAGATTTGTCTGGGGGCATTAAATGTGGTGAATATGGTTTGTCTTATTGCTAATGGGTTTTCAAACTGAGGTAGCCAGTTTATCGTTTAAGATTTTTAAATATTGCAAATGTTTTATTCATTGTTAAACGAAGTTATTGGTGCATAACACTGATTAGACAGGACATCCCTGTAAAGATGGAAAGACAAATATTCTTTGAACTTCTATACTTCTCCGTAATAATTCTCTTACAAGTTCTTTTTCAATATGCTCAGCCCATTTCTGGTGATGTTGCTGTTATCTTGCAAACAGCAACAATAAAACACTCACTCAAAGCATGTTCAGAGTAAACGGCATGACGACAAACATTGATGTTAACATTGTAAGCAGGTTCCTATATCAAGTGCAAATATATTACCATATTCCGTCCTACGTTTTATATTCAAGATGTTAAATGGCATTTTACCGTGTTTACTTTATTGGGATCATTTATATACATAGTTTCCGTCTTTTGGACTCACAGCTTTTATCAGGGACACTGTGGGTTTCTTGCTACATTGTTCGAAATCCTCTTTCGAATGCTGAAACCGTCTCTTTCAGAGTGTGCCTGTTGAAAGCTGGGAGCCTGAACATATATGAATGTATTTATTTGAATTGCCCTGTGGAAAGAATACACAGTGACATCAATCTAGTTTTGTTTTACAGATGTCAGTTAGAATGAACTCAAATGCGTATAGTCATTGTTTACCCAATAATCTTCAATATCTGTTAAAAGGCAAACAGCTTCTTGTGTGTCTCAAATTTTTAATAAACCAATAAACAATGAAGTGCATTGTTGTTGTTTTTGTAATTACTATTGTTTTTTTTTAATGCCAAATAACATAAATGGAAACTGAATGGTTCAGATCACTGTTACCATGGTTACAACTGTAAACTATATTCACTGTCATTCAGGATGGACCCATTAAGATCCGGGTTATAACTGATCTTCACCAACCTATGCTTGTCGCAAAGGCGACTAACGGGATCGGGTGGTTGGGCTCGCTGACTCGGTTGACGTGCGTAGACCGATGCTCATGATGTTTATCACTGGATTGTCTGGTCCAGACTCGATTATTTACAGACTGCCGCCATACAGCTGGAATATTGCGGAGTGCGGCGTAAAACTAAACTCACTCACTAATTCAGGATGGATGGATGGATGGCACGGCTACCTGTTGTTGTTGTTTTAGTCATATTCACTTGGTCCTGCCTGACACTGAAACATGTTACATGTTACTTGTAACGTCTAAAGCCCTACCTACTTGACACTCACATTATAGCACAACCCACCTGCTGGTGACATCTCAACACTACCAATGTCATCAGACATAGCACTAACCAGTTACATGTTACATGTTGTGTCACCATAACGAAGTGACGTCTACAAATTATGCCTCTGAGGTGAATAGTAATCTTCTGTCAACCTTCTACCACCTTAATCCTAGCTCAGATTGTTTACTTCCCTTATAGTTCAGAGTGAAAATTGAGTGAGTGCCCTCTGATCCAATGACCAGGGGAAAATATTTATTGTGGAAGTTTTATTATGTTAATTATTTTTATTTGTATGTCCAATTGCAGCTCAGATTACATAATACACTCAGTAGTATTCATCTGTAGGGATATCAGTTATTCATCACAAGCCCTCAACATGGATATTTCCTTTTGACGTTATTTTCAACATCTCCTGTCATCGGTAGACACATCATCACTGCATCTGTGGGGGAACCAGGTAGACATCACAAGCCCTGAACATGGCTTTTTGTCCTTGATGCTATTTTTATTTATCTTTGTCCACACATCAGGACTGCAGTTTACATCTGTGGGGGAACCAGGTAAACATCACAAGCCCTGAACATGGCTTTTTGTCCTTGATGCTATTTTTATTTATCTTTGTCCACACATCAGGACTGCAGTATACATCTGTGGGGGAACCAGGTAAACATCACAATCCCTGAACATGGCTTTTTGTCCTTGATGCTATTTTTATTTATCTTTGTCCACACATCAGGACTGCAGTTTACATCTGTGGGGGAACCAGGTAAACATCACAATCCCTGAACATGGCTTTTTGTCCTTGATGCTATTTTTATTTATCTTTGTCCACACATCAGGACTGCAGTATACATCTGTGGGGGAACCAGGTAGACATCACAAGCCCTGAACATGGATACAACCTGTGATATATGCTATAAATGTCTGTAGTAAGGCAAGACCTTCTCCGCTCTTGGAACTGAAACAGACAATGAAGACACAAAACATCAACAAAACATGAAATGAAAACCCCAAATTACTGTAATTATCATAAAGACTCAACATGATCATGATGATAGAAACCACTGATCAATGTATGCTGGAAACATGACAGAACGTTCTGTTACCTTACGAGAAATGGCTGTGGGAAGCAGCAGTGACCAGTGCTGTTTTTCCTGACTTCAAGGAAGGAGAGCAAGTTTGACACTAAAGTGTGACGTCCAGCCTTGTCTATTTTTGTCATCACCACCTGGAATGTTAGAGAATCAAGGTGGTGCATTTCTGGAGATATAAAAAAAATAAACATTTCAACTTGAAATAATAGCACTCTTGTAACGTCTAAAGCCCTACCTACTTGACACTCACATTATAGCACAACCCACCTGCTGGTGACATCTCAACACTACCAATGTCATCAGACATAGCACCAACCAGTTGCCAACAGATGTAACCACACCCACTTGTAATCAGATGGAACCACACCCACTTGTAATCAGATGGAACCACACCCACTTGTCATCAGATGGAACCACACCCACTTGTCATCAGATGGACCCACACCCACTTGTCATCAGATGGAACCACACCCACTTATCATCAGATGAAACCACACCCACTTGTAATCAGATGGAACCACACCCACTTATCATCAGATGGAACCACACCCACTTGTAATCAGATGGAACCACACCCACTTGTCATCAGATGGAACCACACCCACTTGTAATCAGATGGAACCACACCCACTTATCATCAGATTAAACCACACCCACTTGTCATCAGATGGAACCACAGCCACTTGTCAACAGATGTGACCACACTCACTTGTCATCAGATGGAACCACACCCACTTGTAATCAGATGGAACCACACCCACTTGTCATCAGATGGAACCACACCCACTTGTCATCAGATGGAACCACACCCACTTGTAATCAGATGGAACCACACCCACTTATCATCAGATTAAACCACACCCACTTGTCATCAGATGGAACCACAGCCACTTGTCAACAGATGTGACCACACCCACTTGTCATCATATGGAACCACACCCACTTGTCTTCAGATGAAACCACACCCACTTGTCATCAGATGGAACCACACCCACCTGTCATCATATGGAACCACAGCCACTTGTCAACAGATGTGACCACACCCACTTGTCATCATATGGAACCACAGCCACTTGTCAACAGATGTGACCACACCCACTTGTCATCAGATGGAACCACACCCACCTGTCATCAGATATGACCACATCCACCTGTCATCAGATGTGACCACACCCCCCTATCATCAGAAGAAGCCAAACCAACCTATTAATAGATATGGCCACACCTACCAGTCACAAGACATAGGTGCACACACACACCTGTGATCAGACTCCAGTGTCCAGAACTCACCACATATGGAATCTTGAATTCTTCCATCATCTTCAGCCCCACTTCGTCAGCTTTAGTCAAACCCACCTGACCATCAATCAGTATAAATGTTCGACACAATCTAAAAAAAAAAAAATATCATATTTTTAACACACAAGTTTCAAGTTTCATACATTTTCCAAAACTACTGTTTACCTTCATGGTCCCAGCACACAGATGATAAACAGAAATTATAACTGAGGAACGTCTGCTTGTATATTTAGTGATTTGTAACACTCAGCAATATTCCACCTGTGTGACTGTGAAGGGTGGTGGGGTAGCCTGTTCCCTTGTCACGCTGAAAACCTGGGTTCGATTCTCCAGATGGGTACAATGTGTGAAGCACATTTCTGGTGTCACCTGCCGTGATGTTACTGGAATATCGCTTAAAGCGGCGTAAAACTACACTCACTCATTCACACACTCCAGATTAAGTCCCAAGCCATTGAGCATGTACTCACATTGTGTCGTCTGAAACCAAACTCACTGACTCAATCTCTATATCAGTGGGCTCATGAGATAATCTACCCTGAATTTTAACAGACGAGATGTTGAGTGATAGTATATGGATGCCCTACCTGCATCTGGTTTGAAGATACTTCTCCACCGACTCCTGGAAGTGCTCAGGCATGTTGAAGCCATAACCGGGCATATCCACCAAGGAAAAAGATTTCCCGACCTGGAAGAAGTTCAATGTTTTTGTGTGTCCCTGTGGGGAGTAAATCATGATGTCAACATACGTAGGGTTAAGGGTGTCAACAGTTTGTATTTTGTTGTTGTTAAGGCTTCATTCAGCAATATTCAGCATTATTCCAGCTACATGACTGCAATCTGTAAACGTTCTAGTCTGACAATTCTGTAATGGACTTGAGGTGAGGTAAAATTGGGTTTAACGTCGTGCTTGAAAATATTTCGCTCATATGACGACGTGCATGCATGTGTATGTGCGGCTGCTTGTACTAGCCAAGACTTAAGCTGGTTTTATAGTGCTAGCCCACTGAGATACCATGCCGCAGTGAAGCATGAATACCCCTCAGACACATTATACTGACTCCGAGCAGACCAGTCCTCGTTGTACCCATAAATGCTGAGCGCCAGGCAGGGACCAACAAGTACCATATTTTAACGTCTTTTGGTATGATGCGGTCGGTGGTCGAACCCATGACCTTCTGCTCTCCGGGGGGGCGCTCTAACCACTACAATTTCACCTCACCTCACTATCGCCATTATCCACCTGAAGAAAGGGCAAGAACTAGCACAGAAACGTGAAAAATAAATCAAGAAGTTGTTATCCATAAGATTTGTCTTGCATGTAATAGCGGTTTGAGTGTGACAATATGAAGGAATGTCATTCAAATCAACATGCAAACTTACTGGTTTCCTTGACACCCTAACTTCAACATTTGGTACTTCTGAAAACATTGCTTGTATGAGAGAGCTCTTGCCCACGTTACTTCTCCCGAGAAATGCAACCTGGACAAACGATATCTGCGTGTTAGTATCATCCATAAAAATGCAAACAATCATTAAAACAGTGACTGATGTTTCCACACAAAAGCTGTGCTTTTCTAAAATATGGCATTTGAAAATAAAGTTGGTGGTATGAAAGGTTATCCCCCTTGAGTGATTCTTCATCACTTAAGTTATCTTTGTCTAGTGCTTCAAAAGAATGACTATCAAATGGAATTTTAAGTACTGTATCAGGATATGAATTATATCACACCCATAGTATTGAGATGTGCATCATATTGTGATCCCAACACATGGTCACACCTCTAACTATAACCATAAAACCAACAATTTTGCACTGTTTCACAGTGGAGAAATTTAACTGACAAAGCAGTGACTTCAAATGGCATTTTAGACGTTTGGAAGTACAACATAGACAACCTTTATGAATAACAATTCTTTTATTTTATGAGTGCTACATTTTGGTAGAGTTACTTGCACCTTTTCATGCAAGAATTCTTGCTTAACAGTACATGAATCAGTACCGAAATGTCATACTCACGTAATACAACGTTTTTCTTTTTTTAAAATTTTATTCCTGTAGACATACTACATATTCTTCTTATTATTAATATTAAATGATCATATGTCCTACAGGACATGAAAACTTTAAACAATAAAATAGATAAATAAATATATAAATGAATGAATGAATGAATGAATGAATGAATGAATAAATAAATAAGAACTTGTTATACATTAAAGTTGTCTATATTGACCAAACAGTGGTGCAGCCCTTCCTCTAGCACTACTTTGACTCACTGTAAGCAGTTTGTAACATACCTCTGGCATCTGGAAATCCTCCAGTGTACTGGACCTCACTACGGCAGTGTGAAACTTGATCTCATGCTTCGTGTTCAAGTCATTTCTAAACAAGCATCTGCCCTGTTCTAACTCTGTCTGTGTGGGGGAAAATATGTCATCCTTCTCCGACAATATTGGTATCTGTAAATAAGGCTGCAGCCTTGAGAGAGGATTCCTGAACAAATCTTGTTTCTTAACTACAATACCAGAATGTTTGGAACCGGTTTGCAAGGGTCTTCTAGTGGATGACTTCAATGCCTGGTTCCTCATATACGTAAAACATCCCGGCATTTGATTCTTGAGGTGGCGTAAATGGCAGAAAGTCAATGGAGTCTTCATGCTGAATCTGTCAAATGAATCAAGATCCTAAGGACTATTGTAAAACATTTCAACATGAACAAATAGGCTTACTGAGTTAGTGAGTATGGTTATGGTATATATTTCAGCAATATCACGGCAGGGGACACAAGAAGTCTACATGACACACAATGTATCCAAGTTAGGCTTTTCCTGTGACAAGTAAACACCAATGACCAATTAAAAGTTTTAACAGTTCCAATTCTTCAGTGGAATGGCCACATCTTTGTGCTGGCACTTTTCTTTATCGATATTATAATGAGACGTCAATCATCAATGTTCATTGTCATTCACAAACTATTCAGTCAGTCTGACGTAGAGTTAGTTTAGTTTTATGCCATTCTCAGCATTCGGTTATTAATGATATCTACTCATGTTACTATACATACATATTTGGATTTGTTCATTTATACTGCATGTACAAGGCTTTAGATCAAGAAGAAAATCACAATTCCTTAATTACTAATAACAGTGTCTCACTAACTGTATGAATAATATTGTGATGATTACATTTGATCTTGGTGCTGTTGTACAATGCGATCCTAACGCTAAGGTTGGTAGTTATACTAAACCATGGTATGCCGCCGTATGGTAGACGACACTATGTCACTAGTCATGGAAGGTATCTACAAAGACGTATATACCCTGGGTACAATACACGTATCCGAGTTTCAAGAAATTGCTACGTTTATAAGCAACGCTAAATTCAACTTAGTGTTTAAGAAATCGAGTGCTTCGTCCTTTCGATAGAAATTACCCACAATGCATTAGCGTCGGCCATTTTGGTAGGCACGCTACTAGAACGGTTGTCGCTATTTCACTCTCGTTCAGAGACTATATTTATCGAAGAACTCGCAAGTCATTTCACTGCATTTCTCATCATTATTCTCTCGTTCGACTACTCGTGATTATCAACGATGCAGAATTATAAGGAGACACTCGATAAGCAGGCACATGCAAGGTATTTGGAAAAAAATAGCGGACATTGGAGATGTGGATCCCTATCAGATCGATAAGCGTGAATGGAGCGTGGATCATGCTTTGTTTCCGAATGTGATCTATCTGGACCTCGAGAACTATCTGATCTTTAATCCAAGTCCTTATTACACCATACAAGACTTTCAAAACTACAGGAGTTTAGAGGCTTATGATCGTTTTGTGTGCGGGTTGGGTGAGGGAAGTTTCGCACACGAAAGTACAGGACAGCTCAGAAGTCGCTAAAAATTATAAAGGCAAGAGTTATGCATTCACAGTCCCTTTCGGATCCAAGCTTACATCCATGGATGATATGTGATGACAACAGGATTGTCTCGGCTCACTGTAATTGTAAAGCCGGACTTGGTGAGAGCTGTTCTCATGTTGCTTCAGTGTTGTTTTATTTAGAACTTGAAGCTACAGTAAGACTGCGGGAAGTCAGTACAGTCACCCAAGCCCCAGCTTACTGGATGCTTCCAACATCAAGGACATCTGTGGATTATGCCTCACTGCATAAAACTGATTTCACTTCGTCCAAATCCCTGAAGAAACAACTGGACAAAAAGATTTGTCAAGCACAAGGTGTTGATACAGAGATTCCAGGTAGGACACCTGTCAAAAAGATGCACAGTAAAGTCTCCACATCAAGACCCAACACATTTTTTGAAGCAATCAAGGATGAGGAGCCAGTCTGTCTCTCTGTTAACAGGACATACAGTAAGCCGTACACACCAAGAAGCCTACAGACTCAGTACCCCTTGTGTTTTTAACACAGCTTTTGATGCAAGCTGTGTTACTATGTCAAAAGAAGACCTCCTACACCACTGCAGAAACATTTTGTCGAACGTAACTGTATCAGAGGAAGAAGCAGCAAATGTTGAATCTGCAACCAAGGATCAGGCGGATTCAACTTTGTGGTATCGCTTTGTCTGGGGTCGCATAACAGCTTCAAGGATGAAAGCAGCGTGTTCGACTCCTGTGAGGACCCTTCATCCAGTCTTCTGAGAAGTATTTGTTATCCAACAGAAACTAAGTTCACCAATGCTGCTACACTTTGGGGATGTGCTCATGAGGAGACAGCTCGTCAAAATACAACAAGGTTGTCGCTGTTGATCATCAGAATTTTAAATGTGACACAAGTGGTCTTCATATCAACCCTAAGTTTCCGTACCTGGGGCCACCAGATGGGCTGGTTGACTGTGATTGCTGCGGGACAGGATGTCTGAAGTCAAGTGTTCTTTCTGCATGAAAGATGACAAAGTGAGAGGAGGGAAAGGTTCATGTCTTGAAGAGACTGCCACTGGCCTACAACTAAAGAAGAATCACCCATACTATTTCCAAGTTCAGACGCAAATTTATGTATGTGATGTGGACTATTGTGACTTTGTGATGTGGACAACTGAGGACATCTTTGTTCAGAGGATCGAACCCAATCCTGAACTGTGGCAGAATATTGTTGAGAAGTCATCAAGGTTGTTTTCCACAGTTGTCTTACCAGAACTTGTTGAAAATACTACAGTGCAAGAATTTCCTCTCAAGAAGGTTCAGTAAATGCTGAAGCCAACAAGTCTACTCCAAGCACACCTCGAACAGACGTGGAATCAGGAAAGGAATCCCCAGAGAAGAAAACCCTGCAAGAAATTTCACTGAACACAAGGTCAAACAATCCAACCACAAGCACTTCCGGAACGACAGTAAAGTCTACATCCAAGAAAGACGCAACACGCCCAAAGAAGACAGTCTCAAAGAAAAAAATTCTCCCTTCATCTCAAACCACCCAAGACATTGAACTGGATACATCAGATGAAAACCTTAGACTGTATTGTATCTGTGCTGGTGCAAAACAGGGGCGGATGATTGTCTGTGACTCAGATGATTGTCCAAATAAACCCTTTGAGTGGTTTCACTTCAAATGTATGACTGACTGACTGACTGACTGAGTTTAGTTTTACGCCGCTTTTAGCAATATTCCAGCAATCCATAAAAATGCAAACAATCATTAAAACAGTGACTGATGTTTCCACACAAAGCTGTGCTTTTCTAAAATATGGCATTTGAAAATAAAGTTGGTGGTATGAAAGGTTATCCCCTTGAGTGATTCTTCATCACTTAAGTTATCTTTGTCTAGTGCTTCAAAAGAATGACTATCAAATGGAATTTTAAGTACTGTATCAGGATATGAATTATATCACACCCATAGTATTGAGATGTGCATCATATTGTGATCCCAACACATGGTCACACCTCTAACTATAACCATAAAACCAACAATTTTGCACTTGTTTCACAGTGGAGAATTTAACTGACAACGAGAAGTGACTTCAAATGGCATTTTAGGCGTTTGGAGTACAACATAGACAACCTTTATGAATAACAATTCTTTTATTTTATGAGTGCTACATTTTGGTAGAGTTACTTGCACCTTTTCATGCAAGAATTCTTGTAACAGTACATGAATCAGTACCGAAATGTCATACTCCGTGCTAATACGTTTTCTTTTTAAAATTTTATTCCTGTAGACATACTACATATTCTTCTTATTATTAATATTAATGATCATATGTCCTACAGGACATGAAAACTTTAAACAATAAAATAGATAAATAAATATATAAATGAATGAATGAATGAATTAATGAATAAATAAATAAATAAGAACTTGTTATACATTAAAGTTGTCTATATTGACCAAACAGTGGTGCAGCCCTTCCTCTAGCACTACTTTGACTCACTGTAAGCAGTTTGTAACATACCTCTGGCATCTGGAAATCCTCCAGTGTACTGGATCTAACTACGGCAGTGTGAAACTTGATCTCATGCTTTGTGTTCAAGTCATTTCTAAACAAGCATCTGCCCTGTTCTAACTCTGTCTGTGTGGGGGAAAATATGTCATCCTTCTCCGACAATATTGGTATCTGTAAATAAGGCTGCAGCCTTGAGAGAGGATTCCTGAACAAATCTTGTTTCTTAACTACAATACCAGAATGTTTGGAACCGGTTTGCAAGGGTCTTCTAGTGGATGACTTCAATGCCTGGTTCCTCATATACGTAAAACATCCCGGCATTTGATTCTTGAGGTGGCGTAAATGGCAGAAAGTCAATGGAGTCTTCATGCTGAATCTGTCAAATGAATCAAGATCCTAAGGACTATTGTAAAACATTTCAACATGAACAAATAGGCTTACTGAGTTAGTGAGTATGGTTATGGTATATATTTCAGCAATATCACGGCAGGGGACACAAGAAGTCTACATGACACACAATGTATCCAAGTTAGGCTTTTCCTGTGACAAGTAAACACCAATGACCAATTAAAAGTTTTAACAGTTCCAATTCTTCAGTGGAATGGCCCACATCTTTTGTGCTGGCACTTTTCTTTATCGATATTATAATGAGACGTCAATCATCAATGTTCATTGTCATTCACAAACTATTCAGTCAGTCTGACGTAGAGTTAGTTTAGTTTTATGCCATTCTCAGCATTCGGTTATTAATGATATCTACTCATGTTACTATACATACATATTTGGATTTGTTCATTTATACTGCATGTACAAGGCTTTAGATCAAGAAGAAAATCACAATTCCTTAATTACTAATAACAGTGTCTCACTAACTGTATGAATAATATTGTGATGATTACATTTGATCTTGGTGCTGTTGTACAATGCGATCCTAACGCTAAGGTTGGTAGTTATACTAAACCATGGTATGCCGCCGTATGGTAGACGACACTACGTCACTAGTCATGGAAGGTATCTACAAAGACGTATATACCCTGGGTACAATACACGTATCCGAGTTTCAAGAAATTGCTACGTTTATAAGCAACGCTAAATTCAACTTAGTGTTTAAGAAATCGAGTGCTTCGTCCTTTCGATAGAAATTACCCACAATGCATTAGCGTCGGCCATTTTGGTAGGCACGCTACTAGAACGGTTGTCGCTATTTCACTCTCGTTCAGAGACTATATTTATCGAAGAACTTCATGAAGTCATTTCACTGCATTTCTCATCATTA